TTTTTTTTACTTCCCCTTTTTTTTGGCAAGTCCTTCGATAAGGTCCGCCCGAGAAGCAGAGAGAATGGGGTTAGCGCTTAGCGCATCCCCGAAAATCCCAAACCTAGCGATGTTTGCGGCATGGCGGATTGGAAGATGGATGGCAAGATCGGGCTCAGAGTCGGTACCTTGGAGGCCCAGTTCTACATAAGGGTAGATGTAAATGCCCATCAAACACGGCTTAGTAGGTCCGCAAGATACAAAAGTTCAAAGAACCCAAGTTTATTAAATACATAGACTTTATAATCCATTTACGGGGCAACATTCTTTCCAAATGAAATATCGGTGCCACCACGCGTATTTTGCTAAATGTGCATCACAAAGCTCTTCTTGGGAGCTCGAGAGATTTTCTTGTTACTATGAACAGATACGACCATCCGGCGCCTCTGGAATCGTTGCAAATCACTCCAGGCTAGATTAACGATCACCATCTTTTAACCCGTGCTCAAATCTCCTGAAACCATTTTGGACACATTAAAACGCACCCATCCGACAACACTATGAGTCGATATGGATGTTTCCATGATACAATGCAGTCTTCCAAACGTGTGTTACATTTCTATTTTTCCAAGATTTTAATTGGCTTTAGAAAAACCTGGCATCATGTTCATATCCAATTAAATTCGACGATCCTTCGATGATGACACATGAGTGTCGTTAGTAAAGAGGTAGGCTGCATTAGTATCGTACGTAAAGTTACAACCGACACAAGATGCGCTGAATACTACCATTTCCATAGCTTAGATCCAGGTAGTGCCGCAACGAGTGCAGGGGTTACCAGGGAAGATGGAATCTTATTACGAGTCTATACCCTCCACCAACCTCGTCCGTATGTCCTCTTTCCTCTGGATGTTCCCAACCAGTGATCTTATTAATTCGCCTTGCATGCGTCTAAAGGTGATTAATTGAACTGACATCTCGAGGATAATCATCGCAGAAGTGGCCAGTACATTATGTCAAATCTTGGCCCCTTGACGACTACTTTTACGCCACCAAGTGACTGCTTGTCCTCGACACTTTTGTACCCGATCGTCCTTGACTCCAGATATTACCTGAATATTGGACCTCAGGATTCGAGCTGTTTTCCATCAGGAGTAATTCCGGGTGTATCTGACTACTTCTCACCTGGTCTATGCCCTTCGGGATACACCCACGCCTGGTACAGCACACAACTAGCTGCAAATGCGGCTCATTATGAGGTTTGGGCAATATGCTGCCCCAGGTATGTGTTAGGTCCCGAGAATTGCATCGCATCTATTGGGTGTAGCTGACCCCGATGAAGCAGCCTCGACACATTCTCGTTTGATTGTGCATCGGATGCCGCGACGTCAGACTGGGGAGCTGCCGATACTGTGAGTCTGACACTAAGAAGAGAATAATGAGCCAATGATGCCATCAATCTGAAATACCTATGCGTTTAACTTTCCCTCAAAGCTCTTGAAATTTGAAGCACCATATCATTTATCTAATAACCGTCCACAGTGGATATGCACAGCAACTGGTGATTTCGCTGTCTTGGATCCGATAGTCACCTACGAAACGTCTCGAATTTCAGATTCGAGTACCGACTCAAATGGAGATTTAGTCATTCTATCACCTATCTATAATGCTATCGGGATTCAGGTGAGGTGAGTAATCCCTGAATGATAGCATAAGGAATGACAATTGTCCTCTCTGCTCTTCTCCAGAGCCCACTTGCTTAATATCATTATGATGCTAATGTTCGTGTATCCAAAGGCACCAAACCACAGACTTCTTGCAGTTCACGTCTTCCACTGCAAGCTCCACCAACACACAGACTATGAAATTGGCCGACTCCCCAACTACCACGTCTGCATTCTTAGAAATGTCGGATGATTCAAGGATTAGCGCTGGGGCGATCGCGGGAATTTCGATTGGTGCTTTCGCAGCTCTCTCCTTGGTGATTGGTGGATCAGTGTATCTATGCATCACAAAGAGGCGGAACACGATCAACACCCGAAACCCAGCAGCACCTGGTTTCGCGCATGCTGAATTGGCGGCTGGGGTGCCAATGACTTCGTCTAAAGAAAGTCCCGACCAAACAACAAACACATTCTCTGATCGACTCGTCTCACATACTGGAACATGCCATCCGGGTACTACAACACAGATAGGCATGTCCGATTCAACACAAAGTCCAGTAGAACTTGATACTCTACCGGTGCCAGTTGAGCTTCATGCATAGCGAAATGCGAGGTACTTATCGGCATGTTTCAGCTGCTATGGCCCGTGTACTCACGAGCCTCGCTCTAGATGAACGAGTATCGGCGCGATTCGAAACCTTGATGTCATTGAACACACGGAAGCTCTGATAACAGCTCATTTCATCGTGGCTCTCTGCTCCCCACAACTCAACCCAGTCTCTTTTGTTCATGGCTCCAATCACGCCTTCTCATTAACTGCCCATCGCTATGTGATTTGACGAATCTTCTTTCCCCAGAGATAAACAAAAATTCCAATGAATCCCAATGCACCAATTATTATAGCACTGGTATCGAACACAAGAGCGTATTTGGTGCTCTTGATACCCAGGAAGCTGAGGGACCCGTAAGAGAGAGCAAAGGAAATGACACCGCGGGCAAAACACAGCACGACCAATGCTGCATCACTGCGCGCCGGGTAGCTGTCAATCACATAGGTGAATGACGCAACCACCACACCAACAAAGCCGTAGAATTCCACGTTGAAGGACACCACAATCGCCGACCAATGCCAATCTTGCGGAGTTTGGCATGCTCGGCCGAATATAACCGTGCTGATAATGGCAACAATGAACGGTATGATAAGGGGTATCAATCGTGTTTCGGGCTTGGAGCGATATTATTAGCATAAGAATCTTCAGAAGAGACGGGTTACTCTCAAGATCCAGCATACCTCAGCGAGTCCGCCATTGCGCTTTCCGAACAATTTCACCAGCCAGTCGCTCAGCCAACCCTGCGCCGGAATGACAACCATCGAGACAACAATTTGTCCCGCGAAAACGAACCCAATCCACTCATAATCAAAGTTGTAAGGTGGAGAGACAAGGACTTGGGCAAAGACAGCGCCAAACATGACGAATACACCAAGAAAGGCACCACTGCAGAGGACCAACCAGAAGACGTTGGGAAAGCAGATGACCTGCGCCATTTGTTTCCAGCACGAGACGGCCTCTGACCAGTTGGGTTTTCCGTGGAAGAGAGCCATGTCGTGGCGCCATGTTCGCGGTTCGTAGTTGGTGTGGTCAATGGGGGGTCGGGCATTGGAGGTGATGGGTCGGAGAGGGCCCAGTGTCTGTGCATCTTCGTGGCCCAAGCCGGCTATGGTTCATACTCTGTTAGACAATAGTCCCACTCAAGCCAACATTGGGACCAAGTCAGACGTACCTTGAGCGCTTACTGTGCGTGTAAATTTCGTCTCGGGGACAAGAAAGACGGCATTGAGCCAGCAAGCAAAGGAAATGCACGCAAAGACTCCGTACCACCAGCGCCAGCCTATGTTGGCAGCAAGATAAGAGCTCGCTACTGTCAACACAGCGGTTCCGAGTGTCTGAGCAGCACAGAATATTGCAATTTTTGTGCCTCGCTGGTGTAGAAAGTAGACCTCCTGAAATTCACCGTCAATAAACTGCCGACATGTGGGACGCACTCTTGCTCAGTATGTGGCTGTAGTGTGTGAAGTGAGATGAGATGCACAAGCGTTGAATATCGTACCTGAATCATGATGGGGCAGAGAGCCTCAGCCTGTCCGGCAGCAAGACTGAGGATGACTCGGCCAGCAATATGGGATTCCAGACTTTTACTGCATGCGCACCAGATGGAGCACGCCACGAGCATTGTCAGGGAAAACAAGTATGTTGCGCGTCGCCCGACTGCGTGAGATATGGGGACAAAGATGAAGTTTCCAATTCCGATGAACAAGGCTGGCAAAGTGACAAGATCATTGACACGTGGGTCGCCGTCGTATTCTGCAGTCACGATTGGTAGTATGGCGCCAAAAGAAGACGCCATGAGTGTGGCTGTAGCTGCGAATATGGAAACATTGCAGACAATGTTTATCTTGCGCCAGTTGGGAAGGTTCAGGGGGTCGCGGGGCTCGTTGGTAGGAGTCGGGATGAGGATGATATCGCCTTGGTCGAGCAACTTGACAGTCCCGACGGGTTCCAGCGCCGGGCCAGTCTTCACTTCCAGGTGCTCAACATCGGTGTGAATCATGTCTCCCGACTTGACTGCTTCCATGATGAATAATAGACAACCAAGAAGTTTGTCTAAATATTTGTGAAGATTACAGAGAAGAACCGTCACTATTGATGTACAGTTGAAAGGATAAAATGAGCATTCGACAGACAATATATGCTTCAATCAGTGCTCTAACCAGGCCCTGCTTGGTTTTGTTTTCCTCAAGTGACTATGAGGATACTGTTACAATACTAATGGTAGTTACATAGCTATTGGTCAATCAACTAACAAAATTATGGATATCGATACCCCAGATCCCCACGGGGACAAAAGGAAGCAACCATATTTGTTGTATATCCGAGTGGAGGACATGCGTACAGCCAAGTCGTGGCCAAGACGGTCGGGGAACGGGATCCCCACATAAGAGGTTTTCTCCCCGCATATGCCTAAACGTTTACCAAAACCTGTCGAGACGCTGGTTATTGGTACGATTCGGCTATTTTGGCTGGTTACTGCTTCCAGGGAGCCGGAGCCTGTTCTTTATCAATCAGTCGATGGGATGTATTATTGCTATAGAGGTCACACAAGTAATTCGAGGTCATCCGGCTCTGCGATCGTTGTGGATAAAATTACTTATCAAAAGTTAGTGAGGCACAGTGGCTAAAGAACGGGGTCCCCGCCTGTAGCTTGTGGTAGGGACTCTGTACAGCACTCATGAAGTGCAATCAGCACACGCTTTCCGTGGCCGAAGACGGTAAACAAAACAGACACGTCGTATAATTGAATGAGAATAGCATGCCAAACCACGGGGCATCAATATTTTGACCACCAGCAAATCAACCGAAGCATTGGTGTTGTATAAGATCCCGAGGGGGTTCGCTTTATTAATTGGATAATGCTCGGCTTGCGTGGCATTAGTGGGGAGATGCCTTTGGCTCAGCAAGTCAACATGCTGCAAGTCGCTTGCTTTATGAAAGCTGCACGCTGAAGGACATGAGATTAACGAATTTTCCGAGCGATCACCGCAATTGCCAGCAGTCCAAAGGGCCGGATCAAGTTCCATAGAAATTTCAGATTTCACAGTTCCAAAGAAAAAAAAAAAAAAAAAAAAAACAACGGAGATAACACTTTAAAAGATTCATCTGAGGCAAAACTTAGAAGTGCAAACAGTTGGGATCACAGAGGAGAAGCCCTTCTTGTACGGAGAATAGACAATAACCCATCTGAGCTGTACACATAACCACATGCACCAGCCACTTATGGCGTATTACTTTCGGCTTATGCCAAGTTGTATCCAATTCCAGCCGGAGAACCAGGAGATGCACGGTCTTGGCCATGGTATGCTCTACCAGACTTATTCCATTGTACAAGGTAAGGACTGTTTTTGCTTCAGCAGCAGAGCGCCAAAAGCTGAGCCCATTCCCCCACCCTGCACCTTTTCTCGCCAATCAAATCTCTGAGAGACGGATGACCGGACTTAAGAAAGGGACACCCGCCCCCGCGCATCCGAAGACAGCCAATCGGAAACTGTATAAGCGGCACCTCGGAATTGCTTTTGTAGTCCCTAACCGCTCACAGCGTCGGCAAAGAGAGTCAACTTAGAAGCAACACCGCTCGATATTGCCCTAGCTTAAACTCTCGTAATGTGATGCGTTCGTGGGATGCCCTCGGCCACAGACCTTGAGCTCTAATTTCACCTTAAATCTCTCATAAAGACAAGTCATGGTCCAATTATTCCGCTGTAATACGTCGAGCCACGCTTGACCAGGTAAGTTATCGCCCTTTGCTATCAAAATGCATGCAACGGGGTAATTTGGGATCACCTCTGCAGAGAACCTTATGCCACTCATATAGAGTCTTTCAGGCTCGTGAAACCTAACAACCTTAGCTCCTTGATTCATTACTTCCTTGACTGTGAATTTGCGAACCACGGCTCTATTATGGTCGAAGAGTCTGGGCGCCATGTATCACGCAGGCTTCCGCCACTGCTGATTATAGTGCCTACTCGAGCGGTATATACTGTTTAGGGAATGGTGCGGAAAGGGATCCCATACGACTCCATGCATCGCTTCAAGTTTCTTAGCAAATTTTTACGCAATGGTTTTCCACCCTGCTGGGTATAAGCTGTCCCTAGAAAAAGGTAAGGGATGGGTAAGGATTTAAATATGCCACTGTCTCATCTGTGAGAATGGAGCAGTCAGAGTGCCGATAAACAATACTTTCCACAGCTCAGTGACCCAGGAAATGGCGGACACATCAAATGCGAATGACGACGACAACGAGCTTCGTATCACCTTTCAGGATGCCGACAGAAGCGGCGCAGACCGAGGGCGCCTTGCTCGCGGCACAGATGGCGCAACTCGGACGCGGTCAATGAGTCGAGCCTCGAGCCGCAGCTCTCGGAGCCGTATACCTGCCACATCTCCCTACTCTGGTGTTCAGATCGAGTACCGTACCCTTTCGATCAACGTCTCCGAGTCTCGCCATCACGAGCCCGATAGTTCTGATGATCTCAAGAACTCAAAGAAGGAGGCCGAGAATTACTTTGCCAATCTCACCTACCATGAACTCGACAAGGACCAGGTCTGCCAGCAACTTAATGTGGCAGCCAACCAAGGTCTTTCCGACAATGCTGCCAACACGAGACTCCAGCGCGACGGCAAGAACAATCTACCGCAACCCAGAGTCAACTACTTCAAGAAGCTGTTCTTTTACGTCTTTGGAGGATTTTGTTCTATACTATGGGTTGGAGTCATTATCTTCTTCATTTGCTGGCAACCACTCAGCAACCCTCCTTCTGCAACGAATCTTGCATTGGCAATCCTCGTCTTGATCGTCATCATGCTCCAGGCTGCCTTCAATGCATTCCAGGACTGGTCTACTTCGCGCACCATGAAGTCCATTGTGGACCTGTTGCCGTCCGAGACTCGTGTTCTCCGCGAGGGTAAAGTGATTAGCCTACCAGCTACTGAGCTCGTTGCTGGAGATATTGTACAGCTTTCTGTCGGCAACAAGGTCCCAGCTGATCTTCGACTGTTGGATCACTCTGGCGATATACGTTTTGACCGCTCCATGCTCACGGGCGAGCCAGAAGAGATTGAGGGCGCCATCAATTGTACCGACCCAAACTTCCTGGAAAGTCGAAACATTGCCTTGATGGGCACCATGGTCGTCAACGGTAGCGGAACTGGCATAGTCGTGCTCACTGGCAATCGCTCCGTCATGGGGCGCATTGCACAAGGCATGGCCGACGCCAAGGAAGTCCCTACGCTTATCCAGAAAGAGATCTGGCGATTCGTGAGAATTATTGTGGTTTTCACGGTTATTCTCGCACTCTTGATTGCACTCACCTGGACATTTTGGTTGCGCCGAGATCATCCTTCGTACATGAATGTTGTGGCCATGTTGAACAATGTCATGGGCTGTGTTGTGGCGTTTATCCCCGAAGGCATGCCTATTGCCGTGTCGCTGACGCTAATGATGGTGGCCCGGCGCATGAAGGCGAGCAACATTCTACCCAAGGGCTTATCGACAGTCGAGACTCTGGGTTGTGTCAATGTCATATGCTCGGACAAGACTGGTACCCTTACCCAGAACGTAATGTCTGTTGCGTCAGTGGCTTTCGCAGATGTCAAGTTGTCTCCCGAGCAAGTTCAAGACGCGCTGGTGGGAGACAATGTGCCAGAGCACCTGATGAAGCTTTACGAAGCGGCGTCTCTCTGCAATGATGCCGCATTTGACCCCACGACACAGCACCTCCCCTCAGCTGAACGAAAGGTTCAAGGTAACGCAACAGATGCTGCACTCTTACGCTTCACCAGTTCCGTACAGAATCAGACTCCCAACTCTAGCCGAAAGGTCTTCCAGATACCATTCAACTCAAAGAACAAGTGGATGTTGACCATGCTTGATAATGTCCAGGCTCAAGATGCAGGCCGTAGTGCACATCAAGTGTATATCAAGGGCGCCCCAGACGTGCTCCTCGCAGCATGTACCAGATATTGGTCAGTGAAGAGCGGCTCCATTGAGTGTCTCGACGATGCAGCTCGCAACTCGATCAAGACTTCCCAGGATGAGCTTTCCAATAACGCGGAAAGAGTCATTATGTTGTGTGGAAAGATCATGACACCAATTCACGCACCTGGCACAAATGATTTTAGTGACCATGTGGCTGCCACTGCGCTGCAGGACCTAGTCATCATTGGAATCCTTGGCATTATCGACCCACCACGGCCTGAGACGATGAGGACGGTCCTGGAGTGTCGCAGGGCTGGTGCTCGCTTTTTCATGGTCACTGGTGATTACGGTCTTACTGCTGCGGCTATTGCTCGGAGAATCGGTATCTTTGCGCCCGACGCCAATGTCGATGATCTCCAGTCGCTTCGGGCTGATTCACCGCTGCCATCGACGGAGCTGCGGGAGAAGAGACTGGCAGGCGAAGGTCGAAGTCTCATGATTGAAGGAAAAGATATCTCCACCTTGAATGACGACGACTGGAATGCTGTATGCGAGTACGAGGAGATTGTATTTGCGCGCACTACGCCGGAGCAAAAGCTTCGGATTGTGAACGAGTAAGTGTTGTCCTATGTTCCAGTTCTTCATCCGTCAACCCTCAAATGCATCAGTGAAGCTTATTATATATGTACCAGATTTCGGGACCGAGACAACGTCGTCGCAGTAACCGGTGATGGTGTCAATGATGCTCCTGCATTGCGAGCGGCAGATGTTGGCGTCGCCGTCATCACTGGTAGTGATGTTGCCATCGAGGCGGCGGATCTAATTCTCATGGACAAGTTTGACTCCATCATTGACGCGATTCGACTCGGTCGTCTTGTTTTCCAGAATTTACAAAAGGTCATTTCGTATCTGCTACCAGCAGGAAGTTGGTCTGAAATCTGGCCCGTTCTTGCCAATGTCTTCTTTGGCGTGCCACTGCCCTTGTCCTCCTTCCTCATGATTATCATTTGCGTCTTCACCGACCTGTTTCTGTCTCTTTCAATCATCATGGAGAAAGCAGAATTCGACCTTCTCTCGCTACCGCCCCGCAATCACAAGCGCGATCACCTCATTACGGCCAAGATCTATATCCAGGCATATTTGTTTACTGGCTTCATGGAGACCTGCATCGCACATTCCATGTTCTTCTTGTACTTCTGGAAATACGCTGGACTGCCGGTGAGCGAGCTCTTCTTTCTTTTTGAAGGGTACTCGGAGGGCTTTCATGGCTATACCCAGGCTGAGCTCACCAACTTTAATAATGTTGGCCAATGCGTGTACTTTGTCACTCTGGTCATCCTGCAATGGGGCAATATCCTTGCCGTCCGAAATCGCCGCTTGAGTTTGGTGCAGGCCGACCCAGTCACCAAGAAGAGGCGAAACCCTTGGTTGATTCTATCCATACTCATTAGTCTAGCGATTGCCATTTTTGTTACCGAGGTTCCCGGCATCCAGAATTTGTTCGGTACTGCTTCTGTGCCTATTGAGTTTTGGTTCATTCCAATTCCTTTGGCGGTGGCGATCTTGATGATGGATGAAATCAGGAAGCTACTGGTTAGGGTCTTCCCCAAAGGACCGATCGCCAGGATTGCATGGTAGCCTCAATTGGCGTGCTTGTTTCGGATGATTGTATGCGCGAGAGGAGTCGGTGACAATCAGATGCCACCTTACTTACCTACCCTTGTAAATTGTCTGTTATGGGCATAGTAGAGATCCAAGCATCGGTTCCGGAGACAAACAATCAATATCTCAGCGACAAGTTCGTTGCAGCGTCCGAACAATCTTTACTCAATCAAAGTCGTTGTAGATCTTCGGCTACATCTTCCGGTAGTGCCTCAGCATAGACAGGAATGTTTATAGACATTTTCACAAGATAAACCATTTCGCTTTGATGAATAGCTTAAAAAGTGCAAATAAGGGACTGGCATGAAATTTTTGATGTCGTTAAGCTATATCATACACAAGAATTATCCATGCGTCTCAGACGGACGGGTACTGGTCATATCTAAGCGCAATAAGCATCAAAATGAGTACTTGGCTGCTGGGTTGTCGTCGTTCCATTAGTGACCACTTGCTTTCCATCCTGTTGAAGTCCACCACCGGGAATGTAAACACGGTTGTCAATCGCAACGGCCTGGGTTCCGTGGCGGGGGACGGCCATGGGCTCCAACTCTGCCCACTGCTGCGACTCCAGGTCAAAGACATCCGTCTGGTTGAATACACCGGTGGTCGAGTCGACATTTCCTTCACCACCAAAGATGTAATACTTGGAACCTACGGCACCGCCATTGATACCTCCTCGCGACGTGGGCATATGACCAGTGCTCGTGGACCACCCAGCGGTCACGTTGTTTAGGTCGAGCTCAAAGACGGTATCACGGAAATTGAGCTGCCCGTAGCGGCGACCACCAATGACGTAGAAAGTGTCCCCAACCACGGATCCAGCAGCATGTTGACGACTCTCTGGAAGCTCAGCTGCTCCCATAACGAGTCTCTGCCACGCGTTGGAGGTGGTGTTGAAAGATATGACCGAGTTGACCGCATCCTGATACCCGGTCATGAGTACAGTCATACCGCCAGCAAGGTAGATCATCTCGCCGTGCACACCCATGACGGCACTTCCCCTTTCCGTACCGTTTGGCATATCCGGCAGCTGTTCCCAGGAGTCCGATGCCGGGTCATAGACATGACAAGTCTTGGATGCCACCCAGTTCATGGACAAACCCGAGACAGTTGGACCCACTGTCAAACCACCAAGTAGGTACAGCTTGCCGTCCACGGCGGCAACGTTGGGGTGGTTGACCTTGTAGGGTGCTGCAGCCCCCGTGCGCCAGGTGTCTGATGCGACATCATAAATTTGCAACAGGTCCGTGGTCTCAGTGCCATTGGCCGTAGGAACGATACCACCAAGGACAGCAATCGTCTGGTTATCGATAGCTGCTGTTCCGTGCTCCTGACGCGCGGTTGGTATGGTGGCCAGGTCCACCCATTCTCCCGACATGCATGATGGAGCCGCTATGGCTATCTCAGACGAGGCCACCGCGCTTACTGCAAGGATCTGAAGAGGGCGCATAATGTATAGAGATAAGATCTAGTGCAAACAGAAAGGATGGGTGGATGAATAGATTCAAAGATGATTGGTTTACACGGAAGAAGGGTAGAAGACTCGACATCAATGAGCTTGGAAGTGCTCTTCGATCTCCTATATATATATCAATGAAAAAGGAGTGACCAAGATCACACTTAATTCGATACAAACATGGTTAAGTGAGATCATAAAGGGCCACTTTATCTGCATCAAGATTTTGGGAGGAAATGAGAAACTTGCAGATCACTTTGGAACCACTGTCAAAATGCTACGGTGGCGAAAATTTATGGTGGCCAATGGGTGTAGCAGCGACATGCAGATTCCTTGCAGATGACCTCGTCTGTCACAAGTAATCGACTGTGCGCCATTTTTCAAGCAGTTGCAACGTAAAAGAGGCCAAGTGATGGGTACTCTTACCGATATTAAAGGGGTGTAGTAATTCACGAGAGCGGAAAATTTGATGTTTATGCACAGGAAAAGTTCCATCCGTCTTCTTGGCGCCCCGAAGCACATGTCGGGCCCAAAGCCACTTTAGACGGTTACTAGTATCAGCAGTACAACTACAAGTATCATATTTAGTTAGCTTTTTCTGGGTGCTCTCAAGTTACTTCCCGTAGATATATCGATTCCACCGCCTCTACACTTGACATCATAGTTCCCGAAAGTTCTAGTAAGCCTACGGACTGATGAAGTCTTTATAACGATTTCAAGACATAGTACAAGCGCAAGAAAATGAGAACAGCAGCCCAAAGTGCTGAGCTTGGGATCTGTTTGCAAGACTGAGTGGCCGACGAGGAGAAACAACGTGAGCCCACACCGCGGTCAACAGGGGAGCACGGGCGATAAAGCGGGACCGATACTTGAGTCTGCCCTAGTCCGGTATTTTTCCATGCTAGACTGTACTAGAACCATAGTATACGCGGAGACTTATCCAGAGTCCCGGCACCCCCTTGTTGATCTCTCGGAACACCAAAACATGAAAGTCTTGGTATAGATGGTGCCCAATGTCAAAAGCCTTCTCGGCATAGTTACCAACCCCCCCAATCCGGATCCCTCCCTGTGGTATCCTCAAGAACTGAATCATGGGTTCTGAGAGCCGAAGTTGGCAGTGTCATTCGCCGAAAAGTCTATTTTAATTATGTGAAATCCTCCGATAGCCGCAGAGATTTGACATGGTTCTTCCTAAATTTACGAGCGATTATCGGATATGGGTCCAATTCAGCTAGGTGGCATTGTAACATGAGCCTCATTGCTTACGTGACAAGCGACCACGTGCCATGTCTTGAATGCAACAAGATATCTCCTCATCAAGCATTCCGCTTCTGCTCTATCCACAATTACTGTGTTATCTCTATGATAATCGATAAGAGCCACCAGGGGATGCAGGAACTCGGCCGTCTTGGATATCTTGCCCCAGTGGGACCGCAGGTTTGTTCTGGTTGAATAACAATTTCGACAGAGCCGAGGTTTGCTCATCTGAGTATCAAATTATGGAGAACTAGATCTGGACTATGAGTTATTTTGTCGAGTGCCCGTAGCCATGTTGCAAACAAGAGGGCCGAGCGAATCGAGTTCGGACGCTAGACTGTTGAGGCCGAGAACTATCATAGTGTGCTCCCATCAGCAAGGAAAGGTAGTGGCTCATATGGGTATATATACACTGACATCGAGCTCAATAACTTAACATCAGATCTTCAGTCATCCTTACTCCAACTAGAAGTCCACGGCCCCAGCGATCGACACCTTGTCAATATGTTGTTCAACACCTTCTCCGTCCTGGCTCTGGCCAATGTTGCTCTTTCAGCAGCTATCAGTTCTACCAACTCTTCGAGTGATGCTGTCTGGGGTAACCAATTCCCCAACTGTACAAGCATCAATCAGAGAAAATCATGGTAAGATCAATGTTTTTACTCAATCGCTCTTCAAACATGATCAAAATTCTAATGCTGGTTCTTCTGGTAGGACTGCTTTGACCGATGCTGAGAAAAAGGCCTACATTGACGCCGAGTTGTGCCTGATGAGCAAGCCACCAAAGCTGGGGGTCACCGGATCTCAAAACCTTTGGGATGATCTCATGTACGCGCATATCTACCAAGCAGGTGTCATCCACAATGACGGACCATTCTTGCCTTGGCACAGACTGTACAGTATGTTTTGCCTCAGTTTCTACCCGAGAAAAAAATTAGAGTCTATGCAAGTGTAATGACTAACATGCGTGCAGTGCGAGTCCATGAGATCTACCTACAGACCGAATGCGGATACACTGGTGCTCAACCCTACTGGGACGAGCAAGCCGACACCGACCTTGCCTCGATCGCCGACTCTGCCGTCTTTGACCCCGTCACTGGTTTTGGCAGCGGCAATCTTGATGCAGACGGTTGTGTGGCAGATGGACCGTTTGTCAACTTGACAATGCATCTGAACCAGACCAGCAACGACGCCAACTTCTGTCTTACTCGCGACTTCAATCAGACGGAATTTTACCAGGCAAACCGAACCTATGTGGATGATTGCATGGCAATTGACAACTACACTGATGCCTGGAACTGCTGGGGAACAAACCCCCATCTGGCCGGACACATGGGTGTTGGTGGAACTGTAAGTGAAAAAATTCAGACCCCCATGATTGAGTTAGAATGCTTACCAGATACTAGATGTTGGATGTCGTATCCAGTCCCGGAGACCCCGTCTTCTTCCTACACCACACCAACCTTGATCGACTCTGGTGGCAGTGGCAGATGGCCGACAATGAACACCGTCTCTACGACATTGGTGGACCCGTTGTTGCGTCCGAGGCTTTCCTGGAGCTGAGCAACCTGGATTATCCTGGTGCCGACCTTTTGGACTACAATGGCGAAGTCGGCAATGTGACAACCCTAGCCCACAACCTGTGGACTGGTGGCTTGCTCCCCAATATTACCATTGGTGACATTATGGATCTTGCCAATGATATGAACTGTGCGAATTACGTCGTCTAAATGCCGCGCACTTGATTTTATTCTCTGCAAAGGTTCGTTTAGACAAGGGGGCAAACCCCAGACATTTCTGTAGACTATAGATAGGATCCGGTACCGGTCGTTTTGGGAACCATGGAAGACAACTAGGGACACTTCGAAAAGCCAACTATAGATCGCATATGTAGCCAATGAACGTATTTACGAGACTCTACTTCTTGAATGTCTAAAAATTCATCATGTCGAATCAATCGCCAGTGGGCTATGACCATGCCAAGTAATGATGGCAAAGTCAGGATCAAGCCGGGCTTTATTTCCAATCTCGCCACTTCCGGTGTTGCTTCATATGTCACAGCCTATTGGAGACTACCAGCGAATATTTCAAACATTATGGATTCCTTTGCTGGAGTTCAGAGATTGATCAGATAAGATAATGTCAAACCTCTGTGGGGGGTGCATCGGTAGCCCGGAACAAACTAACTGATTTGGTGTTCAAGCCTTGCAAGATTTGTATTCCATCATCTCGAGGACACTGCTACAGGTGGCATGTTGACTCCGAATGTTTTAAGAGGACCCACTAGTTGAAGAATAAAAAGAACCTTGTGCTAGATCAAAGTTTATAGTGTCCCGACCCTCAAATGCCTGTCCAATGGTGGAGACTTTTCCGGCAACTCGCGCGAACTCGTGCGAGGGCCCCATTGAAAACCGGGGCTTCTGACACAGGCGTTACTCTGTTAAAAATTGTCCATGAATCACAAATCAAAGGGTTACAAAAGTACTTTGTACCGCGATGATGACGCAAACGCTGTCTTCTCGGCGCAAAAGACCAATTTTGGTAGGACTCTTTACATTCTTGAAAGAGGCACCCATCGAGGATCGCAATCTTTTTATTTTTTGTGTGGAAAGATTGAAGAATTCAGATTACTTTGCCATTATCTAAGCTTGTCAAGACTCCCGTTTTAAGCGCATTAAGTGAACCCGCGGAGACTCTGATGTTTTTCTTCCTCTTTCCTTTCAATTTTCATCCGTTCTCTTGGAATGGCGAGAATATCAAAGACAAGTAAAAGAAATGGAGATGTTCTAATTCCATGTATTCAAGTATAATCGATATTATTTAAGTGGGAAACAAGCGCGAGGGTTATTGCTTCATAGGTGCGATTTCAGGGCAAAGTCAGTTATACACGAAGCATTCAATTGATGTTTTTGCGAGAATATGATCTTCTTTCCCCGGAAAAAATAAATAAATACCCAAAGTATTGATCCTACTATATGGGATATTGGCCTGTTCAAAATGGCTTTCGGACACGACCAAGTCGCAAGTAATATAATACACATTAATCAACGACACGATCATGAAGTTGGGAAATCTCGGGAGATTGGAGGCTGCATTTCATCCAGTGATGCATGACTTTGTAGCAATCCGTCCATGCCACTGACACCATACTCACTGTACGGCATGGCGTACGAATCAGTGAAGCCACCACCAACCGGCCAAAATTGATTCAGTACTTGCGAGGATGCTTCTCCAATGTCCGGGTCTGCTAACATTGACTCAAAACTAGTCTCTGAAATTTGAGCTTGACCCTCATTCCTGCGATTGTGCTCCTCGTAACTATCATGAATAGGCCGTCTTGCGTTTTGCAAGTGTTTGATCAGATCCGAGAGGCTGGTTATATCAGTTGTACTAGGATGTCTCATGCTGACATGCAAGAGATAGTCCAGTACGTGTGCACCCTTGCGAGCTTGGCAAGAAATATTCTCGACACGGCGGAGATGATTTATACTTTGCTGAACCAGTTCGTGTTGTGCCGCAACAACATCAAAGCTTCCTGTGCCAAAGCACAAGAGATTGAGCACGACATAGATGCCAGCAGATATCACTGAGCCTGTCATCGGCCTATCAATACAAGTATCAGCAAATGAGAACGGTGTGCTTCGTTGAAAGGGCTAATGTTGTGCGCCTACCAGAACTTGAGAAACAACAGAGGAATCTTATCATCTGCAACGCGTCGAATGACCCTGGTGGCGGCATCGGTCCCCCTCCTCCAGAGTCGTGTCACCAATTCACTCTTATCACCACCAACTAGGCGACCGAGTGCTATCCTAGCGACGTAGAGTCGCATGAATTCAGGACCAATCGAATACGCAAATCGTTGCCACCCGATAGTTCGAAGATGCGTCGTGGCATATTGATAATCATCGGCCGCAAGATCTCCGCCACTGCTATACAGCACGGGCAGTTGTTGCTGGAAGTTGTCGAGCGCATCCATGGCTTTCTGGACATGCTCGATTGTCATGTCCCGGTCCATTTTAAAGAAGTAAAAGGTAATGTAGGCCATTTTAGCTGTGACGATGTGATGCAGTAGAGATGTGTGAGAACTCGATTCTGATCCGCTGGAGGGTAGGCTGCCATCAATGTCGCTCATGCCTTCACCTCCCGAGTTGTCGCTCAGGGCTTCCAATGCAGAGTCAAATGCGTGCGGATATATTGAGGCAGCTCGTGTACCGAGATTTGATAGCCTAGAGTTGCGTAGTCGTCAATCGTAAGCAAACCTCAATCCGTCCTGGCAATTATCTTGCCTACCTAGGTAGGTACTTACCAATCGCAAATCGTCAAAGTCCACCATAACCGACGGCCCAGCTGCCTCCCACGAGCTGTTGCCCATTCAGGCCTCTCCAGGACTGTCTGATCAAAGCATGTCTCGCTGCCGAGCCGATGCATCCTCAGCGACCTGGCCGTTTGTATCGCCAACCCCATCATGAGCCACTCACGCTCTGATTCGTCGAAGTGCATATTGCATAATGTCAATATTGCAAATGTTTGCACCGCGTGTATACTCACTCGGAACTGGAAATCGGCTGCTTTAAAGTTATGCACGGCGCGGTGATACCATTGTTTCGAGTATCTGATGCCAAAAGGCTCAATCCCTAAGTGATCATCGGCTACTTCGTGCCCCATGAGCTGTGTCAGAACCTCATTCTCCATGTAGTATGATCCTGTCTGTTCAATGCAACTGTAAGTTTTTTTCCCCCCGAAACTTTCCAAACATGATATGTGAGAATACTTACAGCCAGGAGACTATAGTAGACAGCCATCCAGGAGGGTTCCTCGAGCGTCCCGTCGCCACACTCTAAGGCATCCCACATGGCCGTATGTTCAGAGTGGAACTGCGAGGCGCTTATAGCACAGTGAATCCAACCAAGTTCAGCAATGGAGAATTGAATGATACTCTCGCTTTGTTGGCGAGTAGGCCAAGAAACAAGGCGAACCTGGCTTGGGTCGTTTCGACATTCCGCTGGTGGTGTCCCATACTGGACGCTCTCGAGTGTAGACTCGAATGCTGCGTGATCATTGGCAACACTATGTTGAGCGCCTAAAGAGGCCGCTCTGGGAGCACCATCATGTAGCGGCGGACATCGTGAAGATGATGCAGACGCAGATGATGGGGGTAGCAGCAGGGTTTCTAAAGAAGGTAAATGTGTCTCCTGCTTTTCTGTGGCCAACGCCACTTGGAGCTGAGCTATTTGGTCGCGCAACGCCGAGTTCTCGTTTCTCAGTCCTTCCACAGTGGATGGCGCTGTGCTCCCTTCATCCACCGCTCTGTTGGCAGATCATGTGAGTACTTGTGCGTGATGTACGTCCCGTTTTGAAAATGATCAAGGTATTTTCCTAGTTGTACTTACACACTTAATTTGCCCCGCCAGTACACAATTTCGCGCGTACATTCATGTGCCGTCTTTGACTCGATGCACTGTGTGCAAGGAATAGTCTTGCTACACTTTACTCTCCGTCGCCGACAGGTTGTACAACTGCGTGGAAGCCGCTGCGTCTACCGTGGTTCTGAAGACATGATGCTCTTGCGAGACAGAGTTTCGGACGCGATTACATCAGGGACAGATTTCCATATAACCTAGAGGGGTGGTAAATTTAAGCATTTCACCAAAACAACAAAAGTAAAAAAACAGGCTCAGCTCGGCCCGCTGGAGGCTCCCGCCCCACCCCCCGGAAACCGGAGTCAGGCGGGCCAGTCTCTCACTAATGAGCGCCATCTATCCCCTGTGGATCTCGCTGGCCCCATCGAATAGAGCTCGTAGGTAGGGCTGAATACTGCTCGTTGCGGATGGGAATCATGATCCCAATTACGTACCTGATAGATACGGGTTGTCTATAATTCTATCTTATAATCAATTTTACCATCAACGATAAGCGGTGTGAAGTATGCGTGTATTATGTAGATATTCTAATCAAGTCTTCAAGCCCATGTGCTCAATCTTGCTACCGTCGTTCGAATCCACGTGCATCTGTGTAACGGGCAGTCTCGTATGCGCACTCGAGCTCAATGGCATGATCTTTAAAACTGCCTGTGGGTATATGGAGGGATGGCTGCAGTATCGGTCGTCGATTGTCGCGGACGTAGGGCCCGGGGCGCCAAAACTCTGGAGTGAACATGGGGTAGATGATTGGAGCGGTTACGGCAATGAGCCCAACACCTAATTCGCGAAACCCCCATAGGTTGATGGTGATGACGGTCGGCTCCCCGACCAGCGTCAGCGTGACCCGGACAATGGCTGTGGATATCACAAACACGCCTGAAGACAACAGAACCGATACCCCTAGTTTTCGTCTTGCGGATACGCGGAGATGCTTCAGGATCGGTAGCGGGATGGACATTAGCGCTGCGTCGCTCGTGACATTGAAGATGGAGAGAACCACGAAATTCTGCGGCCGGTATGTACAATTTTCACTCGGCAGTGGCCAAACTTGCCAATTGCGCCATATCCTGCAAGTAGATCGTATCAGCACCTTAAACGAAGGAGTCGAGATATTTGTTGCAAGAGGTACGAACGGGTAGCAAGAAGTGAGGGCCATGAGGGAGACGGCGATGTACGATGCGGTGCAGAACCACCATAAAAACGTCATTGTCTTTCTGCGTAGCACCCCAATCGTGATGCGATTATAGAAGTATAGTACCGAGAACTTCAGCGTCCCTAAAATAAGCAAGCATTAGTCAGCTCAGAACGGCTCGCGCGCTTGGGATGTATTCACATATGCACCCGCTATAGATGAAAAAGGACGCGTATTCGATCTGAGATCCTTTCCTCAATATGCGGATATCGTCAGCTGTCAAGAGATGAACCTTTTCAGGTTCAACATTGAGGCTGGCCCCTGTGTAATAGGTGATGTAAACAATGATGATGCACGCGGTGTACAGGAACAGATACTGCAACCGTTAGCACATGTTGGCCCCCAACCCTTGTTATATGCATCATCCATACCAGCATTGCCAGGTAGTCGTCTCCGCGGAAACCCCCAAGACCGACAGTACGAAGCCGAGTAGCATAGCGCATCATGATTATGAGAACCCCGAACCCATACCATGCCTACAAAATCGAATTACATGTTAGCACGAGGAATTGGTTGGCATCGCAGTGGGAGGGGAGAGGCACCATGCACTCCGGTATGTATGAGTCGGCCTTGGGTAGAGTGACAGCAGAGCTCGGGCTCTCCATCACGGACGGCTGTCGTCAAAAGACGTTGGCTTGGCGTTTATCATGACAGTCGCTGGCGGTATCATGTCTCAGACGAGTGGTGCCGACTCCTGAGACCGAGTGCACAACAGTAGCGGCGGCGGGCGGCCGGATGCCAATGAGGACAAGCGGGCGCGAGGGACTTGCAATGGGTAAGGAGAGTGGCGGAATGTTTAAGTTGAGCTGATGGAGGAGGTAGACTCGATATTGGGTCTGACCTCTTCCTAGCGCCCACCGCAACTCCGGATAACCAATTTGGCGACGTGCCTCGAGTCAAGCTGCCATACAGCCATGCTTGATCGATGTGCGCTTGTCCGTGACATCCTTGGTCTAAAATAAGGTTCGCCGGAAGTTCTGGAGACGACGCCCATTCGGTGCTGGTAGCTTAGTGTCCCAAGGCCTGGTCCAGCGTTTGACAGACCGCGCACCGTCTAGCAAAAGCATTTTTGAGGTTAGGTAGGTAGAATTGAGAAAAATTAGACAGAACTTTATCTGTGCAGGCTGCGATCAAAATTCCCATCGTGGACTGCCTACAGATATTATGAAAGCATAACCTCCTCCGGCACGTCGACACTCCGGACTCGTTCGACCAATGAGCACTCAATGCTCATGCTGGACGGCGCACCACAAACATTTGATTCCTCGTCTTGCAGAAGATAGATCCTCCTCTCGCATTGGAGATGCAAGGTTGCCGCTATCCACTTCAATCTCCTCACTAACCATTCTGAAGCCGTTGAACCCTTGCATCTAGTCGGATAAATGCTCTGCCATCCTGTGCTACGCATGAACTGACGAATGGCCGTGGCTTGGTGATATCTTGATTGAGTAGTGGTATCTCTTTCAGGTCTGTTTTTGCCTTTGAATGACCGTTGCCCGCCGCTTAACGCTTTGGCCAGGAACAACTGAGGGGCCTCCGTGCATGTATGCTCGTCGAGCAAAGCGGTCTATGACATAAAGGCAGTGCAGCTTGGCACGGGCTCATCGGTCACACTAGGGCGCCCAGTGCTATAGGCCAAGGTTGTATATGTTTGGCTGGATTCACATCAGACATGGTCGTCTTGGAATGAACCTCAATTTAAGAAAAGACAACCGGATTTCAGGCCGTATGCATCACGACTGGAATTTCTAGTTGATAATTATAATTTTGCCACCTGCACCCTACATATATACATTTGATGAACACCGGCCTCTCTACGCACAGTACAATCAAGACGTCCTCCGTTTGGGTACGCGCACATATTCAATCCATCAATGTAGTCATTGATGCACATATTTCTGGTTCTAGAAACGTATGACCATAGATATTGTCTTAGAAGTCCACATATGTTGGGGTTGACTGGCACACTTTTCGTCCTTTACGACGTGAATAGATTATTACCAAAACTCGGAACAACTTTCAACGAAGCATATTAATAGGTTGAATTTTGCGATAGGCAAGCTGCTTCCGATGCATTAAACTATCCTAAGGCCATTAGGTGGTGCACTGGATAGGAAAAGGGGGAAAATTAAATGAAAAAGGACAGTGGCAAGTGTCCAATGTCGTCATTTTCCTGTTTTGCTGTGATCACGATGCATTGCGATATTACACGCTGCGCGTTGATGTTTCCAAGTTCCAAGAACTGACACATCAGTGCAGAAAGTGGGCTGCAAGCCCCGCAATGCCAGAACAAGTCGGTGGTTGTCATTGCGAGCGGTTGGGTATGGGATCAAGGAAAGTGGTTAGCGGTGGGCATAGGAACTACAGAGCTTTTGGATTTTCCGGGAGGAATTTGAAGAAGTCGACACATTCTGGTGGAAGCTAAAGTCGACCTCTTTTTGGAAGAAAAAAAAAACAAATAGAAATAAGAGATATTTAGAAAAGGGCAAGATCTGGCCCCTACTCGCGTATCTGCACTGAATATATGTAGTATAAACGCCAGCGTGAAGCGAGCAAGACCATTATTAGTCTTAGGTGCTCGGGGGTGATAAACTGGCTATGGAATCGACACTTGATAGATGAGAGTTTTAAAGGTTTTCAGAACATAATCAGAGGTGGGAATGTCAAGGTCTTCGGCAGCTCAACATGAGAGACCTTTTCTTGATTAAATGGAGTCTGTCAGGGAAAACCCGACCACCACGTCCGTGCCCCGGGTAGTCGGAGAACTCTAGGGCCCCGATCCAGCTGCGCCAGGGTGCCTTCGACTGCCGGGAGATGCCCGCTGGACGGGAGTGTAACGGGCGCTAGGGCTAGTGCAGTGTGCCACTGCGGACGGGAATGCAATCATACCCCCCGTGAATGGCTAGAATTTATAGGTATTGTTGCAGAATGCCGCATGCAGAATACTACGCTGCAGCATGCACTGCTGCCGAATGCCGCACCGGGATCCTATACACAGCCAAGGACATTTTATACACATCTTGATTTATGAATATGGTGGCTCAGTATAGATTCGCAATGACGGAATTTGTATATATAGACAAGATATCTACCCAGTCTGGAGATGGTGAACTTGAATCTATATTCCACATTATCACAATCATCATCCTCTCCGTCTGGCACTTGCAATCATGAATATCGATTATATTTCCGCCCAAGCTTTCGGCAGTTGGTCCGCAGACCAAGCAAACCTTGCAGCATTCGCTGTCGCGATTCTGGTCTGTCTTTATAAACCTCAAAAAAGATTTCTTACTCATGCTATATAGTTTCTATTTTCTGTCATCGCCATTGGTATTTACCGAATTTGGTTTCATCCGCTCTCGGTATTTCCTGGTCCAAAACATCTAGCCATCACCAGTCTCCCAGAGCAATGGAACAGCCACATACGGGGAACCTGGTTTCGTGAAGTTGCCAACCTCCACCGGCGCTACGGACCCATTGTGCGCACCGGCCCAAATCGAATTGCTCTCGACGGCAGTATTGGCTGGCCACAAGTCTTTGCCCACAAGACTGGCATGCCAGAGTTCACCAAGAGCCCAGATTTCAACTTCAAGGGTGATTACCACAGCATGATTGGAGCAAGTACCACCGAGACTCATCGCCGCCAACGACGCACACTTGCGCATGCCTTTAGTGATGCCGCTCTGAAGGAGCAGGAAACCATCATCACCAAGTACATTGACCTCCTTCTGGATCAACTGGGCAAGAAGACTGAAAATGGTTCCACTGTCAATATTGTCGACTGGCTGAACTTCACCACCTTTGACATTATTGGGGACTTGACCTTTTCTGACCCATTCCACAGTCTCGAAGGTGGAGTCTATAGTGCTTTTGTCCTCAATTTCTTCAAAGGAGTCCGTGGTGGCGCGAGGCATCGTCTGATGACCTTTTATCCCCTGATGAAGCCCATTATCTACTTGATTTTTGGCAAAGAGGATTTGGCCATTGAAAAGGCAACTCGAGAAATGGGAATGGCCAAGGCTCAATCGCGCATGTCTCTCGGTGCCGAACCCAAGGATGGCCGTCGGGACTTTTCCAGCTATATGCTGGCCAAGGATCACAACGGGGCAAAGAAGATGAGTGATTTCGAGGTCCTCTTCAACAGCCCCATCCTTATTGGAGCGGGAAGTGAAACAACCGCCACAGCGTTGTCGGGGTTCATCTTTTATGTGGGAAGCAACCCTATCGTGTATGAGCGCCTTGTTCACGAGGTGAGGGACGCATTCAATGACGAAGGAGAGATCAACATGAACAGTGCGGGTAGGCTAGAGTACCTCCACGCTGTTCTTGAGGAGATACTGCGCGTCTACCCACCCGCAGCTGAGACGCCCCCCAGAATCAGTCCTGGGGCATATATTGAAGGCAAATGGATTCCCAAAGGAGTAGGTTTTGTCCTTGTAAGAAATATCAGCCTGTCATACTGACCCCTTCTCAGACCTACTGCTCCGTGTACCAATGGGCAACTTTCCGCAATCCCGACAACTTCGCGAATCCCGACTCTTTCGTCCCTGAACGATGGCTCCCTGCCTCGCATCCTTTGTATGACCCCATCTACTCTAATGACGACAAGGCAGTATTCAAGCCGTTCAGCTTTGGTTCTCGCGACTGTATTGGCAAGAACCTAGCATACTCTGAGATGCGGGTGGTGGCCGCCAGATTGCTATACCGGTTCGATTATGAGCTAGCTCCAGGACAAGAAAAGTGGCACGAATCCCAACACACGTTTGTGGTTTGGAGCAAGGGTGCTCTGAACATTCACTTGAGGCCTCGAAAGGATAACTGATTTCGACATTGTCAATAATCAACGTCTGTCAGTCTGTCGGCAATGCAGTCATCCACTCGAGAAATGCATGTTTAGGTGCAATTCTCTCATTTCATCTTTATGCTTAGCAGCCCCTACTTATTTCAATCCATCACAAAATCAGAAAATGACTACCTCTTTCATGCTCAGAGTGAATGTGGATAGAACATGTGAATGACATAATGTCTCTCGTCTTCGTAACCGGGAGTTTGCATGTCTGATCAATTTTTGGCTGTGTTTTGGACAGGGTGATCACCTGTGGAGCTTATAAGTGTGCATTCAATGTTGCCGCCACAGCCCAAATCTCCACCTATGTGCTTATCCTGGCAGCCAACCTTTTCCCTAAAGTTTTCGCGCCTGGTCCTTTCCTTTCCAACGCACCTTGTGTATGTATCGCGACAGCTGTCCACGACTTCTTTCGCTGCGGTCAGTACGTCGGGTCTGCAGCTGCGAGGTGGATTGACATTAATCACTTTTCAATCTGATGATACGTGTAAGAATGGCTTTTCATCTATTGTAGTCTATTTTAATCATGGGTATATGTCTACTTTTCTACAGGATCTCTTCAGGTGTAACAACGACCCAATTCTTGTCCGCAGTGACCTCGCGACCGTTCTCGGCTTGGCCTTGTGCGGCCTCCGCAATCATTTCCTGTAGCTCCTCATAGTAGGCGTCCTTGCGATTGATCCAGAGATGAATACCGCCCTTGGAGACGTCGACTCCGTGGAACTGCATGTAAGTGTCACTGCCCGGGGTATCGCCAGCAGCCAGGACGGGCAGCTTCCAGTCGTCAATGTAGGTCAAGATAGCGGCCCATTTGCCCGCGAACCAGGTGGCGGGCGTGTTGAGGTACGGGCCAAAGACCAGGTCAAGGTTGTCGTCAGGGTTATACACATTGTCGGTGATTTGGCGGCGCGCCGTGGTCAAGGAACCGTCCGTTGCGTTACGGAGGAACGTGGACACGCCAATGACGTTTTCGGGCGGCACGTTGTAGCCATAGACCGGGTCACTGGCCACGAAGCGGACCAGCTCTTCAGACGCCGCCGAGATGACGTAGACGGCGATGCCGTTTGCCATGAGGACATTATAGAGCTCGGCCTGGGCGGTAAAGACGCGCGGCGGCGACACGCTGTCGTCTACCAAAGTCTCGTTGCTCCAGTATTGCACGGGGAGCGACGAGTTGAGGGCCATGAGGTTATCGACGTGGCCCTTCAGCTCGCGCAGCGTCATGCCGGCCCACACCTGCGCTGCCCACGGGTAGCACAGCATCTCATCCATATCGCATAGGCGCAGATAGTAGCTGTACAACGATTCGGTATAGTTGGCCGTGTCCTTGAAGTCAATCAGGCGCAACGAAGGGTCCATAGAGTCGCGCGTGAGCACGCCAATGCTCTCCAAGTATGGGATGAGCGACTCCTCTAGATCGTATCGGTATGACGTATTGTCCATGTCAAAGACGGCATAGTTGCTCTGGTTGGCATTGCGAACAATCATTTCGCTGAGCGCCGCAGCAGCGGCCGGCGGCCAGTGTCGCAGGAGCATTGGCGCCGTGCCGTTGGTAGTAGCGTTGAAGGACGGCGCCGCGTGGACAGCAACGAGGCCTGCGAGCCAAATGGCTGCGGCTTGTGACGTGCGCGAGAACTTCATCTTGGCAGTTTGGAACTAGGGCGTCGGCCTGTCAGACAACCTGTCACTGCGAATTGATTGAAGTAGACAATGACTGCTGCACTACTTCAAGACCAACTGCGGGAGTGGCTGGCGCCCGTCAAAACGGCGCAGACCACACTTATAATATCGCGACGACGGCGCCGGCGAGGTTTGCCGATGCTATCTATCCCCATGCCATCATGGCCCCTAGACCGGCGGGTCTGGTATCTCTGCTCCGTGGCTAAGGGAGCGAGAGCCGGGGGGGATCATCGGGGTTTTGTGGAGTCTAATCTTGGCAATCGAGAGCTGCTCCTTGTAGCAACAGCAGCACGATTACCCAGAGATGGCAGATTACTACTCATGATCCTTGCTGTTGGCATTCTTGGGCCGTATTGGCAATGGCAGGGTTCTGGTCGTGACGTCGCTATCACCGGAGAAGGTTCGGCAGGAAATCAATCAGTGATACCTGAATTCGATCCGACAGCCCAAGAAAAAAAACCCCCCACCACGCCCTGCCCAGGCTTTTAGCGAGATCGCGGCAAGGCACCAGCGATTGCATGCACTGATTTTGCATCTCACCCTGAGCGATAGGACTTCAAATCCACTGGTCCGAAATTCGGTCTTATCGAAGAATTGCCCTGACGCTTTGCTTGATTATCCCTAGATCGCCAGTGCGCAGTACTATGTACATTGTGGAAGGCAATGTGTAAATACCGTTACGCAAAAAGTCGGCCCCCGTCGATCAAGGGTTGACAAACCAGAGGCCATGGACCATGAAAGCAGCCCAGTGGTAGGGCTGTCTCAAATCTTGGCCCAGCTCCCCTTTCATCATCCTCCTAATCGTAATTTGGAGGGCTTTGGCCACGTGCAGAACTTCTCCATTCTCTCTGGCAGGTCCGGCGTTGCTGTTGTTGTCATTACTCTTGTGATCCCTACTCACCGTGGATAGCTCCCGGTAAAAGGCCTCGCTAAACTTGCGTCCCGTAGCACTATCGATAGGCCAAATGGTACCTAGAACCGACGAGGCCCCGGCGTAAAGCAATGCCGGCACTATGCCCAACGGCTCGTCACCGGGTGCTGATTCTTGTCGACCCGAGTCACAAGCAATAATTGTCAAGTGCATTCCAGCAGGGAGTTTAGCCGTGAATAGCTCGGTTACATCAAGCTCCTCGATTGCACCATCTGTTTCTCCTTCTGGTTCCGCTTCTTCTTCAGTCGCATCGCCGTCATCGTCGGCGCTGCCAGGCGCAAAGACGTCCGTTCCATTGCTCAGGCACAGCGAAGATTTTACTATATCCTTGGAGACCCGCGCATGCCCATGATAATGCATCCATCGGCTTTGGCAGGCTTGCTCCAAAAATCGAGGCTTAGTCGCCTCAGGGCCAAGGAATACCTGTCCAGAAAGTAGAGAAGAAATATGTTTTATGTTTTCGAAGATGGCCTCTCGTTCGTCGACGTGTTCAGGCTCTTCGTACACCCCGAAAAAGGAACAGGGGATGATTGCCGCCGTATTGTCATCGCATAACACCTCGCAACGTCTCCCGCCAGAAATGTTGTCCGTTGTCGCGGTTTCCGTATCGTCAAGTGACTGGGACTTAGAAGACGGGGCGCGAAAAAGAATCTGGCGGAAAGTCGAGACGGTTGATGCATATACCACCAAATTCCGATCAATTAGCGACAATCCTTGCACAAACAGGGCATGAAGTGGCAAGTTCTTCATCAGCCCAGGCGGAGTCAGGACAAGGAGATCGTCTTGGCTGGTCAACTCGTCTAGACCCTCTACCAAGCCATTCATCTTCTTAAGCAAGCGGTTACCCGCTCCCCTACTGAGAGGAGGTTCTGACATTTCTGGATATCGAAAGGCCTCATCCAACCACTGCGTCACGTCGGCAGCGGATAAAGAAAGCTTTCGCATATGGGTAGTGCCATTCAAGTGCCGTACAAAAAGGACGATGTTGCGACTTGCAACATCCATTTCCATGGGCGGCACGAACCAGTCAACAAATTTGACCTGAGCAACATTCAAGCCTGTATTTCGCAGGGCCGGTCCGAATTCATTGCCAATATCAATGTCGAGGATACCTCGCTTGATGTGATTCACTTCCTGAAGAAGGGAGTTCTCGGCCATGTTCGTACGCAGGACCGCAAGCCGCCGAGACACGAGGACGTGGTTCCCCTCGTTTCCGGCCAGCATTTCTAGCAACATCTGCTCCTCGTGCACAAGTTTGCGTGCCTCTGGGTCTTGGGCTATCCTACTAGAGAGGCTCTCAGGTAGGAGGATCGTGGCCCCGAGGGCATCAGCAAAGGCTCGCGACTTTCCTTTCTGCATCCAGACCCAAATCATGCCCTCATCGCCCAGTCGTAGCGACACCTCGACTCCGATTGATAACAGTTTCAGACATGACTCTTGGGCCACCAACTCTCGTTTTCTCATGAGGGACGCCATGCCCTGAATCGGAACAATGCTACATCTCACTAATCAATAATATTAGCACATTTCCCACTGGCCCCGATCGAATAAAAAAAAAAACTGTGTTAGAACGGAGTAACGGTGGGCAAGCACTGTGGACTAATAACTTACTCCGGTCGACGATTTTTTCTGTCTTTTCTACTTCTGCTAGGAACGCGGTCAACATACCATGCGTATTGCCCTGCGGGAATATTTTAACATAAGTCCGAAGCTGCCGCCACACCTCAACCGTGCAACTGGTGACCAGATCCACACCATCCGTCCGATGATACAAATCTAGCGCTGCCAGAGCAAGTCTCAAGGAGGTTCCGAGCAGTTTTCCTGCATTTTCCAAGCCTTCTGCATTCCCGGATGCTTTAATCGTCTGCCAGGCCCATAGATTAGTTTGTATCGATGCATTCAAGTATAGCCCAGCCACCGTGACTAGGCGAACATTTGAGGCTGTCTTGGCTTCTGAAAGAAGGTCGTATATCACGTTGGAGCTCTCGTGGAACTTTTGCTTGCGCATGAGGACGCGTATCTCTAGCTGTGCAACCTCAATGCGATTTTCCATGCTGGTATCGTTTGTCAACGTAGCCTTTGCCCGGCCAATCCAGGTATGCAGGTTGTTTTCCGCCTCCTCATTCGGATCGGCGCAGTGGGATAGTCGATGATTCTCCCAATTGGCAATCTCTTGGCATTTCAGCCTCTCGTTTTGCTTGAGTCCGTGTTCTGCATCCAAGTCTGCCCACCTGAGTAGAAAGTCGGCCGTGTCTGTGATCCAGCGCGTCTGTTCAAGGGATCCATCCTCATGCTCCTGCGTCATTCCATATCGGACGTGGCCTTCGAGCATGGCGGCGTCGGACTGGTCGGAATAAGGCAACCCGGACTCTGCAATTCCGAGGGCCTCCTGTGCACACCGTAGAGCAGCTTCATGTTTGCCAAACTTCTGATATACTTGGGCGAGCATCAAAACCATTCCGTAATGGTTGCGAGGCGATACCTCGGCTGGCAGATTACCGAGGTAGCTCTCCAAGCACTGAAGAGCGAAGCCAAATTCGGGGGCTTTGAGAGCTGCTTGGCTTATCGCGTGAAGTAGTGAGACTTGCCTCAGCATCTCGCCGCCTCCGACGCAGATCTTCTCGTCTAGAAGTCGTACAGCATCATCCATCTCATGGAATCGGTCGTCGGCTGCCATGTCTGGAGAAATAGCATTCATAAGACACCTCGAACCGTTTTGCAAATGATCGATTTCGTAATAGCGCTTAGCGAGCCGTAGCCTCTGTCCAAATCCCTCCCACGCTGAAACGAGGCTTTGACGGCTAGCACTGTCCAGTAATACTAGGTCAAGATCAATGTTCCCAAAGGTATGAGAGCTCGTTTCAAACAGTTGCCGGGCTTCTGCGACTAGACTTTGCTGTTCCTCCATCTTACTCGGGTTGTCCTCTGCCGTTTCATCGAGTGAAAGAATTTCAACGACGTCTGTCAACGTATTGGCTCTCTCAATGGGCCAACGTTGGGGTTCTAAAAGTTGTAGAAACGCTTTGAGCTCGTTCAGCGCATCGCCCCGATCTTTCATTATGCTCGCTTCAAAATACATGAGCATCCTGGCTTCATACATCATTTCAGACACCTGGAGACGTTGACGGAAAGACCTGAGGTGATTTATTGCCGCAACTTTGGTCCTTTCTACGTCGAGGAGGCCCTGGTCCGCCGCAACTACTAATATTCTCCAGTAATAGTGTATCAATAGTGTCTACAGTCTTGATGTCAGACAACGTGCCACTTGATCATCTCCAATCGGTGTAGAGGAGCACAGAAGGGGCAGAGGTGAAGCTAGGGAGACTGACTTCGTAATGTGCAATGGTGTCCGTGTTTTCCGGTACTGAGTGGGAGGTCGTCGCAGAAGAATCCACCGTGTCGCTCAACGAAATTTGTGCTATCAGCGGAAGCTCGCATTGACCCTCGGTATCCCCCAAACTTGTCGGCTCATATGGTGGCAATGACGGATCGTGGAAATTCCAAGTGTTTCCAACCCTACGGGCTATCTCTAAAGCCGTCTTCAATTTAGAGTAGCGACCGATACCGATGAAAGCGCTCAGCATTTTAAAAGCCGCAACTTCCACAGCTCGGTCATGATGCAAGACATTGACGGCGTCATACTCATCCCACCTGGACTCGAACGCAACTTCGCAGGTCTGGGCAGCCAGGCGCCAGTGCCCCTGGACCAGATACAACTGGGCGATTTCGATTGCGACATTACTCGAAATTTTCACCTCACCCGGCAAGTTAGCGATCAATTGATCAGCCTCAGAAAACCGGCCAGTTGACCTTAAGCGTCTTATACTCTTTCGAACTGCGATCGGGTCATGTGAAGCCATATCGAAGATGAGTGCGCCGAAGCTTTACCACAATCAGTCACCTGCGTGTGGAACCAGATATTAGCTAGATGAATGCAAGGACAGCATCGCAACAGCTGGTTAATCGGCCACGAACCAAACGTTTATTTGTCACAAGAAGAGAGCTAGAGAAAAGACATTCTTTTCTTTTTCCTCTCGCTGCCTGATGAGCCGGCCAAGCCACAATCCTTGGCAATTGGGCACCCGGCAGCCTCTCTCACATTGTTCTTCCTGGTTGAAACTTTTCAGCTCACCCCACGCTTCTTCCCCTCTCTACAGGGGTCGAGTATTTTCTAATGGGCACCAGTGCAGTCAGCTCTTCTCAAAGTCACCGTTGCCCCGCACTGTTCCATGATCAGTCCGCGTTATGGAGGACAGCAAGGAGGACAATGTCCCCGTCCAAGAACAACACCGGGAGCCACAGTCGGGCTTGGGATTCGAAGATTCATTTAAATTTGACAAACCGGACACCCAACTCGCCATTCGCAATCAGGGCCGGGTAAACCGACAGCTGGCTACACACGAAACGCTGGGTCGCACGGGCTACAGCGCATATGTGCGACACGTGCAGTATGGGTCGTACCAGGAAAAGCCCGCGTGCCTCGTAGTCGTTGATTTCTCATTCAGGTTCCCGACGCGGTCCAACAACCGCTTCACGTCGGCCTATATCGAGGTTCGTTTTGAAAAGGCGCCGCAGGGAGCATCTGAGCCACATGGTTCCGAGGACAGGGCATCGTCGTCGCCTGATGACCCCGAGGTGGTCAACTTTGCGCCAAAGCAATTGAGCGACAATGCGCCAACAGAACGCAAGGTGAACCGTCTCTTTGAGCTCGAAGTTCCCTTCAAAGTCGAGGTACCCTATGTCTCAATGGGCTTCTCGTTTAAGCGGTCGGCAGGTTGGGCCCGGACAGAAGAGGGCCGGGGCCGGGTGCACGGCGGATTCTACCAAGACGACGACCATGATGACGGGGCCAACGGTGTGACATGGGACGTGGAAGAAAATCACGTTAGCAAAGAGGGCATCGTGCGCGACCTGCGCACGCTAGTGATGCTGCGCTGGCGACCCGAAGCGCCCTTTCTCATGCACGTTCGCGTCAAGCCCGTCGTGAGCTTTGCCCTCGACGCTCGCAGGCTGGTAAGACGTCTTGTCGGCGAACGTGATGAACCAGTTGCTCTGGATGGGTGCAGCCAGATGGGCAATCCAGAGTGCTTGGCCAATTCCAATTTCGACTCGGAGGACTTTCCGTGGCATGCTCTACTTATTGAATCTTAGCTGCGGCTTTCTGTGGTTGTATCTCACTAGTTTCCATCAAATACGGTTGTGCTTTTACAGACGACAGCGTTGTTCGGAATTGTTCGGAGTCGTGATTCGCATGAAGAGGATGGTAATGACTACAATCAGCACCATGTTGGTAACCAGCAGACATTGCCGTCGTCATCAGGAGGCGCAGTTAAGCACAATTGGATTGAGTTAGACGGGCATGCTGGAATTGATGTAGCTAGAAGTCAGTCCGCACCTACAAATTGTGAGATCAGATGAGAGTTGCATTGAACAGCACCTCTTTCGGAAGTGCATCACATATTGCTAACTAGTACCATTTAATCCGTGCCTGTGATGGAAGGGACGTTAAGCCAATCAGGCGGTGTCTGGCGAGAGTCAATTATCTATGTACTGAATGATCAGCACCTACTCACGTACAATGACAATATCACAAAGCTCTAGAGCAGTTGGTCGAGTCTTGGTGCATGAGGTCCATAGGCGTAGATAGCATGCCAGTTCTATTATAAAAGCCGGGCTTGATCAATTCTCAGAACTAAGCTCCATATTCGCTACTGCAGGCGGGACCTTCATATTGTTTCCTTAGTCATATACCTCTCATTCTTTTCTGCTTCCCAAGATGTCGTCGACCCGAGGAAGAAAAGGCAAAGTGATCGCAACAGAACAAGACATTGCAGCTGAGAAAGCCATTGGCATGATCAATGTTCTCCAAGGCATTGCCTGGAACTTTTCCCCTGGAACCGACGCCTTCACACGCAGCATTAGGACTTCTCCGAAAACGAATCCATACACAAAGAAGGAGATCAACGAGTTGATCTTCGGTCACTGTGCTGCTGTATCTTCTCATGACGATGAAGTGCAAACATTCAAGAATCGGATTGGATTCATGCCAAGCGCGGCACAATCATTTGAGGCAATCGAGGGACAACTCAAATACGTCTTCTCGCAGTTGGACCAGGCCTTTTTCTTCGGGTTGCTACAGGGTGATCAAGTCCGAAGCAATGGACGACGCCTTGTTCACCTTCGAGTGCAGAGAAAACACGAAAGCGACCACCGACGAGGTGCCTTCATTCCGCAGCAAATGTGCATACGGGTCTACGTGGCAGATGACAGGCAGCTTGGAAAGTACGTTGCAACACTTGCCCATGAGATGGCGCATGCATTTTTGTTCGTATTCCCCCGGGATTTTACAATGACAAACATGCCGGATGGCCATCCGAGAGGGAACCACTCGCCAGAATGGTGCCGACTGACACTTTTCATCTTACATACACTTCTTAGTTAGAAACCAGAAGATGCATGTTTTTTGGAAGCTCTGGGTAGAGTGCAAGCCAAGGACAGTTACGCCATCATAGAGCAACAAACACAAGCCCAAGGCAGGGACTATGTTTTTGGAAGTTCGGTGCTTGTTGCCAATCGTTTGACACATGGTGCTGCTAATAGTCAGACTTTTGTCCCGGCGTATCCCACGACAAGCTCACTGCCTGCCACCAGTAGTACTATGTATGCTCCGGATCATTCGCTTTATACGTCGACTTGTGGTCCCGAAAGCTCTATACCTGTTGTTGTGAGCAGTTCGACATACAGTCATCAGGGTGCTGTTAGCGCCCCGGCGTTTGCTTCACCATCTAATGCCCCGGACAATGTCTCTTATGGTCCGGCTTATGGCCCAGACTATGAACTCGATGGTGCAGCAGAGAATGGAGAAGCTTCAATGTACAATCCCAGCGATTTGTCTGCTGAGCAGGGTTATGGCATTCCGGCACATGCTTCCCAAGCACTGATACATGAAGCCGACAGTTCAATGTACAGTGCCGAGAATCCAACTCTTGGCCACCCAGATTATACCCAAGAAACTACGGAGCATGTCGCAGAAGGTTCGATTCATACTCACTATGGATCAACTCAACACAACGCGGTGAGCGATAATCGACGAGCCCACGAGCGTTACAGCCGTTCCGCAAGGGTCCAGAATCACCACACAAAAGATTTCAGGAGGAATTATCACGGAAAGAGCCAGCATCGCAGTGACAAACATGATGGGTCCTGCCGTCAATCGTAATAACTCGACTTAACGCACTTGTCTCGATTGGCCTCGTTATCTTAGAAATTATATCTACGCGACGAACATTACTCGTGCGATAACATTGTAGGAGATCAGAAAGGAGTAAACTATATCGTAGGAAATGCTTGACTATAGGTGCTGATGTTGAAAATCAATGGCTGTTTGTTGGGTCTGGGTGTATGAAGCCTTGCTGGCCCATTGGAACTGAACGACTGCGGACTGTTCACAGACTTTTCTTCATAGTCGTCTTCTTCTCATTACAGACCCAAGTCGTTTCGAATACGAACATGCGGTATCAATGGCATCAAAATGCGGGATTACAGCGTCGTTCCTGGCTTTGCGCCGACCAACACCATCCAGATTGCCTCCACAATTGAGTTGCATCGACGGCAACCAATTTTGTCACAGGCCTGAGCAGATTTGACATTATAATCGTGAGTGGTTCATTATTCATTTCTCGTTCGTTGCAAATATCGATTATGTAACATAGAGAACCAGTATCCCCGCAAGCTATTCGGAATAGTTCGCCTATAGCTTAGTTTGCGATCATACCGGTTCATCCTGTTGAAAATCAGACCTGTCACTTACCTCACCAGTATCTCGGTAGTACCTCTCTGGATTTCCGTACACGGGAATTGACTGCGACTTGTTAGTGGCTAATCGGCTCGGAGAGCGAGCGAAGAAGAGATTCTTATGAAAGCAAATACTTTTGATCCAAGGTCGGCCTTCTTTTCGCTTGGAAATACTAGTCTGCCAGATCCTCAAACACCAACATGCGACCAATATATCCATCATCTCCCTGGAGAGAGCCGACATAACGAGTAAGCGCTGTTGGCCGTCTTGTTCGTCTTCCATTGCAAGCAGTAGTTTATCGAGTCCAAGCCACTCCAAAGTGTCCTTGCGCCGCCTGACTGCAAAGATTTGCTCCAATTCCTTATCAGACGACCTGAGTGCCTTGTAACCCTTGGGAAGGTTGTCTCCAGGAATTGACATTATCGTCACCGCCTTGAACTCCTGTCCCAAACGTGCAGACTTTCTGAAGCCGACTTTGCGCGCAAATGCTTTTCGGGACATGGCCGTGAGGGAGAAAGCGAATTTGGGGGACATGACAGGGAGCAAATGTTGCAAATTATAAATATGTTTGGTTCGACATGTGGTTCGAGGTGCGCCATCTGGGGAACTTCGAACCATTCTGTCGAGTCGCTCCAATTTGACCAGGGAGGCCGACTCTGGCAGTCCAGCGATCTCATGGGATAGTGTATACAGTGGAGGGTTAGCCGCTGACTCGGGGTAGATGGACCGCCCCTCCAGAACCAGGATCAAGTGGTCCACGGCTTCTTCGACGGGGTTCCCAGCTCGCGCGCTGTATGGAGGAGGGTCAAGACTGCCACCAGATTGCAGTGCCATTGTAGCAGTTCCTTTTGCTGGTTTGCTTCAACAAATCTGAGAAATACTAGACGATTTACGAGCACAAAATGACGTGGCGGTGATTTGAGGCGTGCGGGGTGATGCTGAATGGCACAGTAGCAGTCAACACCACTCGCACGGGTCGGGTAAAAAACGGAACACAATCGAAATATTCCCAGAATCTGTATATAAGTATTCAAATTTGCCGGTCTCTTTTTTCTTCGTTTACTGAAGGTGCTGAGAGAGGGAGGGAATAGTAAGAAAGAGGAGCTCTCCTGTTTTGTTTGCTTGGAAGACCTGCTCTGTACAGAGTATTTACAGTAGCTTTAAAATGCTGAATTTAGTTAGGTGCAATGGACTAAATTCGCCCCCAAGGTAATTCAAACAGTGCTACCCAATGCGTCGCTAACAATATTGAGCAATGTACATCCGAACGCAGATGTTGGCTCTCTTTGCATTGGTCCTTCTATGCTTTCACATAGAGGAACAGCAGTTTGGATGAATATGAGCGATATAAATCATTACATATTCGTAGCTGCGGGATAGAGCATTTAGACACTGTGTAAGATTCCAGCGATCAGCCGAGACGAGATTCCGGCGTCAATTGCTCCGTATTACGCTTCTGAACCCCAACACTATTAGGCACCGTCCATCAAGCCTCTTCCGATCGTGTTAAAGTAGCCATGCTGGCGGACCACCAGAGAAGCGAAGGCGGGAATCTGTGCTGCCGTCCATATTGTGTGGTCGCAGAGACATGACAGTCATGACATCGGCATCTCGCTGGGCTGACGGCACATGACCGGTAGTAGGTACAGTCGATTGATCTTACTAAAAGTCTGCACCGGAATAAGCAAATATCCACTGCAAAGAACGGGTTTTCAAGGTACCTGCTCAATGAATCGGACATGATCTTTTATGCTTGATTCACCCTGGACTGTCCTGAATCACCCAATACTCAATGTGGACGTGAAATGAGAACACGCACAATTTAACTTTCAGGGGCTGCATGTTGACATTTCCGAGAAATGAAAACTTTGAAAAACCAGATGCGCCCAAGGATGTCCAGCGGAACTATGATGCTAAAACAAAGCAGAAAAACGACAACCCAAGGCATTGGTCATGTCAATCATGCATGATCATTAGAGGAATTTGAAGCAATTATATGTCCAAATTCACATTCGCTGGCTTTGGGTCTCATTACTTTCAGCTACCTCGAATGAACACCTTAATGTTTCACACTCTTTTACACAATAAAAAATTGTGAGTCGTTGTGGAAATTACGCGACTTTGATCAATGCATTGATTCGTGATATTTGTAAGTGTATTGTTCAAGCTCTTATATATAGAGGGAGTCCGGGGGCACATATAGACCTCTTCGAGGCTATTTCACATGCTGGTTGCCACGATAAAAAGTAGAATCCGCCATGCTTCATACCCCAGTCCTGCTGTTGAGCGGCTTTGCTGCCATTGTATCCTCGCTAAAGCCTCCCACGAACCACCGAAATGATTATCCTCATGGCATCGGTCAACCTCCCAAGTACTGTACGGGAAGTGCAGCTTCATGGTCATCGAGCATTGGAGCCTACCCTGTCGCTCAAACATGGTGCTCTTCTAACTTTCCAGTGGAAACTGTGACTGTCACAACAACACAGACTCTGACTGCTCCGACCCAAGATGTGTTCAACACTGTCACGACGGAGACTTTGAGTACTACAGTGAGCACAATCTCTACTACGTAAGTTCAACCGACTCCATGCTCTACGTGTTCTTATTCTCGTTATAGGGTGACGGGCACGACAATTACAGTGACCATCTTTGCAACGGCATTTACTACCAGCACCAATGTTATAACCGCGACAGCCCAAGTGACAGCCATATCAACGGAGACAGACACAGTCACGTCTTCCACTAGAGTGACGGCAGCAGGGGCAGCGAAGCGGTTCGATTTGGATGGGCACTCCGAATTCTTGGACGATTTCCTCTCACAGAAGACTTGTCTAATCGGCCAGGCTTGCCACTGCTGGCTATTCGCTCATCCCAAGACAGAGACAAAAACAGAGACCAGCACAGCAACGGAAACTGCGACTACTACTCCTAGTTCGACTCAAGACGTGACTGCGACTGCAATCGTCTCCGTCACGGCATCTGATACTATAACAGCGACCGAGACAGTGACGATCACCTCAACCATTACCGTCACGAACTCGGCCGATTTTACGACATTTGCAACATCAACGGAAACAACAGTAGCGACTACAACCGTCACTTCGGTTGAGACGGGTAAGTAAAGCACCTGTCCAAGTCAGCAACCAGTTATGATTTCCAGCAACCCGAGCATTACTGATCAGATCTCTGCAGCCACGTTTACACCTCCGCCACCCTGCGATGCCGCGTCAGCCGGAACGGGAGAGATGGGAGAAGGCGGGTGTAGTAGTTCATGTTATTGTGATGAAGACGTCTCAGGAAACGCTTTTTGCAATCCTCCAGCTCCCTGTGGCTCCCCGTGTAATTCGGACTCCGATTGCCCGATAGACCAGTTTTGTGTGACGGGGCCCGCGATCTTTTGCGGTTCGCCGGCAGTCTGCGCTCCGGCCACTGGCTGTACAAGCACGGCTCAACAGGCCTCAAGGCTCAGGCTCTTGTCGCCTGGACTGAACAATCATATTGGTGGCAATACTTCTTCGATTGCATAATTGTATTTACTTACATCGAGTAGAAACTTGGAGACTATGCAAAGAACTACGTGGTTCGCTCTGCTTCGTTGCGGACTTGGAATCTTATCGTCTGCGAACCCTTGAACATGCTATAGCGGCTAGCCTATAGCTATAGCGCTTGCAGATCTGTTGTTCTACTCCCCTTATGGGTAGTTGTGTTGAAAAATAATAATGTTTAATGTTACTAAATGATTGGCAAATTATTGTAGTAAAACGCCTTATGCAATGATAGACTATTCATGACATATAAAGTGAGGCTCGTCCTTTTGGTAGAACTTTTTATTACCTCCGACGTACATGTCCTCGGGAGCTCCGAGCTAGATTAACCACACAAGGCGATCAATGCTTTACTCAATCAAAACGATTTCTCGTGGAGCCCATTGTAGCTGCCGTCAAGTACTGATGTAGGTGACGACCAGACCAAGCAATAGTCCGATATGGTGTAGTGGCTAACATATGACGCTCTCATTACTGAACCGTCATGCCCGGGGTTCGATTCCCCGTGTCGGAGTTGTCCAAAGACTGCAACAGTGATTTGTTGTCCCTCACTTTTTGGCCCTTTTTAGGGCCAAGAAGTGTTTTGGACCCTCGCCAGTATATTAAGTGCATGCGCCTATGACTATGCCCATATAACACATCTCTGGCTAATGATCTCTCAATGATTTAAAATGGCTATAATAATCAGCGATAACGTGATGTGTAAAGTATATATCTGCAGTGTTGAAGATTTTGGAGGAATCTACTCTATACAGATTCGCTTCCCGTCCATGTCGATTTGGGATGCTAAAACACTCCTGTCCTGCAATAACGCCTGTAGCGTATCATACCTAGTGCCTACCAGGCACCTATCCTACACTAGTGGTTATGTTGAAATAATCCATCACTATATTCCAGTCGGTGGCTATCGGTGTGTCACTTGAATCTTTCAAAAGACTAACACATATAGTATACTACTACTTTCTATACATATATGTAGGAAGCGCACCTGAAAAAAAGAATCTAGTATCAGTCTTCTCGTATTTTGTGCCTTCTACCTTCCTCCTTTTACAGCCCAGCCCCTGGCTGAAGAATACCCCACACTCTCTAATAAAAGGTTTAACGATGCCAATGTCAATTGAGTCACCCCCAACCAGCCCAGCTCATCGGTGTTAAGTCCCCAAAAATCTTCACTGCATAGCGGGGATGTGGCCGCGGCAGCACCCGTTAGCTCGGGGTGTAGCGGGGGTATTTCATGCAGACCACCGCTTCGCGGAGCCTGATGACTGGAATTGGCGACTACCGCATCGATGCAGCTCTTGAAGACGCGATCAATTCGCGTCTTTCGAACATTAACATATCCGTACTGGAGTCGTGCTTTGAATGCGAAAACCTCGGTCTCGTATAATTACAGGTCCAAGCATACGATGGCCGGAAAGACTTCAATGCCTTATGGCTTGTGGCCAAGTCCTCTCAATGCCGAATTCCTTTCTACCGCAAGCGTCTCACTCCAAGAAGTGCTAGTCGATGTTAGTTGCAGTATCTACCTTTGAGCTCATTGATAGTCGTCAGCTAATATTTCATAGGAGTCGCGCGGTCTTATACACTGGATAGAGTCGCGCCCCCGCGAAAATGGCAGATACGCAGTGATGACCCATCATGGTTCAGATACACGAGAAATCCTGCCTGCGTCGTATTCCGCCCACGCCAGCGTGCAAGAGATGGGAGGTGCCAGCTTCACCGCGGCACCCTCTGGATATGTTGTATTCACTGACAATATCACAAAACATGTGTACAGACTGGATCCGAGCAATTCTGCTGTCTCGCTTGTCCTGTCAGCCCCAGATGGCGTACGCTATGCCGACTTTTCGGTTCACCCCCAACAAGAGGATGTGATCATTGCCATTCGCGAGGATCATCGCAATGCAACGCCCGAGACGCAGGCCTATGGCGTGGTCAACACCATGGTTGTCATTAATGCTTCCACCAAGACTGAGACCTGCATCGCTTCTGGAGATGACTTTTATGCCTACCCTCGGTTCAGCCCAGATGGCAAGAAAGTATCCTGGCTCCAGTGGTCTCATCCTGATATGCCTTGGACCGGTACAACTCTGTGGGTATCAGATTGGGTTGGTGGTAGCCTAAGCAATCCCCGGAAGATTGCTGGCGAGGCATGCAAGGAGAGCATATCGCAACCGAAATGGGGCCCCGATGGCACCTTGTTTTTTGCTAGCGACAGGTCGGGCTATTGGCAACTATACACGCACTCGGTTGAAACCAATGCCATCGCCCACTTACGATTTCCGGGATTAGAAGACGTCGAATTTGCCATTGCTGATTGGCGCATGGGAAGGTAGCTTGTGATGCCGCCCTTTCTTTGGAAGATGAACTAACAAATATTTTCACTAGCTCCACCTATGTGATTCTGGACTCAAAGACTGTGGTTGCATCGTATGTCAGACATGCTGCCAGCAACATTGCATTGCTCGATCTGGACAAGGGCGAGGCCATCGATCTCGGCCTACCTTTTGTCGACCTCGCTCTTCACAGCACGGGCGTTTTTCGCCTATCCGAGAACAGTGTTGTAGTATTGGGGAGCACTCGTTTCTCGTCAAAGAAGCTCGTCACGGTATCAGGAATTCGATCAGGCAAGCCTCAACTTCAAACAGTTTGTTCTACTTCTCAAATTGATCTGCCCGACGGCCTCTTCTCAACAGCTCGCCATCTTGAGATCCCGCGAAAATCTCGACCCGGCAACGTTCACGCTTTCTTATACGGACCACAGAATCCACAATTCCAGGGCGAAGGGCTTCCCCCAGTTCTAATTCAGCTTCATGGCGGTCCAAATGGTTGCATTTCTCCCGCCCTGGACTTTTCGATCCAGTTTTGGACTTCGCGCGGATTTGCAGTCTGCTCGGTGAATTATGTTGGAAGCACTGGCTATGGTCGCAAGTACCGTGAGGCGCTGAGCGGCTACTGGGGTATGTTTGACGTTCAAGACACCCACGAAGTAGTGCAGTATCTAGTGAGCCAGAACCTCGTAGACGGCAGCCGGGTCGGTGTCTACGGGGGCAGCGCGGGCGGTTACGGTACCTTGTCGGCCATCAGCATGTTTCCAGACACATTCAAGGCCGCCGTGAGCTCGTATGGCATCTGCGATGTCCGCGCTCTTCAGGCAGACTCGTACAAGTTTGAGAGTCACGACGTCGAAAGGCTGATCCTCAGCTGTGTCGCATCGGATGACAAGGAGGGCCGTGACCGCATATACCGGGAGCGAAGCCCTCGATTCTATGTGTCCAATATCAAGGCTCCCTTGCTCATGCTGCAAGGCACCGACGACAAGGCAGTTACACCCGAGCAAACACTAATGATGGCCGAGGAAATGAAGCGCCAGGGGAGAATTGCCGAAGTGATGATGTTTGAGGGGGAGGGTCATGGGTGGCTGAAGGAGGACACCATCCTGGCCGCATACAAGGCCCAAGAGTCTTGGTGGAAGCGTCATTTATGTGGTGTGTCGACTTGAGACCACCTCGGCCCGAAAGAGCAAACACACTGGATTAGACATTATTAAACATTAAATCTATCTTCTACTGACGTCTAGTCGGGCTATTGCAGACTCTCCAGGTCCTTTTTCACAAAAGTCCCTAGTTCTTCAACGAAACCCGCTTCCGATTCTCGGGGAATACCTAGGGCTCCAGGCTGCCATGCAATGGTGATCATGAGCCTGGAGCCTTTGACGCTTACAGCACTAACTGTCAAGGGTGCAGATGTCACGGCTGGTGAGTGCGTGAAGACCATGTCGGTGATTTTGCATCGACTGTGATCATCCGAGATCCCGGGAAGCGTAGCCTCGAACGCGCCAAGGTTGCTGACGTCGAATGAGCTATCTCGCTCTTGGCCTATCTTGGATGCAGTCCATTTAGTGATGCTTGGCACGTATCTCAGCAATCCGACGGGCTGGTCGTGCAGCGTCACTGCAGCCTCGGCCAGCTTCTCCGTCAGCGAGCGCGCATTCGCCCAGGTCTTTTCAGTCCAGGGACTCGCCCAGTCGTCCTGTCGCTCATGGGTTTCGTAGCAGGCGCCGACAAAGAAACCCATCTCGTCGCTCGTGTTTGGGACCGCACGCCGCATGTTGACTGCCATGCCCGAAATGAGCCTTGTTGCTTCGCTGCGCGGGATTGCCTTGCTAAGTCCTCGCGCAAAGGACTGGATCATGGTTCCCGTCAGCTTTGCTCCATGCCCTCTTGCAAGCTGAAGCACCTTTTGCGTTGCGGCAGCATCGATTTCGATCAGCCTGAGGCAACTGTTGAAAGGACCCGGCTCGCGAAACATTCGACTCCCCGTCCAGGTACTGGGGTCTACATGGCTGGTGGTGGGCCGGAATCCGAGGAATTCGGCCAGGAAGTTGGGAAGCAGTACGGCAATAAGCGGCCGGAGGAGAAACCCCCAGGAGATTGGTAAACTTTCCGGAGTGTCGAATGGCGCGGGAAATTCGCCACGGGGAGTAGTCAGCGACGTGCCAGCCGCCTCGTCGACACGATCAAAGATTCCATCCCTAAATGTCCGGTGCCATAGGAAGCCATTCCGGCCATCGCCAAGAGCATGTGAAAATGAAAATGCAATGAAGCAGCGAGGGTGATCTTGGCCTCGCTCCCCAGATTTCAGAGGGACAATCGTAGCCCTCCACGGCGGGATGTCAGAGGGCCAGGGCTTATCGAGGATGGCTGGAAGTAGCGACTCGATTATCGTCGTCTCCGAGTTGGCCTTTTCTCTGGCATTTGATGGGCCAGCGTCACTCTCAGTCACAATGTCTATGTGTTCTTCAAGATTGATTGTCGGCACACGCTCAAAGTACGCTTTATCTGTGTGCTGATCACGTACGATGGCACTCAAGGTCGGATGTTTGTCGATGCAATGTTTGACGGCGCCGTAAAAGGAGCAACTTGAGTGGACATCAAAGTTCGAGCTCCGAAACTCATAGATGGCTCCGACGACGATTGCGTTATAGAAGCCATGATACTCGCGGCTGATCACTCGCAGTTCGTTGGGGCCTGTCTTTTCTTTAGCATGCCGGGTCAAGCATCATAATTCGACGTTTGACTTACTTGCAAACCTCATGTTGGTACTTTGCATTCTGCGTCGAACAGCTGTTGCTCTTTAAAGTTATTGAGCAAAAGTATCACCACGAGTTCAGGACAGACTCGCCATATTTGTAGCCGAGAAGAGTAGCATGGTGAGATGCTTCGGTCCTCATTCGCAGGACGAGGCTCAAGTCCCACAAGCGTTATACTTGACCCTCATAGGAAAGAAAACAGCGGTCGTGTTCTGATAGCTACCGGAAACTTCTTTCTTCTTTCGGTTTAGTGCAGGCGGGTGCCAATTTGGCGTGTTCTGGTCCGTAAGCAGTACCACCTATCTGTGCTAATTCGGGGGCCTGCGCTAGGACAGATGGACAGTCAACTGGGGCCTTGCAGCGGTCGCCCAACCTGCCCTGGTTAATGTAAGGGACGGACCCTTCCCCCTGCGCCACCGACCAAATCTCTGGCTCCGGATCAATCATTGTCGAGACTCAAGTCCAGGTACCAGATCCCATACACCTGCCTTCATTCATTCAAACGTTACTTCTGCGCGTTATTTCATATTACAAATCACGGAATCAAAGGCCAAAGACTGCGGAATCGTTGCTCATGGCTCACTTTCCAATTGATGGTATTGATGCACAATCTTCGGCCATTGTTGTGCCACCAAAGAAGCAAATGACCTGTGAGCGTTGCCACCAGCTCAAAGAGAAATGCACCTACGCAGAATCACAGAACTCCTGCACTAGATGTTGCGCACTCGGCAAACAATGTTGTCCGAGACTCAAGAAACGGATGGGACGGCGTCCGGTAGCACCAAAGCTACCTTATGGTGCCACCTCGGTCATGGTTCTTGTCAAGAATGATCAGAATGTTGAGGTGAATACCGCTGGCGGAAGTAGTTTGACAGCCCACCATGGCGCTGTACCGTCTGCCAAAGCACTGGCCAGGAGCCCACGCGGTCGCTTAAGCAGGTCTGGTCAGCGGCCGCCATGCCCCAATGCTCCAGACGTTTCCGATTTTACAGCGTGGTCAAACTGCTACTCCCCGCCAAACTTCCGCGTCCTTCAGGCGCCTCTGAGGACAACGGTACAGGTCAACTGTATGCTTGAAAGCACCGAGGTCTTTTTCGCTGTCCATCGGCCATTCATGCTTGGCAGGTCTTTTTTGCCCGAATTTCACTCCGTAGTAAGGAGGCTGTTCGCACGATCCCCCCAGGTACTCGCAGATGCATACACGGTGGCCATGAGCTTGCTGTCATCGCGACATGCGACATTCAGAGGCCTGGATGAACACGATCTAGCGATCGGGATCCATTGCCTAGAGAGACTCATGGGTAGTCCGTCGTGTATTTCCCGGGCCGAGGACGCAGCCGTGATCCTCTTGCTCGGACAAGCCATGCACGTCTATAATGAGCTGATTCCGACCCCGGACTCACAAATAATCACCCGTGGCACATTACTAAGCGTTCAGCGTTGGTTCCCGTCTCTCCTTGAGCGGCCCGACTTGGACGTTGTAACCCTGACTCCAGTCCTCACGGACACGGTTGAGTGTCTGATACGGAGGGAGATACCTGTGATACGAGTTCCAACAGCGACCCGCTGCATCGTCGATAGGTTCGCCGGCCTCTCCTCATCTCTACTCCCCCTACTATATGAGCTATGTGAAAGGAGCTACGAAGCCAAACTCAATGGAACGGAACCTTCTTTGGTTGATGCTGAGCGTATTCCCTATCCCGACAAGGACCCTTACCACGATATTGAGTGCAAGATCAGTAGATGGCAGCCGCAATTGCCGCCTCATTTCTTTACAAAATACTCATCATTCGAGGTCAGTGTCATACTTGCGCAAGCCCAATGTTATCGTCTTGCGGCTTTGCTTGTTATTCATCGCTTGCGTTTTCCGCTCGGTGTTGAGGATGCGGCGGCACAAGTCTATGCCGGTGAAATCTTACATGAACTTTCTCTCCTAAAATCGTGGCCGGCAGACGCAGCTACAGGTCTAGCCCTAGACTTTCCTCTACTGGTGGCCACTCTGGAGCAGCCAGAACCCGGAATAGAGATATACAAAGCCTTTGAGCCATTCAGGTTTCGTAGGCAGCACTCTCTCGAGCTGTTAGATTTCATTCACTTTGTCACCACCCAACGACAAAGTGGCTTCAAGGGACTTTGGTTCGATCTTGCAAGAAACCAGCTACTTGGAGTCACGCTCACATGAACTTGCGCACTACTTCGACGGGCTTAGACAACTGCCATTGATACCATGAAATGATCTCAAAGTTTTGGTGTTCTCCACCACTACTGAGACAAGTCGGCATAGGAATAGCACAAGACGCTGCCTTGGATTTCCAACACCTGCTTCAGCGTTACATTTGGAGCCAATGCCCCAATATTGATTTCGAAGTCCAGGGTAACATTCTGTCCACCATAGTCGAATGGAACGATTGGACCACCAACTTGATTTGTTCGCACGGGGAGGTCTTTGGACTGCCACAGAGAGAAAATGCGGTCCAAGTTCCCATGGTGTAAATAGAAGAGAGGGTCTGAAACTCGGTTAGCGAGTGCACTGTCTAGAGGAGCTGCAAGTCCATTATGCGCTGCGCATATCATATTGCGAGAGTCAGCCAAAGTTCAAGACAATCAACTTACCGCCAGGGCTATTGTTCGCATCGCCAATGGTGCCCAGCGCACCACCGACACCAAAGTGACCACCCCCATGGATGTTGGGCTGATCAAAGCTCGGTACGTTTTCCACCGCCCGAGCAAACGCGGTGTAGTCTTCTGTAGCAAGGACTTGATCAACAAGACTCTGCTGAGCCCAGCCGTTCATGATTGGAGGTATAAAGTCTCGTGTGAGGCAGTGCGGACTTGGCACATTCACTGTAAACTGATCTTGCGTAAAGGGGCCATCCATAACGCAGCCACCTCCAGTGCGGCTAGTCAAATTGAACGGGTTGTTCGTACTGTTAGTCTCTACGTACGGCCCATTACCACCGAACCCTGTCTCTGGATCGAATACAGGGCTTGAAAAGACGGCGGTACTGTTCGTATCATTGACTGAGGAGACATCAAGAGACCAATTCCAATACCTGGAATCAACGTGAGCCATGACATATATGCATTGAATTAATGGTATTTGCCAGAAAGGTATCACTCACGGTTGACCACCAGTGTAACCGCATTCATCGCGGAGAGCTTTCTCATAGGTCGCCACAAAATAGCGATGCCACAGGATAAAATGGCCCTGGTTTGGAGCATTAGTCAAAAGTCAGATATGTTACGACTGACAATTTACTTACCACCCAATGAATAGTGGGCGTCTGATCGCTGTGAACCGCCTGATGATCGTCAAATCGATTGATTGCTGCAGAAAACCCAGAGATGGCTGGCTTTGTAGTCAGACATTTTACTGCTTCGATATATGATTGTTTTTCGATAGAATTGAGGGTTCTCCTGCAAACAAACTTAGTACCATTGGTTTGAGCTCCTGATTGACGCTCACGGTCAACTCACCACTCCTTTCTGACTGGTGGATCGACGCATGATGGCGATGCTCCTCGGGTTACAGTTTCATGATTACTTTGCACAGCTCGTGCTGTTGTCTCGAGAAGTAATATCCACAAAATAATTGATCCAAGAAACATGTTAATTGTCACGACTGTCTAATCACACAGATGCCAATATAGTTTCTACGACAGCTAATGGGGAAAGCAGAATTTAAAAATGTGAAAGCCGTATGATATAGTTCGTTAGCTGCTCGCAGAATATGACCATACGAGCGCTGCATCTAATGCAGCAAAGGGGCACGTTGCCGGCCACCAAACAGAATGCTGCAAAGGTTTCTCCAATGCAACGTCTCGCTTAACATACTGAAGCATACCGGCAGAACGGCAGCAGGGCGGTCGCGAGCATAGGCCACGCCAACCTCGGTCGCCGAATCATGACTGAAAGACAATCCCTTGGATGCAAAGACTGGATGTCAGCATTGGCATCACCATATGCATTGATCCCATGTTTTTTCTTGAGCAAAGTCTTCGCCCCAATGAGGTGTGCACGGATACCAATGCAAGACACGATCTCGGAAGTATGACCCGACTGCCCAGCCTTTATCTCCGAGGAGACATACAACTCCACGTAGGTAATCAAAATCCCACAATCAATATGCACATTGTATACATAGATTCTAGTGGTATCTAGCCATGTTCCATTCAAACATAATCCTTGTGATTCACAGCTACATGAAATAAGCATTCATGTTCAGCTCCAAGCAAAGTCATCCTCAAGTTGCAAATGTCGGAACTTCGCGAATCATAAACCGATAAGAATCTGTCCAAGTCAAACGACCCCGCCCAGGGGTTATACTATCCTAGATGATCTCAACGTCATTATTGGGCAGGCACCTGTATCTTTATCGAGTCGGGTTTGCGTCTAGACTGCTCTACTTGTTTACATGGCCCAAAAATGAAGGTTTCTCGGCAATCAAAGGTAGAAGCATCTCATATGAACCACGGCCGAGCGCTAGATGCTGATTTGATGCACGTTCCCAGAAGATAGAGCTGCGAACCACTTCTCATGAGTCAAGAGATAGGGAGGTCGAGATAGGCTAGGCCTATCCGTTCCGGGATCGGCTTTCCCCACTCGCTATAGCCCGTGATTAGCCGTGACAAGCACGATTGTACCTATTTAAAACATCGTGATAATAATTGGTGACCTTGCAAGAGAAGCATATACTTTCTCAAAGACTATAGTCACGGTGGCCGATATGTCAAACATTGCAGCGGTGGGCGCGGCAGCTGCAGCGCGAGCAGAGACGACTGTTGAGTTGGAAGATGTTGGACCCAGCGATACGGTCAGGCAGATCGAGTCGCAAGTCTCCGGGCCATCGGTTTTTGAGGCTCCCAATGGAGGTTACGGGTGGGTGTGCGCACTGAGCGTCTTTCTCATCAATGCCCATACCTGGGGAGTCAATGCTGTAGGTACTCCACTCTGCTCTTGGCCAACACGAGGAAGCTGACGGCTTGATCGATAGTCGTAGGCCGTTATTCTGGCCTGGTATTCCGCCCATGACAAGTTTCCAGGCGCAATTCAGCTGGAGTTTTCCCTGATTGGTGGCCTGTCCATTTCCCAAGCACTTCTCGTATCTCCCATTGTAACCAAGTGCTATCACCGCTATGGCCTGCGGACCAATCTCCTCATTGGCGCAGTGCTCGAGTTCATTGCCTTGATTACAACCTCGTACGCCACTCAGATCTGGCATCTTTTTCTCAGCCAGGGTATCTGCTTTGGGTGGGGCATGGGATTCCTGTATATAACCGCCACGTCGGCCTTGCCGCCGTGGTTTTCGACCAAACGAAGCTTGGCTGTTGGCCTGTCTACTGCCGGCGCCGGCGGAGGCGGAGTCGTGTACAGTCTGGCAACCAATGCCGCTATACAGAGCGTCGGGATAGAATGGACATACCGCATTCTCGGATTATGCACGCTTGTGGCCAACATTGGCACGTCCTTTACAATGAAGGATGTCCCTCATGGAGTGCACCACCACAGCCGACAAGGTCCCATGTTTCGGATTCGCGACTTCACCCGTGTCGAAGTCCTCCTCGTCGTGTTCTGGGGGCTGGTTACCGAATTCGGCTACATCACTTTGCTCTACTCGCTGCCCAGTTACGCAACTTCCATTGGGCTGACATCTACTCAAGGCTCTGTCGCCAACGCCATGCTCAATCTTGGACTGGCTCTCGGTAGACCATTGATTGGGTACTTTAGCGATCGTCTCGGCCGTATAAACATGGCAATGTACATGACAGCCCTATGCGGTATTTTTTGCTTCACCTTGTGGATTCCCGCAAAGGGATTCGCTCTGCTGTCCATCTTTGCGCTCCTGGCGGGAGGCATCTGTGGCATCTTCTGGGCAACCGTGACACCAATCCTTGCCGAGGTCGTGGGTGTTAGCAAGCTTGCGCCCATCTTTGCCGTGACCTGTGTCCTAATGGTGCTCCCGACCACGTTTGCCGAAGGAGTGGCCATGCAGATTGTCGGCTCACAGAAGACGGCGGACAACGCATTTCTCGCCGCGCAGATATTTGTTGGCTGCACCTTTATGGCCGGCTCGCTGAGTTTGGTGTTGCTGCGATCTTGGAAAATTGCGGATCTGGAGTCTGAGGCTTCGTTTGCAGCCTCGGACTTGTCGCGAAGCATTGTTCGACTCGCGGAATCTGGACGTCGCGCTGACCTGTCATGGCTTAGCCCAAAAACCATTCTCAAGCTCAAGAGGGTGTGATGGCCATGGTCATGCATGTGATTGTTTACTCTCTTGGTGAATTGGTACGATGGACTCTGGCTCCCGGGTTTTATGAATAATGTTTTTCAATCTTTATTTTCAACATGCCTTCTTTTGGGCCAATACAGTTCTCTTATTTTTGGTTTCCTAGATATACAGGTTGCTCCGTACGGCTTTCCGAGGTGGTGTTTCACACTTTGCTCTATGGATTAGGAGAAAAGACCATTGCATTGTTTTTTTTTTCTTAAGAAATCTATCTTCTCTGTCACATAATGTGAGATTTCAATCTGTCTTTCAATGCCCACTCAGGTGGTCCCACTCCTTTACTTGTTCTATTGGCCATGTCAACCAGGATATGTCTTGGATATCCAAAAGACCTTTGATCTCCTTTAGCACATGCCAACTCCACCCCCTTCCAAATGGTCCATGCTCTATGCTACGAAGTGCCACCATGAAGTGTGCAAGTATTATCAGAGCAGTGGTTTGCTTTCCTTGCAGGCATGTGATATAATCATCATGTAGATCGTAAAGCCATCTCGTCACCGACTTGAAGTGGGAGCCGTCCATTTTCCTGGCCGTCTCTACTGTACCAAACGCAGCAGAGAAACATGTACTCAAGGACTCGAGTTCATATCGGTATGTCTCTTGCTCAGAAGGCTCAGACTCCGAGACAAGGCTTGATAGTGATTCAAAGTGCGCTTCCCACAGTACTGGCTTGGTATCGCATTGGAGATGTGAATAGTTGCCAGCTTGAAAACAGGCACCCATACTACCTAGAGGCCTGAATATGGCTTCGACGCCCATTGTCTCAATCACAAACCGCACACCACGGAACAAGTTCAACCATGGAACCTCGGACCCTTCAGCAATGATGAGCAGGTGGCCTGGAGCCGGCCGCCTTGCAAAGGTGGAGATGCAGATGAGATTGCTGGCAATGAACAGTATGGGGGCGTTTTCTTTATTGATGTCTCTTATCAGCCGAGTGACAGGCGGCACTCCCAAGGCGTGATGTGCATCGGCAAGTCTTTCGTATCTATGTGCTTCGTCAGGTCGCATCAAGGCCATGTGCAAAGCTGAAAAAGCCAAGACCAGATGAAGTAGACTAGGGACCCTGAATGCCATTTGTGGGACCTTTTCTTGCCAAAGTTTGGGGTATCCAAAGTACTGGGACGAGTTCATGATGAAATTATGGAAAAGCTCAAGTTCATCCACATTGAGGTGTATAGACGATGACTGATCAAGGCAATTTTGGTCATCTTGCAGCGATGGAAATGACGGCAACGGGGACGAATCTATAGGTGAACTCCAATTCTTGCGTGGACGCCCACGTTTCCGTGGTCGCTGCTCGCAATGGTGAGCACTATCCAGGGAAGATGATCCCAGGTGGGAATCAGAATCGGACGGATATTGGCAAGGCAGGCGGAACCTCTCGCAAGACCGACAAATGGGTTTGTTTTCATTACACTAGTATTGGATTAGACCTGGTCAATTATTCACGGGGTGAATAGAAATGCGTACTTGCCTTTACTTTTCTCATCTTGCAAGATTGACACCCTGAGCGAGACTTGTAATGTTGCCTGCGTGGGGCCCTTGCAGGGAGTAATGCTACTTTACTTTCAGGTGGCATCGTAATTGGTGTAGTGAGAAGTATCAATTTACTTGTCAAGAATCCGGCCCAGTGTCGCGCATCAGGACAATATCTGGTGTAGCATAAACTTTCGTTGGTTTGTTTGTAGAGAAAAACGGGAAGTGGTAAAACGAATCGAAACTAAGAATCTGCAGCGAAAAGCAGGGAAAAGGAAAGCGAAAGAACGAAAAGTTTCCGATTGGCCAAGCCGTGGTGATGGTGCCGCCTAGAGTCAATTCTTATTCGGGTGCCTGAATCCATCTGTCAGGGTGCTGTAGCCAGCCAATCGCAGCATTTTCGTTCCATTTGCGGGGCACTTCTAATATTGAAGGCATCATTCGTGAGGTATAGTGAATCCCAGCCAGACAATGGTCAATCGTTGAAATCATCTATCATCAAATATGTAACGGGCCACGGACACACAATGGGTCCGAAACTCCTATATATATGCATAGGTATTTCTATGCAGATTCGAGTTTATTCTAGTATTCCTCTTTCCGCATTGCATTTCCCTCAGCTCTATATCCATCTACGTCGCACACAATGGCAACCGTTTTTCAGAATTGTGTTCCTGAGACGTTTAGTGACCTCTTCCTCAATGGCTCTCAAATCACCTCAGTTCTGGCCAACGTTGTCCAGAATGCGACCTTTCAGTTTGATCAAACTCTTCGATTTGACCAGCCCGAAATCCCGACGAGCAATTTTGACTATTGCAATGTCACCATTTCCTACAACCATGCTGAAGAAAATAATACTATCATAGTCGAAACATTGCTTCCAACCGATAATTTCAATCAGCGGCTCATTGCCGTCGGAGGTGCCGGCTTTGTTGCTGGCCGAGGTCTTCTACAACAGTGGCAGATGCTAGCAAATCTGGCAGAAGGCTATGCAACAGTCACTACCGATGCTGGGCTGGGAACGTCGATTAGTGCAGACTCGTGGGCCCTGCTCAGTCCTGGACATGTAGATCTCCAGAAGCTGCAGAACCTGGCATCGGTTTCTCTCAATGACCTAGTAAGCCATTTCGCAAAAAAAAAAGATCACATCTAGTGGGAAGACTGTTGACAATCACACAGGCCATTTTGGCGAAGCAAGTCGTGCATGCCTATTCCGGAGCGCCTCCACTCTATTCGTACTGGAATGGCTGCTCCCAAGGTGGTCGACAAGGCATGATGCTAGCTCAACTTTACCCAGATGCATTTGACGGGATTGCAGCGGGCGCGCCAGCTATCTACTGGACTGAGACAATGTTCAATATGTACTGGTCCCAGCTGTACATGTCAATGATTGACCAGTACCCATACGGGTGTGAGCTCAAGGCAATCACAGCCGCTGCAGTCGCGTACTGCGATCCGCTTGACGGAGTCGAGGATGGCATTGTTGCAGACTCGGATATGTGCCTTGAACATTTCAATGTATCCTCCCTGGTCGGAACGACAGTAGAGGACTGCGCACAAACCAACGGCTCTGTAAAAATAAGCAAGGCAGCCGTCATGGTAGCACACGCAACCTGGCAAGGCATTTCTGATTTGCAAGGAAATATCCTCTGGCCAGGCTTTGGCATCGCTACTGATATTGCTAGCGGCACTGCCAGCACTATTTGCAATACTACCACATGCTCGATGGACGTCTCGGAATCGTACGGGATTCCCGCAAACTGGCTCCAACTCTTTGTCGCCAAAGATCCCGATTTCAACCTGGCAGACTTGACACTGGACGAATTCATTAGCATGTTTAATAACAGTAAACGAGAGTATAGTTCAATCATCGAAACTCAGAACCCAGATTTGTCAGAATTTTCGCAGCTGGGCGGCAAGTTGATCAGTTTCCATGGTCTAGTAAGTAGTCAAGCTATTTTCGTGAGGCCAATTTGTTCTTGAGATGACTCACAAGCCTATAGTCTGATCAGGATATCACACCCAAAGGTAGTAGATATTATTACCAGCAGGTTAAATTGGCAACAGATGGGATACAAGACTTTTATCGCCATTTTGAGGTTCCCGGTCTGGCTCATTGTTTTGGTGGAACTGGTGGGCAGCCAACATCTTTATTCGCCCAGTTGCGCGCTTGGGTGGAAAATGGTACAGCGCCTGAGACTTCTCCCATCAGCTTCACGTATCAGAACGTTACGTATGAAAATCTTCTCTACCCGTACGATGGTGACTTATGAGCTTGGATCTATTTATCGGGAGCGTGGTTTTCAAGCAACTCGCCTTTAGCATTTGCTGTATAGTAACATTTGTTGGAAAGCCATGAACCAATCTACCAATGATACAGCGCAAATACAATTGATTGCCATCAAAAACAGTCTGCTCATTGTTGAATCTTTTTTTTTTTTTCAAGGCGAGACACTCGCGGGCTAAATAACAGTACTGAGCGTGTCAGATGCGAACCAAAGTTCCACATATCAATACCTGATATTATTAATGATATAGGGGCAGTCGTTATAGCCACGATCAGCGCCATTTGCCTTTGAGAATGAACGCTATCTCCGATCAGAATGGAGGCCGTGAGAATTAAAGGCGGCTTACCGAGTGATTCTTCGATTCACCGTCTCGAATTCACCTAGTCGCATTGAGATCTGTTACATTGGCTATTCTACGGAGTTTATTGCGACGTATTACTAATGCTTGGCATCAAGAAAATCCAAAGGCAAGACTCCCTTTGTCATCGTACAGACCCGAGAAACCGATGAAACCAGTGGGCGAGACCATGGAGTACACCGAGGCCCCTTCCCAGGCAGACTTTGTAGGTCGACGACAGAACATAAATGCAAGATCCAAGAGGACTCCCCCAAATCCACCCCGTCCCACAGCAAAGTACGTCTCGGGTGCAGATCAGTCCAAAAGAGACGGAAAAAAAAAAGCTCCATCTAGGTAATTTCATATTGTGGGCTTATGCGTGGTTTGGGTTACTTCAGTGATTGTCAAGAATTGATGTGGCTTGGTGTCCTGTCGTCAACCTGTCCCTATCTCAAGCAGAGTTCACCCATGCCAGACTTCAAAGTTTTAGTTTTGGGTATTCGTTATTCATGCATTAAACTCGTACATAAGCGCTTCATGACCCTGCGTCGGAACTGGACGCGGCTACTGATCCCTTTCTAGCTTTTTCTTTCATCTCGCTGTAGGCCAGGGCGCCGGCTCCTGCTACTTGAGCCGCCTGTTCATTGCGCTTCCTCCTCTCGTACTGCTTTAGAGCACTATTTCTCTGGTCCTCTTGGTTTTCTTTCCGTTTCCTCTCCTCGTAGTGTTTTAACATGGTGTAAATGGTGCCGAGTGGCCATGACTGGGCGACTGGGCGCAGGCCGGCTGGGAAGACGGCCGACTCGTTGCTGATTTCTTCCAGCATGCGGTTGAGTACAATGACTTGTTTCCACGATACTATCCTGTCACCTATAAGAAATGCCGGGTACCGTGCCGTGGCGATCTCATCAATAAGCCAGGTGCGGTGAAATAGTGGCCGGGCAGAAAAGTCCTGGAGCGCAGAATAATACACTCCGTCGGTTCCAAATTCCCAGAGATGTTCGAGTTTGCGCAACCATTCATGTTGCGGCGAGTAGTTTTCTGGGTGGAGAAGCTTGTCCTCGGGCTCGCCGAAATGAGGCGGGAAGACGGCCTCCACCTGCTGTAAGACGTCCAGTGCCACATCCGTTAGCTCCGTCTTGAGTCCGAGCCAGCCGACGACGATCTGCGCGGACCGGTACACCATGGCCATGTGCGTCAACTGCTGGGCCGTCTCTTGCGCGTTGCGCCTGTCGACGCAAAAGGGCTCAAGCCACACCAGCAAGGGCCCTTCGCCAGCTTCATCGAATCTGCCTCTGGGTGATTCCGGAAAGATGGACTTGACGTGTTTTAATGCCTGGACGAGCCAGCTGGGCGGTCCCTTCTTCTCCTTGCCCTGGCCGGGTGAGCGCGAGCGGTCCAGCCGTACGGTGGGGTCGAGGAACACGGCCCGCACATGCCTCAACACCTGGCCCAATGCCGCCGGGACCAATATTCTCTTGTTATTGATGAAGACGGGTTCCTGTTCGGTCTCCGCGGACAGGCATGAGATGGCGACATATTCCGTCTTATCCGTGAGTGCGACATTGACGATGCGACAGACTGGTGGCTCCTCAATGTTTTCTGCCGCCTGGAGTTCGAGGAGGCGGATTTCTGATTTCGCAGAATCCAACTTGCGGAAACTGACGCCGCTGGGACTCTGTGTCTCCATTCCCAATAATCCCAGATACGTCGGCTTACCGAGCGCGGATCATGGCCAAGCTCGAAACGTGGGTAGCTCGTGTGTTTATCGTCTTTGAGACTTATCGATTCGCTCCAAATTGACTGGTCGTGGCACTTGTTCTCGAGGCGAACGGTTCCGTCAAAGTGAGAATGCGCGTTGTTCTACTGTTGTTGCGGTTGTACATGAACGACGCGCCAATCCAAAAGGATAAGGCCTGGAGATATAGGGACCTGTCATTGTTCGACCCTTGTTCTCGAGGAGCATAGAAGCCTCTATTTCGGTCGACAGATTATTCCCGCTGTGGATAGCACTTTCTTGGAAACTTTCGGTGAGATCACCAGCTTCGGCAAGGTCACTTTCCATTGGACTGGGACGCCCCCAGGATCGTGGCGGAGATCTCCATTTCAAAGCCTTGATTCGACCTTCAGCTCGGGGCCCACACATCGACTAGGCGCCGCTATGTGCTTGGTAGTCAGCTGAAGAGATTGATGTCCCGTAGTATTGATAAGATATCTCCCGTCTACCATGATCAACGCCAACCCGCATGTGGCAATCGTTGGAAAAAGACCAGGCCCTTGGGCTTTGCCATTTTTGCGCCACGATAGGAACCCGTTCGGCACAGCACGGGCAAGCCTAACTAGAAGCACATTGGCATCACTGATTCGGGGTTTGTCTAGAATTGAGCAGATACCGATGCGGGGGGAAATCAGGACCCGGATGCTCGTCAACAGCGAGTAATTGTGCATGAGCTGCCAGTGTCTGCGTTGTCCTCCTGTCTGTCTGATGAACATTCTGGAACTAGAGAATAACTTGTTGCTAGGCAGGTGTTGGTTCGTGCGACTATCTTGCGGCAGTCAGTTGCCGGCGTCCATTTTTCTACCCTATCTGGACTGGTTTCGCTGTGGAGTTTGCAACGCTCTTCCATCTCTGCCGAGGTAGTCTGACGCGACGGTGCGAATGAAGAAAAGATCCGCGGCATCAATGGAAGCTATCAACAAGTGAACACGGTCCTTCTCTTGGGGTCTGGTTTTCACTGATTTACATGCAATGTAGACACTCGTACGTCATTATCCATATGCTGTCTACTATCCCAACATGCATGCGTACGGCAAAGATTTTAAGACTTCCCAAGTGCACGAGGCAAGCTGGGTCTGCATGCTTCCAGATGCGATTTCATCGTGCAGATTGTGCCAAGCACGACAAGGGGCCCCTGAAAAATGCAGTAGCCCATCATGTAAGCAACCCTAACTGTGAGCTGACGTGCAGTGATCCGCACTTTTGAGTTTCCACTACCCTACTAAATGCCACATGTTCTCTGCGGCGGCGACATGTACCGCGCACTAGCAGGCAAAAGGGGAGAAGAACATGGCAATCTTTAGGCCCAGGATGGGCAAAGAAATGCATCTTTTGGTCAAAACTACTACACTAGGGGCTGAAAAGCACCAAAGTCCCGCACATGAAGCACGAGTCATTTTCCGCACCCAGCAAGATAACATGGTGTCGGTAACAGTGTCAGGCGCGGTCCGCTCGATTGGAATCATCTTTTCCGTGGATTTACGTATTTCGTACGATGGGCGGAGCCGAATAATAACTGAAAAAAAAAAAAAAAATTGCCAAGGATTTTTCAGTGTTCTGGAAGGGAGAATTCTTCTTTTGATCGTCGGCATGGGACACGATGTCCTTGTTGTACGTGTTTGGTGTAAAGTGCCCACCCAGTTGATGGTGCTCAACCAATTTCCATCCTGCTGTTTAGATGCAACGCAGCACGAGGGACTGATACTGTTTTCTTGCATCAAATCGAATGCCCCTTTGTCACTGGAGGGTCCCAGTCAACAATTCCATCGGTACCTTTTGAACTTCATCCTCTGGGTGCGATGAATTTTGTGTGGTGTTTCTTTTTGTGCCATCGTGACTCTTTCTTAATTACAAGACGCGCTATTGAAATCTGGTTAATCTTGTAGGGGGAGGGCCAGGGCACCACGTTGGGCTGCCAAACAAACGTGCGCGTTCTTTCGTTGGGCCACAATGGATACCTACGCAGTCGAATATGACGAAATATCAAAAAGAAGGACCTTTTTGAGTAGTAAAAACGAAAAAGAAAAGAAGGAATGGAGAAGGCGGAGACGTATGATCAATGTTCCACGATCTCTCGGCACCCTGCCGAAACCGCAGGCCCGGGACTGCAGGTCTGGCCCCTGGGAGATTGGTGACCCGCGGGCGCATCCATCGGCACAGGGCGCAGAGTCTCACCCTCTTCGACCCGAACCGCAGTGGGGCTTCGGTCGGCCGGCCGAATGCCCAACGCCATGTTCTCACGGATACGGGATACGGACGGACATGGTAGGATTGTCGCTCTCTCAACTCTGGATTTCTTGGTGCAGTGCGACGTGAAAGAAGGAATGCCCCGCGTAAGACGTAACAACTTGACGCTGACATGCTGCAGCTTACGGCCGCTGTAACGAATGACACCAGCCCCTTAGGGAAAGGTCTCATGCAAGCCTGCCCCTTTTGTCTTGTTTGAACGAATGATGATGCTTTTCATTGGATGAACTCCGAACTCCGTGTGGCGCTCACGGTTTCGACATGCCAATATTGAGAAATCTCACTGATGCTCATTGATGCCTGGTATAATTACTTCATGCTGGCCGCCTGCAAGAACCTCATCGATACCTGCGCCAAGTGACTACCAGAGTCTGCTTCTTGCATCTGCGGCCTTGTTTGCTGCTCTCTCCGGCTTTGTGCAACAACATCAACCATGAGGCACGCATACCTATTGTCAGGTCTGCTGGGTGGTGCTCTGGCGGCATTGGACGGTCTGTGCCCTCCTCTAGGCGCGGTACTGCCTGCGCCAAAGACACCGAGGTCGAATGCACATTTGCAGAAGGAAATGTCCGTCTTGAATGAGACCTTGCACAACATTACTGCATCTCTAGAGAAATCCGCCATCTCCTTTGGTGTCCAGTCCATTCATGAGGCCAAGCCCATACTGGAGTTCCACTTCACGCCCGAAAACTATGGCGCCAATGGAGTCAAGAAGGTCGATGCAGACACAGTGTATCGATTGGCCAGCACTTCAAAACTATTCCCCGTCCTTGCTGTCTTGAAGACTGAAGGCATGGATTTGAACGATCCCATCACAAAGTTTCTGCCCGAACTTCGAAATCTCGGCAAGCAATCTAGAATGCGGAACCAGATGTGGATGGTTGATTGGGATGACATCACACTTGGTGCCCTCTCGTCACATTTAGGTGCTCCCTCTGATTGTATGTGGCATGCCTTTCCTAATCATGGGTCGTCAAGAGCTACTGACGCGCGAGGACAGTGGTAATAGACCTCTCCACAGATTCGAGCAACAATTGGACAGACATTGGCTTTCCGGAGATTGATAATTCGATCCAGCTTAATTGTTCCATCAAAGGCGATCCTCCTTGTCCGGAAAATGGTACGTCAAGGCGATCTGTAACGTCGGATTACGCTGACAAGAACAGTGTTCTGGGATCTCTTTGGTCAACGCCCTCCTGTGTACCCTCCGTTTACAGATGCCGTGTATTCCAACGTTGCCTTTGCCCTACTCAGCTGGGCCGTGGAGATGACCACCAATGTGACTTTCTCCGATTATGTCCGCCAAACCATCTGGGAACCCACGGGCATGCATCACACATTCGTCAGCAAGCCCGATGACAGTCTCGGTGCGATTCCTGTCGACGATACGTGGTGGACGGCCACTGTAGGCCTCGAGAAGGCGTAAGTATTCCAAATAACTTGTTTTGATAGGGTTTTAACCATTGATTAGCGCTGGCGACTATTACTCGAGTCTTTCAGATATGCTCGATTTTGGAATTTCCATTCTTAAAAATGAGCAGCTTTCTCCAGTCGGCACGCGGCGCTGGCTCAAGCCCGTGGCTCCCACATCGTCAACTGCCACATTACTCGGCACGCCATGGGAAGTTTACCGGTTCACCAATGTGACCAAGGACGGGCGTCTGATTGAGCTCTACACCAAGATGGGCAACATCTTTGACTATAATTCAAACTTTGTCTTGATTCCCGATTATGATATTGTTTTCCAGGTATTTACGGCTGGCCCCGAGACGTCCGCATTTACTGTCCTAGCCATTACGACGGCCGTGATCAATGCACTACTGCCCGCGCTGGAGGAGGCTGGCAAGGAAGAGATGCGAAAGACGCACACCGGAACTTATAGTGACGCAGCATCCAATTCGTCCATCACCTTGTCGCTCAATGACGAGAACCCTGGCATCAAGGTCACCAATTGGACAGTTCGGGGTGTTGATATTTTTGAATCGTTCCCCACCATTGAGAGGGCCTTTATCAAGGGCACTGCCACGGATCCTGGAGCTAAGACTGAGGACAAGAAAGACGAGGAGAATGTCAGGATGAGACTGTACCCGACGGGTCTGGAGGCAGAGGACCAGAGCTCCTGGAGAGGTGTGACCACATTTGGCACAGCTGAGCAGCTGGCTGCGGTGGACAAGCAATTTCTATGGCCCATGGCCACATGCATCACCTGGGCGCAAATGGATAGGATAGTGTATGGCCTCCAGTCGCAGGACCACTTCATTTTCACGCTTGATGAAGCAGAAGACGGAAAAGAGGCGGTCACAGTAGAACTGCCGGCGTATCGTGTCACGCTTCGCAAGGAGACAATTGCCCTCGGACCGAGCGAAAGTCAAAAGCCTTTGGATAGCTACTAGAACTATACTACATCGAGATATTTACCCTCATCCACCATTGGCTCGGGATCTTTGCGTGTTCTCTGGATGTAGTCAATGGCCTCGAGCAGATAGGGCACGAAAAGCTGCGGGTTCTCGGTTGCGGGAAAGTGCCCGAGATTGTCCATCTTCTTGAAACCAGCGCCCTTGATCTTGTCGGCGGTCGCCTTGCTCATGTCTGGAGTAGTGCTCCAATCATACTCGCCCGTGAGAAAGTAAATGGGACACTTTTGAACATCAATCTTGTGCACACGATCTCGAGCGTCGAAGCCGCCAAAGTAAAAGTCCAAGTCACCGTGGAAGATGCCATACGCCTGTCCGCTATACATGTGCCAAATCAGCTGCTTGTTGGCGTGCGGCGATTGTGGAGCCATCATGCCATAGATCCAGTCTGGATTGAAGAGCGACTGATTGACGAGTGGCGATTTATCTTGGAACTGTCGATCCATGGTCAAGTAATCGCAGCCCTGTAGAGGTATCGTCCCGCCGGAACGAACCTCGTCGTTGCGAATCGCCACGGCGACGCATACCTGGCCGGCCATGGAGGCTCCGCAAATGATTGGTTTGTTGAGTCGCAGGCCCTTGACCACGGCCGCAATGGTCCCAACGTAGGCATCTTCGTTGTTGGTATGGTTTCCAGGTACATAATTGGCGCCGGGAAAAGATCTGCCGTGCGCTGGGAGGTCAAATGCCACCATGGTGCAAGCACGCTGCATGTCTGCATTATTCATCACGCCATGGTACTGACGGGAGTCGGCGCCGGCGGTGTGGCAAAAGACGATCTCTTGGGGGCCGGATCCGCAGGTCTCGTAGAAGATCTTGGTCCGACCCCAGACCGGACAGTCGAGGTAGATATACTTTCCAACAATGTGATCATCTTCCGGAAGGTCCATGTGTGTTTCCTTGATAGGGCCATGCAAGCCTTCGCGAAGCAGGTCCAGCAGGCGCGTCGCAAGATGCCCGTACTGCGCAAACTTGAGCTGATCGCCGTGGACGCCGACGCCTTCCTGCTTGATGTTCATACCCTGCAGGCCGACGAAACTGGTGTATGGCGCTTTGGGATTGGCATCAAAGAACTTTTCCCATTGGTCGGCTTTGGCCTGAAGTGTAAAGTCTGCGGCCTTTGATGATCCGGTGTCGACTGTAGTTTTGGCTCCAGGGTCGACCTTTACGAGAATAGCATCGTCGGCGCCGACAGACTGAACGCCAATGGTCACTGACTGAACAATTGCCTTGGTATTGATAAAGGCCTGCCATTGCGGGTCTCTATCTAGGGCTTGTTTCAATGACGAGACGGATTTGTCCATGGCTCCGGGGAGCGAAGACCAATTGTGCGCAGATTTTGACATGTTCGATATCCTACACAGGGATTCTGCTAGAGTTCAAGCAATGGTCCTGGCACATTGATTGAGCTCAACTATTAGAATCAAGCTGGGTAATATACATAGACATGATGAAGGGCTCGGGTACAGTTTGCGGGGTAGTGAAAGGCGAATCTAGTGCATCATTGTTGGAGTTGTACAACCGGCTGAAGGTTAATGGAAGCCATGGCGAATGAGGATCCATACAGCAAAGCTTGTGTAGCCCCGGGTCTCTATCTCCAGGAGTAAGCCCACTCATGTTGATCTTTTGTACCATGGTAAACCCGCATCTTCCGGGCGAGATGTGAATATCAAGGCACGTACTACTTTAGATGGGGATAAGTACGATAAAGTGTGTGATATATTATACTACTTAGATGAGTTTTGCGCCTTGAACGCCAAATATTCAGAGGTACCAGCTTTGTCAACCTTCTGTGCCTGTTACGACACGACAAGTCAACAACGAGGTCTTTGCTAACCTATAATACAACGCCTCTTTAGTTGGAAATGACTGGTGCTCTACCATCAAACTCGGTAGTCTCCAAGGCGTTCGCTACCATGAACCTAGCAACACTGCCCCTCGAAATCTTGGGCATAAATCCAATCCCCTTTCCGTCGTCGGGATACACTTTGACTTCTGCCGCCTCGCCCTCCACGAACATGGAGGGACGTACGATGACAAAGTTGACGCCCGACTTTCTGGTCTCGGTATCCACGGCGTTATGATCAATCATTTGATATTTCATGTTGCTATAGGTGAAGACCATCTTCATGAGACAGTTGAGCGAGTCGTAGCTGTCGGCCGTGCCCGCGCTGCTGTTAATCACAATCTTGTCTGCGCCGTATTTTTTCATGGATGCAATGGCATTGGATACGGAGTCGGCCATCAGTCGCTGTGGGGTGTCGGGCGAAGGGGAAGAGAATGGTGAGTCGCTTGCGCGTCGAGCGTTCAAGGCCACCACGACGGCCGTTGGTATTGAAGAAGGATTAGCCTCAAATGCCCTATCGACATCTTCGGACTTGAGTGGTGTGCCTTCGACAATGAGAAGGCCTTCTTTTGCAGTCAGGGATGTGGATTTCCTGACAAGGGCTGTAACCTGGTGGCCGCGTGAGAGGGCCTCTTCGATGACCAGTGATCCGACCCGGCCAGTGGCACCAATGACGAGGAAGTGCATGATGAGAGAAGGTATAGTTTTGGGTAAAGAAGAAGGACGATTGGTTGACACGATGTAAGGTCTAAATTTGAAGCACTTGTTGACTCTTGATGCACCTCAGACAGACTAAGTGTTGGAGTTGGCAATGGAGTTAATGGGCTGTGGATAAGATGGAATGAGGATGTAAAACAAAAAGCTTCGCAGCACAGGGAAACGGATTAATATAAATATTTCGAGAGGGTCTAGACATGCCATGTATCTTCCGTCAACATCGACTCAAATATTGTTGACAGGCAAGCAGAATACCATAGCATGCCGCATCTTACCAATCCGGATCCGACACTCGGCCGATACAGCGCCCTAGGCTGTGTTTCGGAGCCGAAATCAAGGGCCAGGAATGTTGCATCCGGGCGAGTGACTTCTACTCAATTTGACATCTTTATGAACATTTAGAGACCTTGTTTGCAAGTTGCCACATCCAGAAATAGAAATGAATTGTATTTTGGCGTCAAACTCGGTTTTGATGTAAAGTTGTTTGTGTCTGTAACAGTTGCCTTCAGCTCGACGGTCTGTTGGTTGTACTAATTGGAGGGCACTCACAACATTAGGAACTTACAGCAGCCCTTCGGCACTCTTACCCCACTAAGTTCCAACGTCTCCAAGGCGTTCCAGAGGGGATTTACCACGTTTTGCTCGCTAAGTACAGCAGCCAGGCTAAGGATTTCAATCACGGCCGCCATGACTCCATATAATCTATATCGACTTGCTACACCGTATGGAATCTGATTAAAATTTATGAAGACATACCAAGTCTCAACCACTATACGACCGTCAGCCTGATTATCTCCTTCTGCTTTTCAAAGACGTCTGGCGCATGAGGCTAAATACAACGACTTTTACACGTCTCCATGCATAAAACTTGACCTTCTATAACGAGCACTCTCTCGCGCTGCAATCTTTTGTTTTCTTTGATGGTTTGGCGAAAATATTACTGATGCGGTTGACGAACAGCCCGAGGGGTTTGGATTTGCCGAACCAGCCACAAAAACACACACAAACAAATCATCCTATGAAAGTCTTGCTCCATCGGCTGGGTCACGTAAGAGTGAGAAATTAGGACGGACTAGGACTTGGCGCAGTTGGCTGCCTGGAAACTTGGAGACGAATCCCTTTTTTAGCAATCTACTAGGCGGGGCGGAGGAACAAGGCGGTAATCCTAGCACTGAGGTCATTCCCCACTAGAACTCTAACACGATGCCACCAGCCAAAGCCCAATGCTTCTCTCACTAGTATCACAGTGAGCTGTGTACAAGACATTAATGGGGGGCCTCCTATAAACCAAAATACGTGCCAAAGGTTCTTCTTTTTCTCAGGACACTTTCGTCTATTCATGCACCATGACGATTCCAACCTTTGCAAAGCCACGCGAGCTCAAGCACACCCCAGTTGACATACTCGTGCATGCATACAACAGCAAGTGTCTCGCCAGCAACAGACTCGGGCCGTGTGGTCCTGACCTGGCCGACTTTTACGGCGACAATGTCACCAACTTTCCGCGGACTTTTCTCCGCCCGCCTGCGTCCGAGGAGGCCATTGCGGCTCTAGACGCCAAGTTTCGCGAGAATGGATTTCCCCACGGCATGCCCGAGGACCTCGCCACCTTTTATCGCGTGACGGACGGCATCTTTGAGGGCGACGATGGCGTATCAGGCGGCGAAATCTTCTCGCCCGTCGAGGGGGTTGAAGTCATCACGGATGCAATGGTGTGGCCGTGCGAGCTCCTTCCCTTCTTTGACGAGTATGAGAAACTCGGGTTCCAGCTCGATCTAAAATGGCCAGAGATCAAATGCGCCGTACAATTAGGCGCAGGTGGCGATGAGGGGGTGCAACTTCTTGTGCCGCCGGCAATGACTAGAGAGGGCATTGACGTGGCGGAAAAAGCATGGGAAAACGGAGACTCAAAGACGAGGCACCAGCTGGAGGCAGTTGCGGAGAGGATATACGGCGGATGGGACGAGATGAAGAAGCTGGAGGTTGCGATGATTCGTAGCTACCATTGGGCGGCGGAGACGGAAAGTTTCTCCAGCTTCAAACACATGCTAGAAGCCTAGTAAGTCGACTTTCGGGGTTTCTGCACTGCGAGATGTCCCTTCAGAGAAGAGCGTTGGTCTGCTACATGGTACTAATGTTCTTGCTTTTTAGTGTAATGGATGCAAGTAGTAAGGAAGGACAACAGGACGACGATGGTGGCAAGGATGACGATGAAACTGAAGACGAGAATGACAGCGCCGAGGAGGGCGATGATGACAATGAGCTTACAGTAGGCTCACAAGAAGAAGTGGATGCGCTGAAGGATAAAAAGATCATTTTCACGGGAACCTTTCAATCAATGGATCGTAAGACTTGCGAGCAGAAGGCGAAAGATCATGGAGGTCAGCTTACTCGAAAGTTGGCCGACGCGGACTATGTTGTGGTAGGCGACAGAGCGGGCCCGAAGAAGCTTCAAGAGATCAGCGAACTTGGCTTGAAAACCATTGATGAGCAACAATTCCTGGCTCTTATTCAAGAAGAAGATCTGGAGAAGACGCCAGACCAAGACTCGGGACCCGTTGCACCAAAGAAGAAAGATGTAATCGTACCCAAGAGCACCCAAACAGGCTCAGTGGGTAAGGATGCATCGGAAACCTTGGCAGGGAAGAAGATCTTATTCACGGGAACATTTGAAACCATGGATCGCAAGCAAGCCAAGCAGGAGGCCGAACAACACGGCGCCAAGGTCATCAGTGCGATACCAAAGGGAGATGGCCTGGACTTCATCGTGCTCGGCGTCAACGCGGGGCCAAATAAGCTGAAAGAGATTGAGCAGCGAGGACTACGCACTATCACTGAGCAGGATTTTCTCGACATGATTGCAGGCCTTGGCAAGGATGAGGCGGCAGCATCAGGCACCGGCCAAAAGCGAGCAAATCAAGCAGCTGCGGAGCCAAAACAGGCACAAAAGCGCCAGCGGGGTGCGAAATAATTTTGTCCAGATACGATGTCTGAAACCAGATGTACCATTGTCTAAAGTCCAACTTCCATGACATAGACCGTCAGATACCTTACCGAATATATCTTTTCAGTCGCGTCAATGAAGCTTCATGGATTATTCTGCACAAGCTTGGGAAGCTAGGAAGAATGTTGTTTGGCATCGGGCTTGGTGGAATGGAGCGTGGAATCGACTCAAAATGTCCTCATTACTCCAAAGCCTTGAGTTCTAACACTGTGCGCTTCAATATTCCAAAGCCATTACAATCCAACCAAGGACCGAATGGCATTAGCGATTGGCGGTATAGATGTGAAAAGAACTGTAATGGTGCCGAAAAGGCCCATGGAAAGGCTAGAGAGTGCAGCCGCTCGAGGATCTGTGCGCAGTAACATGGCGGTCGCAATCGCTGATGAGTTGGCTCCAAGTGTGACTCCTCTCGTGACGTAGTCGTCTATCGTAATGTCAGTATGCACACGTATTGATCCAAGCTTTCATAACGCCTTACCTTCGGGTATCTTCATCCACGCAAGCATCTGCTGTCCGACCAGGGCGCCGATAATGCCACTGGCAATCGCGATCGCAGCGATAGTGTACGTGTCACCACCGAGGTTCACCACGGCCGGGGTAGCGAGGGCGAGTGTCAGGCTGCGAGCCGCAAAGGCGAGACTGCGCTCTGCGGTGATGCCTATGGCGTAGCAAATATACGGATATGCAAACAGAGACGCAATCGACACCAAGATATTTGGTGTCACGATGGCAAAGAAATGCTGACGTAGTTCTCGTCGGTACTGGTACATGGGCAAAGCGAGAGCCACGATACTAGCGTCCAGAACGCTGGACAGTATGTCTCCAGCTCCCGGGAGCTCGTGGCTGCCATTCCACAGCTCGAGGTATTTGGCTCCGGTGCGGTATTCAGTCAGAGTAGTTTCGAGACTGTGGCCCATGGCAAGTCCCAGTACCCAAATGCCAAGAACAGTAAAGAGAGATGAGACGAGTACCGGGTGCAGATATTGCCTCCAGGAAGGAGGAAGGGCAGTGGCTCCAAAATACATCAAAACGCCAAAGCTGAGGTGCATGGGCATGCCATAGCCAACCGCATAATACACGGGAAGTCCCACAAAGAGGAACAGTATGGAATACGTCAACAGGTCAAGATGTCGCACGATTCTCAAAGCCCAGACTTCTGCTCGAGGCAACGGCAGGGGCGCCTGCGGGGGCAGATTCACGGGAGTAGCTTGGCCACTTTCTTCCGAGGGCGTGACATCACCTGGAGCGTGAAGCCGGATTTGCGACGTAGCTTGAGATGCCACCGCCGGCGAAGGTGGGCTGAGATCGAGAGAAGAAGGCGCTGGCGACAGAGCCGATGCAGCATGTTGCTCGTCTTCGCTGGCGGGAATTGCACTCATCGGTATCTCATCTCCTCGAGGGCCCAGTTCCTCGGCACGCTCAGTCATGGCGCGCTTGGATGTGCCCAAAACCAGTTGAATCGCTCGGGTCATGTATGCCGTCGCGACCATCATGACAATGAACCCGATGGCTAAAGATGTCAGATTGATCTTCATGGTCTCTTGCACCGTTAGACTCACCAAAGACCGCAATGATTTTAAATACTTCCACCACGCCAATTGGCGGGCTGAGAGGAAGTAGGACGAACGAGGGCGTGAATGTGATGCTGATCCATCGCAAAGACCAACTTCCCTGATATGGTCAGATAAGCAAACCTTGATATCTTGGAGGGCTTGACTCAACAGGTATGTCGACACATCCGACGAACCGGCGCGTCCTGTGTTCGCCAAAGACCAGCTCAGACAAGAGCAGGGCGAGAAACAAGACAATCAAACATGCGACGGAAGCTGGAAATGAGATATTTCCAATCGCTAGTAGTTTATCAACTCCAAAACATGCCGAAAGGATGGCGACAATCCCCGCTGGAACTGCGAGCCATGACTGAGCGCTGGACTGCCATGAACTCTTGGCTACCTGAATCAAAGCGCCCATTAGCGAGAGACCATGGGAGAACATGCAACTGACTTACAAGTCTCAATGCTTTTGCAAAGTCGTTGAGTCGACTGCTTGCATTAGCTACAGCCATCTCGGTAAGATGATACCAGCACGGTGGTAAAAACAATTCCGTCTAAATTGTGTTTCGGTACCTCTTATCATGAGCTCAATCTCGAGTTTCTAGGTTTCCTCGGTCCAGCGCCGACGTCGGCCGAGTCAATTAGTGGATTTCGAACCGCTACAGGCTCGCCATTCCATTGCCCCGACCGGGACACCAGGAAACCTCCCGTTCTACCTCAGCTCCAGCTTATTCAATTGAATCGAAATTATGATCATGAGTTGATTAGAATGCTCAATAATACGGCAGCGCTTTTGTCCATGTTCGCATTTGACAAAGGCACAGCAGCCATTATGTACATGGCGGCATGAGTGTGTAAACCCCCGGGGGACATCCCGTACCTGTCAACTGCGCATCGGGTGCCTAGCCGAGGGTACAGTGTACGCTAAGTAGACGCAATTTAGGCGACCCCTTCCCCCAGCGGTATGCGACAAGTACACTGAAAAGTGCGCAGAGAATAAAGAAAGGAATGCAGAAGCCTGCGAATAATTTTGAGTCGCGCCGGGCATTGTACAAGACACAGTGACTACAAGGACAATTTCAAGAGTCATGATATGGAATTGCCCAAAGACCCTGCGATTTAGATCGATACCGCCATAACACTGATGAATTCGTTCTACACAAAGCCAGGGCTTCGTGCAATCTACCACTTCCGAAACTCAGGTTCAATTCGTCAAGGGACGCCCCTGAACAAACGACACAATTGCGCAGAGGCACGCAGATACTCCGCGTACAATGCAAACCAGGCGTCACTTTCACGGCCGTTACCTGATATGTGTTACAGCATGGTCACAGGCAGTTTTTTTTTTTTTTTTTGGGTGTTATTTACCTGGTGAACGACCCTCAACTCGGAATTTCCACTAAAGTCAATCTATCTCAACCCCAACGCGCTCCATCGGCATGCTGGTCGATGTGATGTAGACGGCATGCCTCCATGTTTTGGCTTCCAGCGTTGATAAATTGATACCGTCTCCTGTTCACGGTCTGTGAGTTGTCCATTACCATCCTTAGACCATCGCTCCAAAGTCAATCCCCAAAGACATATCTCTTATGATCATGCCCTCTTGTCGTTTACTCGCCATGTACCCTGTGTGGAAGCTATCATGCCTCGCCGGGCTCTTCAACCACGTTAGCCTTGACACTCGTGGCCTTGCGGACCACGTTTTGGCGACAGACCATGAAGTGGAATCTTGGGCAAGGAGCAGACGGTTTACCCCTTATGAGATCCAAGGCGATTTGTAAATCCCAAACCTCCTCACACTTGATCAAGCTCTTCTTGACTCCATTGCACTCCTCTGTGTTGAAGATAGTTCCAAGATCGTCGCGATGGACCTCGATGAAGCTGCGCTCGCAGTCAGCCCAAATTTGGAGACCTTTCTTTTCTGCCAATTCTGTTGATATTGTCAGCATCATCGTCTATCCTCGTACGCAATACCCTGCAACGTACTGTGAAATTCAGCAATGCTCGCCTCGATGAGTTGGCCTGCACTCATCTTTGGGACTTTGGACTTTACCCCTCTGGACTTGGTGGCTGTGTCCTCTTTGGCCTGGTTGGCCGCCAATCGCTTCGCCATGAAGGTTAGATCCTGGGCGTTCACACGATAGATAAAGTAGACATGCTGGACATCCGGAAAGAGTCGAACAACGCGTGGAATAGCCCAGGGGCAAGGACTACCCGTAGGCCCATGTGAGGTTCGACACGCGCACATGAATGGCGTTGCACCCCAGCTTTCGCCTGTGCTGGTTTGCTTCCAATTGAAAGCAATGTTTCGAAGACCCTGGAACTGCTCTCTAGTTCTTGACCAGTCCAGGAGAACAACGTTGAAGTAGTTTTTGACAAAGGTGAACACAACCAAGTCCTTCTTGGCATTCACCTTGACTCGTGAGGCGAACTCCGGGGTCTGAGGCTGGCCTCGGCGCACGGGCAAGGGGGCTACCCACAAGGCGCCATCCGCCGCCAGCTCGTCTACCCATTTCGTGTACGCAGTTCTGGCCGAGTGGTCGACAATGGACATTTTCATACGCTGGCGCCAGCTAGACGCGAATGAAGGGGATCCGCTCGTCTCCCAGGGTGAGATGATCAGCCGATGGAGTGGCTGTTTTGTATTGACTTCCAATCGGAAATGGTGAACGCCATCACTGTTGAAGGCAAGCTTCCAGATATTCAGAACCACCTCGAGGGGCATCTTGTCGTACAGTCTGGGTTTGTTGTCCTCCATGGCGGCGTTTCGTGACTGCAGAATTAGTCAGTGAGGCTATTGATATTGGTGAATCTGGAAATGCTTTCGTGCACGACCCGCAGATCTAATGTTAACCTTGACAAGAATGGATTGTGCAAAGTCGCTTCGAGAGCCTCTCACGGCCACTTGTTTTGAACAGACAATAAAGAGAATGTGGAAGAAGACCTGGCTTGTCGCGATTGGAAAAGGAAAGAAAAAGAGAAAACAGGTGGTTACGCGGGGTCCGATTGGGAAATGACACCACGTAGGGCTTGAATCGGAAGGAAAAGAAGGGGGTAGATCAGACAACGAGCGTGAATGCCAGCATCCTCCCTGCTGCGTCGAGTTGAAGAAGGCAGGCACTTACCAGTCGCGTTTGCTCGAAGCTAGCTTGATTATTAGATGTGCATTGATCTTAGGCCGTGAAGACCGAAACTGTGTCGCAAATGAAGCAGTGATGTCTGCCTGTAGACAAAAGCTCAGGTGAGTGTGCCCCAGTTGTTCCGTTAGACACGGCAGCTGGTGCTTGACGATGTGTGTTGAAAGAGGCGTCCTTCTTTGATTGATGTGTAGATTACGATTGGGAATGCATTGGTGAGAAGCCAATGAAATAGAAAGAGCTCTGATTAGAGTCGGCGGGGTGAAAATTAGAAAAGTGGCAAGAAGGAGTGTTCTCGTGTTAGGTGGCAGGGAACGTCAAAGAAAACGCGTTGGGCCCAGCAACCGTGAATGCAAACGACTGACCAGCTGGACCATGTCAGGGCTTTGGCGCTTAAGGATGTGTTAATGCTGAGGACCTTTTATCTTGAACAGAAAAATTTGACTGGGTGCATCTTATTATTTTTTATTTAACAGTCGTCCCCGGAGTAATGATTTTCTATTCACACGCCCCGTTGGAATAGTTGGATATCATTCAAATATTGCAAACAAAAGGAGAGACTATTTTGTTCGCAGTCTAATTGATGAGCATCGAGTCTCAATATCGAAAATAATTATACAAATACAGAGACCAATGCGAAGTGAAGGTTAGCTTCCAACTTATTCCTCGTGATCATTCAGGGATGAAATTAAATATGATTTTTTCAATACTCCAGAACATTGATTTTTAGCAGAGCCAAGCTCGGGCTCGAACAAGCTAAGTTTCAATCCCACCCTGCGTAATAAACAAGTTGCCAAATTCAATCTCTACCCAGCCGTCACAAAGCATCGTGGAAATTGTCATTATGATTAATCTGCTTCGCCCGAAGTTCTTCCCCAGATGAAGGACATTCTGGTAGCAGATTTTCAGGTGGACAGACTACATATGAAGAAAGGCAAATCTCTGGACTACTTAGAAAAGTACCTAGTCAAGACGACTAAAAACTGGCAGCTTAACATAGAGTACAACTTGATTCAATTGTGTCGAAATCTTGCTCCTTTTGGTACTCCAAAACGTTATTATATACTGCACTGTGAACTTGCGCACCCATAGAAATCAGTTGACACTATGAATTCAGAATGTGCCATGCACAGAGTCACCAAGGATCCCAGCCACTCATTCTGGTGAGATCTAGGGCTGAATAGGAACAAATTAAAACATCGATCGTAATGCCGCTGATTTGATTGATCTTATACGATCGACAAATACGTCCAAGGTGCCTTGAATTGGCTTCTACCAGCGGTTCACAACAGCTATTGTTCTCCGAAAAGGTTTGTAAATTTGATATATCATCAAAATAAGTTACTCTTGCAATCTTGAACCAGAAGCTGCGGAGCGACGGCGAAACCCCAGACTCTGTGATAATCTCTAGGACTGGGACGACTTGCAACAAGTATCGTCATGCCTCGAGAAATGACAAAAGTTCAAGCCCGTCAATCCCCTCTTGTTTTGCTACGAGCACAATCCTTATTGGCCACCGACGTGGAAGACTGGGTACAGCAATCTCAAGGACCCTTGATTTCTACGGACTCGAGTATTGGAAGTGACGCCGCGATGAGTTCTGATGCGCATCAGGGGCCGTGAACAATCTGGCAGAGAATCCCAAGCCAGCTTCATGGTGGCCTGCATGAGGCCGAAGAGAATCGGAAAGACAAGGAGACAATCACCGGATTGATCGCCTATCTCTTGCAGCCCGAGAAACTGCGCTTCGCTTTCCTTCCAGCTTCTTGTTTGAACTCGAATATGAGTAGATCAGGTGAAGATGGTTAGAAAGATCACTAGGGCCTTCCAAATAGCTCTTCGTTAGTTGGGTACTCCTAGAAGCATCTAGGAAATGCCAATTGTATCGCATGTGTTCATACGCGTGTTCATTGGGTCTAGGAGCTAATCATTTTGATGTTCTACCTGCCACAAGTTTTCGATTGTCTCCAAACGTTTATGGCTTCTCGTGGCAAGGCAAGCACATGGCTTGAGCTGTCGCGCATGGCCTGAATGGCAGCGCTGCTGTCGCGACACGCCCAGTCCTCCATAAACCAACGTTTTGGAGATCGATTCATGATCATGCACCAGTAGACAAAAATCGTTAGTGCCGTATCGTCTCGAGCGGCGAGAAGTTGTACATAGTCGTTCGAAACCACTCCCGGCCATCGAAAAAAGTGCGCCCATGATCGAGGGCGGCTATCAGTCTCTCGGACCCACTCCTTGAGACTTGCAATAGCGTTGCGGTAGGCCTCGGCGGCCCATGTTGGACTGTCCTTTAGAGCTGCCATTTCATCGAGGTCACCGACCATGTCCCAGATTGTGTCGTCAAAGGATGGCTGTGTGAGATTCTTTCGATGATCCACATATAACTTGAGGTGGCTCATCTGGAAAAAGGGGACCGTCGCTTGTGCGACTCTGGAAGTTTGTCGAAATATCCGAAAAATCTCGAGAAAATCGTAGTCTTCATTTGTGTTTACTTGTGCAGCTGCCAAGTGAAATATTACTATCGTGACTCCAAATGACAGCACTGCGAACCAGTTTTCTTTCGTGATGACTAGATCGTTGGACCGGCGAAATAAGTCAGACGCAGCCAAGTTATATCGATACGCATGCATGCGCAAGAATGACGATGCCGAGCCATCTTGAAAGGAATGGTAAAGCGTCCATAGTGAAGCGGCACTATGATCCAGGTAACGATATTGTACTTGGGCCGGATAGTTAGCTTTTCATTCTAAAGACATTTAGGAACTTTGATATATGATTGAAGGATATCGACAAGACATTTCGACTTCAAAACGGTATCCGTATCCGATAGACATGCTTCGCATCAAATAGGAAGAGAAAGAAAGAGAGAAAGGAAAGTTTTGTGAGGAGGGAGGGAAATAGCCCTGCATATAAGTACTCACAGGCCTGTGATTCGAGTGTTGATCTCCACACTCCCACTTCTGTGTCGGATGCGCAAGGCTCGAGCCATATCTTATCAAGTACAAATGTGATCATATCCTGGGCAGGGTTGGAAGAGACTGTGCCATGGAGACTCATGCACGGTACACCACTTCCAAGGGTTCCGGGTTGATGCATCTTGTTAGATAATGATCTGCTGTTCCATACCGACAAGGACATGGAACTTGGCGCTGTATCAAGTTGCTTGTGTCTATTCTCCGCCACTGACATTGTGTATCCATCGGCTCTTGGTGAGTAATCACATACTTCACCGCGCCTCTGGCAATGTGAGCAAGTGGGAGGTTCCAGGTTGCACTAATATCCGGGTTAGTTCCCGAGCTTCTGTACAACTGAGTACAGTCGGCCACCCACCCTTACTCGTCTCTTCTTGCACTGACCACACCCATTGCGCGTCTTCGTGTGATATTGCCTAGAACCACGGGTCATAGCCGCGTTCGCTTCGCTGAGTAGACGGTAAGCTGTATCGTGTCTGTATGCCAAAGTTTTTATGCACCCTCCTGTCGCTTACATGAAAACCAGGATGAGGCAGATGAGTATGAAGAACTGTTTTGACCAGAGAAGTGAAAATGACGATTGTTAACATATGGAATATGAGAAAGACCGTACACAAATCTACGTGGTCTTGATCAGGGGGCTGAGCCAAGTTCTTGACATGGACGAAACAGGTTTAGTGTACGAGATTGACTAAATTGGGTCAAGGTGAGATCCTCGCTTGGCTTGGCGGGAGCGGGTAAGGCTTGAGGTTTATTTTTGGATTCCTCACCTCCGATGCCACTCCTTTACCTGAATAGTTATTTCAATCAGTAAGTAGCACTCTGCCAGACTACACGGTAACTCTTAGACATGACTGGCTTTGACCTAGTTGAGGCGAAACATACAATGCACATTTCACATTTAGTCAAAGCCGACAAAAATCGATCATCTGCGCCCGATTGACCCTGCGAAACCCACCAAGCTGGTGGGGATTGCCCCCCTCCTCCCGGTGATCTTTTGGCTCATCCATTATCAATAAGAGTTCTTTTTCCATAATCAGGTCCAAATCATTCAACTTCGACTGATTTAGTCTCATGGCCTTTTTATTTTTTATTTTTTATCTTTTTCCACTTCCTGCCTTTTCTTTTTTCTTTATTTCTTTTCGCTCTCTTGAAAAGCTGCCAATGCGCGGAGGGAGGAACGTATTCTGCACAGAACAACGCCCACCGCAGAGAGCCACTACGTCTCCATAACTGCCGACTTCCGAGCGCTCAGGTTTGTCAAGGGTGTTTGTTCTTTTGCTTCCTTCCCTCTGCTCTCATCCTCTGCCATTGCCCCCGGTTTCCAGTGGCGGAGATCCCGCGAGACTTGGACTATTTTCATGTTACGTAGCGATGGCCTAGGATGGACGCCTGCTGTCTCCGGCCTCTATCCTGTCCAGGAGGTGCTATCCCCGCACCTCAGTTACCGAACGCCCAAGGTTGAGTCAGTATTCTGAATGACCTCATGTTCAGCGATAGTATTCTGCAAATATCGCCACGTCATATCCTTGACCTATTCTTATCGCATTGGCTGTCTAGAGCGGCCAGGTTCTTGCCTTTGTTACGTGTGCGAAGAGGCCTGTATTGGTGGATGAACTGAAGTCGCAGAGCTGCTATCGTGATACGGACAGGGAGTCCATGCTTTTCAGTTGCTTATCAATTCGTTGCGTTGATTACGTAGGGATTGTTTTCGAACCCAACCCAGCAGCACGTTGCATGAGTCTCCTGAACTCTCTTTGTATGTGGTGAATGTACAAAGTAGTTTCAAGTACTTCTGCATTCATATCGAGTTGCAAAGAACTCGAACAATGATCTGTCGGTACTCCATCGTCCGAGGATACCGCATTGGACCAATCAAGAGACGGATCGCGAGGGATGCCTCAACGGCCTTCCTAATGCGGCTAACTGCTTTACCCCACGATCATGGGCCCTGGATCCGGGATTCTGCTGCCCACCACGGGGCCACCCTCGTCCCGTCTAGAACTCACGCGCAGAAGAGCCTCCTTTCGGCGCATGACCGATCGCCGACAGTCAGATATCTATTCGGATAGCTAAGCGAGACATTGGAGATAGCACCCCAAGAGCAGAGACGCCCGGCATGTTTTGATCACTTCAATTTGACAATCTTCATGATTCTCCAACCTTCGCGCGTTTCCTCCGTGGTCAATCCCCGCCACTCCTCCAAGTGATCAACACCACCAGTAGTATATTACCTTGTGTCAACATGTAGTTTCTCAGACTATCCCAGCCGTCAAATCATGTAGACTGCAATGCGACGGCAGAATCCACCAACTATAATAGCTCTCAGTCTGGAATAGTACAGGGGATAGCAAACCGCGACTGATTCCATCAATCTTGGCGGCATTTATGCTGAACAATCCAGCGCGGTATAGCAATTTGACAACAGCATATGTCACACCATAGGCCATATCTACCATTCAGCCATTTAGCCATTTCTTTAGTAATTCAGAATCATCTTAACATCCAGATAACTCATCGGAGCTTAAAAGCTTATTTGAACTATTGCCAATGCCCTCTCCACAGCTTGGCCCTCTTGGCTCTCTTGGCCTGGTGTTCAGGCAAAGACAAAAACGGCTCTTCTCTGAGGCACGGTCTTCGTGATCCAGTGCTTGTCCTGGGCGGAATGGTGATGCCCCTGCATTCCGTACATGTCTGCATTGCATCCCGCACAACACCAACTCATTGCCAAGAATATCTGATAGCCGCAATGGACATCCCACAGGTAGCCCATGAGCCGTTTTTGAGGCATCATTGGGCGCTTTGTCTCCAACGACGGTGAAGTTACTTGCGGAATGGATGCGGCGTACGCAATCCTCTCTTATCATATGCAGATCATTCCCTGCTTCAGACCCCTGGTAGCATGTTTTGCCTGCAGAGCTATGCCGCCAATGCAACGGCAACTTACCATTGGACGATGGTTTCTTGCACAGGGGTCTACCCGACAACTGATATCGAATATCTCGGAGATTCAAGGCTCGAGGCTCGTTTTTCCATCTCAGCAAGTTTGGACGATAACAGTCACGCCCTCACATGCAAATGATCATCAGCCCCATTGCCCGGTTTTCTTGTCGAGCAGAAGCGACGACTGGAGCATCTCAATTATGCCAGGTTTTGATTCGAGGAACATTCAAACCATGGCACGGTCCGTGGGCCTCGAACGCTCGGCCTGACCCGGATCGACCGTGATCAACGATAACTCTAACACCCTGGTTCATATCTCTTATAGTCTAATGTTCATGACTATAAATGCTTTTGTGTTTCTCCTCTGAAGATGATTTTCCACACTCAAGCATCGCCTTGAAGACTAGATCACCTTACTCTGTCATTCCTGCCTGCTTTAGTCCTTCATTCGCTCATATCTTCTTTGACCATCAGCAGTCATGAAGTCTACATCTGTCGTTGGTGCTCTGCTCTTCGCTGAGGCAGCCCTCGGTGCTCGATTCACAAAGCAGCGTTGGGAGAACCATGCCAGGCGCGCTCTGCAGCGTAGCACCTTGCCACCCATCCCGGCGGATGACAGCACTCTCCAGAGCCTAGATGCTGGCAATGAGACTGCTCACGTTGACTACTCCACCAACTGGGCCGGCGCAGTCTTGATCGGCACTGGCTACACTTCCGTCACCGGAACCATTGTCGTTCCCACCCCCGAGACTCCCTCTGGAGGCAGCTCCCGAACTGAATATGTAAGTGGACCCGAAAAAAACTCATATGCTGTTGAACGACAATGCTAACATTTACAAGGCCGCTAGGTTAGTACTTGGTCCATTGTCTTGAAGGGCATGGCAGCTAGGTGACTATAACGAGACTACTGACACTTGTTATTAAACAGCGCATGGGTCGGTATTGACGGAGATACATGCCAGACTGCCATTCTGCAGACTGGCGTCGACTTCTATGTCGAGGGCAGCGAGGTTGCCTTTGATGCCTGGTACGAGTGGTACCCCGACTATGCCTACACCTTTTCCGGCATCACCATCAGCGCCGGCGACACCGTTACCATGACGGTGACTGCCACCTCAAAGTCAGCCGGCACGGCTGTCATTGAGAACGTGACCAAGGGCACCACGGTCACCCACACCTTCTCAGGCGAGACTGACACTCTGTGCGAGACCAACGCCGAGTGGATCGTTGAGGACTTTTCGTCTGGCAACTCTCTCGTTCCCTTTGCCGACTTTGGCACTGTTACCTTCACTGGTATGTATCATGTTTCCCTTAATCCAATGCTTAAATACTGACAGGGTTCAGGCGCTTCTGCCACCACCTCCAGCGGTACCGTCGGTGTTAGCGGAGCCACTATTATCGACATCAAGCAGAACAACGAGGTGCTTACCGAGTGCTCCACTTCTGGTTCCTCGACCGTCATTTGCACCTACACTGGCTAAATGTACTTCCTATGCTACTGGACAACAGACCTCTCTGAGGCTTGTTTCTAGTGACTTTTATAGGGGCTCCATGTTGCTGAAGAATATTTTGGAAACTGTACATAGCTTTTGACAAATATCCGAGGTCATGCAAATCAAGACCCTTGGATACAAAGAAGAAATGTCACGTTTAAAATGAAATGGTGCTTCGTCACGTGGCACAATTGCATGTTCTCAAAATGAATGTAAGTATGTGAATTCAATTAAACAAATAAATAATGCTTGGATATACGCTTTGCTACACTATCTAAATATATATGCCCGTTCTTGTATATGCATCATATCGGACAAAGAACGCTCACCAGAATGAGTGGATATGAAGGGTGTTCTCGTAAGTAGTGTTCTTTGAGAACTGCTCCAAATCTTTCTGCGCTTTGTTGTATGCTACCTGGGCTTTGTCCACCATGACACTCGCCTCGACTGAACCATATGCGAGCTCTTGCTTGCACCTCTCTAGTACTTGGCGGCATAAGCGGAAGTGCTTTGCAAACTGGCCCAGCTTCTTTGCCTGCGCGTGCTGTCGACAGTCCCAACATGTTGGGGCAACTTTGCCGCCTTCAGGTAGGGTAGGAGGCAGCGAGAGGATCGTATCCTTGGCTATGACGCGAGGCTCAATGGCGTGCCCGCACTTGCGGGTCAGCTCGAATCGACAAAGAGGACAGGACTGATGCGCGTCAATCCAGGTGTCCAAGCAGCCCCGACAAAAGACGTGACCGCAAGGAGAAATGACAGAGTCATTTTCACAAGCGAGCGTGTGAGGAGATGTGCTCATCTTCAGTGGTGTTTCCTGGCACACTGAACAGACCAGGTTGGTGGGTCTGTCCATAAAGAAGGTAATCTTTGGGTTCGGAAAGAAATTGTCTGTGAACTCGTATGTAGGCGGAGACACTTCATCCTCAAAACCATGCAAAGATACTTCTTCAAACTCGCGAATGATGCTACTCATGTCAAGCGCCTCAGTTCCCCGGTGTCGGCTGACGGGAGTCCGCTCACGACGCCCTGACGATGATGCGCGACTCGAAGCGCGCGAGGAGAAATCTGGGCTCTCATCTCTTCTCATTCCGTCTCTTCTAGGCCCAGTGGCGCGCGCAGCTCGCGGCCGAGGAGCTGCTCGGCTTCTCCATGTATCAACAGACTCGTTGACGACCGGCCGCCCAGCTTGGTAAGATCGTAGTCCTGACAGAGACTCGACGCTGCGTGCGAGGCGTGGTGTCTCTGCGACGAATCGAACAGGACGGATGCGCGGGACAGGAGGAATCCTGACTCCTGGAGGGCAATCCTGTGTCGATGCCGTGGAATTGAGTGGCTCGTCCATGTACTTGATCTTTCCAATGATGCTGCTGCCTGCCTTAATGGTTTTGGTACGCATTTTCCTAAGGGACCAGTAATCTCTCACCTTTGCGCTTTCTTAAACTTGATTTATGCTGATTCTCAACGTTCGTTTTGTGTATTTGTGAGTTTTTGCGTGATTCAATATTTGGCTTCTTATTTCCTCAATCTGCGAGGTGGCGCAATACCGAGGCATTAAGTATCCCGTTACTCGGTAATAACGAGCTTTCATCTATTAATACCTCATTCTTTGTACTGCGAGCGAAACGCATACTTGAAAGGGTGGACTCGAGGTTGACAAAGGAGATGTAGAAGTACAATGACATTGATGATGAAACCCATCTTTGTCTGGACGCTATAGAAACTGCCCTCTTCCATCACTTCCTTGCCTCTATCCTTAGGCACCCCAAGATATGGAGTATAATGGATTTGACATTCCACTACATCGGGTGCCTTGATTTTAGGTACATCAAACCAAGAGCCTGTACTTTCCTTGATGATTCTGATGATCTCCCTGTTGGTGACGGAATGTAAAACCACGTAGAATGGATTGTAAGACGAGCATGCAAGACTGTGAGATGTATTGAGACTGTATTAAAATGTGACTATGGGACGTGGCGGTATAGGTTGTTTAATATGCTCCAGTTTCCCTCTTTTAAAATTATTCTGTTCCCCGTAATGATACATTGCTCCCTGTGTCACTTTGCGGTTGTCGGTGGTTATTCGGAATGCCCCAGGCCGATTGACGTCCGACCTTTTCTGATTGCAATCAAAATGCACCTGCCCTGGTGGTACGATTGGGTATTCGTACAATTTTCCATCACCGTACTGCAGCCTTGCCATCTCAACAGGAGTGTGTGTTGGCCCTCTTTTGTTCACATTGCCATATTTGTGGGGATAGCCTGATTTCCGCCTGCCAGAATTGGGGTGCGGATGGGCATCCAGTTGCTGTTGGACGTGATGGGTTGAGATGGTTATATTTTGCGGGTCGCCAAAGTTATATTGCTAATATTCGTTAGCATAGTCCCGCAGTGATGTCCAGTTCTTGTTCTGGGAATGCCAAAATGCAGGAACTCACGTAACCCGAGTGTACCGGGGCACTGTTTGTCTTTCTGGGGTCATGGTGCCTTTTCCCAGCATTGATTGTGTCGTAGTCTTCCTTCGATGCGCCGCAACCCATGGTCGCAACTGTATGATAGTATCTGGTTATGATTGGAAATAATTGGCTATGCTTGGAATGAATGACTTGATGTATCGTGAGGTGGCATGGATTGTAATTGTGTCAAAGAAGCTCACCTACATAGCCTGACCTTGAAGGATGGATTGGTCTATATACACAGACTGGTCCATGTACACAACCTTGTCTATTCTATGTTGGTTCGTGTGAATTCTTGTTGGTTTCATGATTCAATCAAATGTTAGTTCCGAGATATAATTATCGCATTTCTAAAGCATCGAATGTCCGGTAGCGATGTGACATATTTTCCTTGCCCGCTATACGCGCGCGCTCGGGCTTAGTGCTAAGTGCACTGCTGCATTGAAGCGCCTAAGCTGTACGTACGCGCGACCCGAATACCTGGGTCATAAGCGCCGAGTTGGTGATGCGAACTGGCAATGTTTGCATGGAGGGGCAGATAACGACCCATGTCCTTATCAATGTGATGGTACTCAATCATTGCCCGACTGGGTGGTTTGCATCGGTCAACTTGACCGCGCCCTCCGGCCGAGCAAACGGTCGCCGTGGCGGAGCTTCTGTTAGGCGCCCCCCAGGTCCCTGCCGCACTTTTTGTTGGGTGCAGCGCAATTCCAACTTTGCGGGACAGCAACAGCGCCAGGCTCCCTCCGTCAAGTCCCATAAAGTATCATAGCATCACTGCCCTCTCGATTCCTGATCAAATCACCTTGTACTTTTCAGATCTTTTTTCTTTTACCTTCACGCTGGGAAATCTTTTGCCACGACATGAATTATTCTCCCGAGTCTCTAGGTCTAGATACTGAAGACAGCGAATCCACACTCTGGCCGCTCTTCCATCTTCTGGATAGTTGCGCCAGAAGCGAGGGTACCAGCACGCCTGCTTGGGCGGCACAGGGAATCCAGCAATGCTGCCAAGGGTGCCCGGAAGAACACCTTGGAGGATTTCTGTTCGGTTTCTGGGGTCTGCTTTTGGACCTGGTACGAGAAATCGACGTTGATCATCCAGCAATGGATTTGTTAGCAGAAGTTGTTGCAGAACTCAAGAAGCTGCCATCGATCAAGGTCAATGTTCACAACGTGAGTTACGAGGCCATTATCAACACAGTCGGGCCAGGCTGACATACATGAAGGAAGAAAAGCTGCTATGGACAGACCTTCCGGTTCTTGAGATGGAACTACTTGAAAGATTTACCGGTATGCACAAACCCGATCCACTTGTTTCAGAGCTGTTATGTTGATATGCAATCTTCAGCCCACGAATATGGCGATGCATCATTGATAAAGGAGTATCAGGATGAACATATTCGCATCAACTCATTTGCTGCTAGACTTCTCCCACTTGGTCTTAGCAGTACGCGTCCTACCGAGGCCCTGGAGTATACTCTCGAACGAGAGCCTTGCATGGACTGGGACCTTGAAGCAGCATCTGAGTATATACTCAGAGCTGGCAACACTATCTTTGAGCATTTGGACGACCCCAGATTCACCGAATTGGGGTACGAAGGGGGTCCTCTTTATACTGGCACCAAGGGTGTAAACATGGAAAGATGGAACTTTTGGAAGAAGCGTTTTCGCGAGTGTGGAGAGGCCGCAAGCCCGGATAGCAAGGCTCACCAGAAAGCACTTGAAGCCTCACGGAAGATGGACATCATAGAAGCGCAAGCAGAGCACTAATTGAGTTTACCAGTAGTGCATGCAATTCATACTTTATAATTGTGTGCAACATAAATAGAGAGAGCCTTCCCCACAATCCCATTACTGACAATCTCCCCGACCCATTTTTCATTCATCAATCTCACTCACGGTCATGCTCATGAAAGACCAGTGCTCTGACCTCAATGCTCTCTCTGGCGGGCACGTCGTCACCTGCGCCACTGTCGACAAAGGCCGTATGAGGCACCCTCCTAGCGCGACCGTCCGTCTTGGAGTCAAAGCACTTGATGAGAATGACCTCTTCGGGGGTGAGTCCATACTTGAAGTACCACTTGTGCTTGTCATTTCCCTTGACGGCAAAGGTAGCGCCTTTGCGATTCGGGTATATGAGGCCTATGGGAACAAGGTCGTCCTCTTCCACCGAGTTGGCTTCTGCCAGGGCCAAGGGGTCACGCAGCACAGTCTTGATTGGACGCCAGACGTTGATAATCTGCACTCTTCCCTTGAGTAGCTCATCTGCATCGTTTGGGAGGTGGTGAGGGACCCGGCTCAGGGCCGCCTCGTAAGTCTGATCGATGTGCACACGGTTCACCGGGCCACGGAGTTGTATAGGAGAAGTGGTATTGGTCTGATCTGGATCCGGACGGCGAATCGTATGGTCAAATATGAAGATGCGCGAAGCTCCAGTCCTATAAGTCGGTTAGATATTCACTTGATAGTAGGTACTTTATGGAGCTACGACTTACGCATCCTTCAACAGCTGCTCAGTCTCTTTGTAGTACTTGTCCTTGACCTTGTCGTCATCCACGAATTCCTTCTCCTGACTGACGTGTTTGTAGATTTGGAAACCATTCTTGTCTAGTGTGAATTGCGCCTCCTGGCCGGAGATGTCCGTGATGCGGACTCGATGCTCTTCAGTCGGGCGCTCGTAAGTCTCCGGCCGGCCAACGTAAGTAGGCGCCGGGGGTGAATTATCCTCATTGGGCTTGAAATAATGCAAAATGGTGTCCACGTCGTGTGGTGATATGGCAGAGGCCTCGGATACGTTAGCAAACATAGTCGCAGCTACGACGGGGAGTTGAACATCGGCAGTCGCCATTATGAAGTGGTCTGGTCAACACTTTTATACAATACTATACAGGCGAAAATGGATGTTTGTGCATGGAGTTTTCTTGACTTGTTTGATTCATTTTATATATGATCGTTGCGCCCCTATACATTTTCGTCTATTTGGAGGGTTTGTAAGACCCCGCAATCGCGGCAATCACGCCATGCACCAATAAGCCGTCCGTCAAGGTCAATCGCTACACGGCCGGCTTGACCCAGCAAATCGGAGACATAATTTATTTCTTGTATTATAAATCCAATAACGGTATTTCCATCACCTGCCCTATGCTGGGGGAAATCGGTCGTCTCTTGATGTGTCTTGATGTTGTGCAACACGGGAACGGACCTATTTTGCACCCAATCAGGAACCGACGGCACAATGTTATTTGCGAAAACCCCCCGTTGAAGAAATCTTGGGAACTTTCCGCTTAATAAGAATTGCGAAACACACCACTTCTTAGCTACTAATAATTCTTTAGTCATTTGCGATTGCCTCATTTCACGCTTTGATTTGCACAAGCACATTATTAATCTAGTCAGTCGATATGCGAGAAGTGACATCACATTTCACAAATCTATGGCGTGGAGGCCGCATGACCTGGGTATGTACCTATGTAGGTACCGTAACCAAAGGCTAGACTATGATCCCTCGACTAGGTACCTATTCCGGGCACCACGTTCAGGACTTTTCGTTCTTTGACAAATGCTGTATCCCCGTCTTTGTCTCTGTATGTTCCGTTCTTAGGTTCTGATGCTTTATGAAGAAGCTAGCCACCGTGCAGACGACCGACAAGCCCGTGTACAAGATGAATATGTTTCTCAAACTCCAAGAAAATGCTTCTAGAACCGCTCGGCGCTGTTGCGGGTCTTCAATTATTTTCGGGATGCCAACATTCGCCGCTGCCTGACTGCCCGACAGAGCCTCGAGTACGGATTCGCTGAGACCTGCAGCTGCAAGGGACGTTTGTTGAGTGTCCATACTGTTCTGAAATACGACGCCTCCCACCACAACAGATAGGGACATGGCGATGTTTCGCAGAAAGATGAGGGCGGCTGTGGCTGCGGCAGTGTCGGCCTGACTGACACTGTTCTGAATAGCCGCCATGGGTGCTTGAAAAAGCAGCCCTGGGCCGAGAGCGCCAATGATCAGCAAGCCTACAAGCATGGCAACACTCGTATCGGGCCCGAACAAGATATAGAGGCCACTCCCAAGAGGAAGGAATAGCGAACCGATCCACATGAATTCCCTGTAGCGTCCGGTGAGATGGATTGTGTATCCGGCCACAAGCTCACCCACGGCTTGGACAATAATCAATGGGAGCAATAAGACACCACTTCGAATCGGCGAAGCTTGGAGCACGCTTTGAAAGTACAATGGCATGTAATACTCGATACCAATGAGGACCATGGCGTGCGCAACCACGACGGCGAAGACGGCGTCATTGGACCAGCTCTTGAACACGGCCAGGGGCATCATAGGGTACCGGACACGTTGCTCGGTCAAGATAAAGACGCCAATCATGGCGGCGCCGAACACGACCAAGCAAATGACCTTTGGACTGTTCCAGGGGGCGATTGTGCCGCCAAAATCCAGTCCTAGCAGGATGAGAAGGGAGATGGCGAGTATTGAAAACGTACCAAGCCAGTCAATGGCCCTAAGACCTTCACTCAGCTTGGTTCTTGGGTTGTGAACGTCCAAGAACACGGTCATGAGGCCAAACGTGACCACGCAGATCGGAACGTTGATCCAGAAGCACCACCGCCAGGTCGCGGATTCTGTAAACGCTCCACCAATCAGCGGCCCAGCGGATCCTGCCAGGGCCCAGACGAAGCCCGAGAAGCCCAGGTAGACTGATCGCTCGCGCACACTGAAGAGGTCAGAGATGGTGATGATGGAGAGCTGCACGAGTCCGCCGCCAGCTGCTCCTTGTAGTCCACGGCCGGCAATGAGCATGGGCATGTTGTGGGCCAGTGCCGCAATGATACTCGAGATTGCAAACAACGTCACCGCAATGAGCAACACTGGCTTTCTTCCAAATACGGAGCTTATAGAAGACCATATAGGGCCAGATGTTGCATTTGCCAGCAAGTAGGCACCTCCAATCCAGACATAGCCCGCCGCCGAGTGTAAGTCTGCGCATATCGTCGGAATGGACTGGGCGACAATGGTCGTGTCGAGTGCGGCCAGGAACAAGGACAACTGCAGTAGGTATATCAATCGTTAGCGTACTTCGACAATATGTTGCATCACAGTGAGAGATGGGCATTGAGCTACCTACATAGAATGCCGCTAGAATGAGATATAGCCGGGTTTTGGTGCGCGTCACCGTGTTCTCTTCGGCGATTTCCAATGGTAAAATTGGGGCATGGTTGGAAGACGCGGTCGTCGGCGGCTGCTCGGGCAGCTCTCCAGCCTGTACTATAGGCTGGGCGGGTGAAATCTCCATAGCAAAGGCGTTGAGTCGTTCAAGGTCTAGTAGGATGTATCGAGAGTTGCTTTGAGTAGATACAGAATCATCAAGCTTATTTCCACAGGGAGAGCAATTCGTAGGTACACGGGCTGCTTTTAACAGGCCAATCCGCGACGCGGGGTAAAGCCGGGGTACGGCACAGCACTGAGCACGACATGCTCGCTTGGGCAGGGCAGGGAATACGCGTTATGACTGTTTGCCGAATGACTCACGGTTAGGAGAGCATTACACCGGCCTCGCCGTTCTTCGGCTAGACCTATATCTTGGAATTGAGCATTGAAAGACGGATGGACAAAGACATGTTATGGCAAGCGCTGTATTCAACTACAAAGTATTGCTGTGTGGGGTCACTAAATAATAAGCTTATTTTGAACGTGGTCTTGATTGAGCCTCTGCGCACTTGTCAATCCGTGAATATGATGCAAAGAAGAAAGGAAACTGGGGTCATTGCAGCTCAGCGTATATAGTTGGGACTTGTGTATATACTACAACCCTTTTCTCGTCTAAATTGTTTTTTTTTGTTTTGTTTTTTACCTCGCCCCTCTATCAATCATCGCAAAATCCACTTGTTGTCCAGTGTCCAACTGAGCACTGCACTGCTACTGATCCACATCTGATGGAGCCTAGAAATGAACAGCACGAGAGGCTCTGGCGACCCGGTGCATAGTTGTTCTGGGCGATTGTGATACTGGCGTGTGAATTATTTGCCATATGATAAACCTTGCCGAGCGCTCTATGGACCTAGGTGAAGTTTGGCAATCAATTCTCACTTGCCCTGTAACAATGGACATGGTAGTCATTCCGTTGCAGGAGTTTGGGCTGGAGAGCGCCAAGTCAATGTGCATGGGCCACGTTGTGATCGCTCGATGCCAGTATTCTGGATGAGAGCCGAGTCTTGTATCTTCCAGCAGACAGCCTCTCTATCGCTTCAAATTCTTGGGCTACGATATATTCTGATTTTGTTTCACTCTTTTAGTTGTCCACATTTGACCTCATTTTTTATTTTGGTGCATCGTTCACGACTTTTGTTACAATTGGCCGTTATATGCGTTGCAAGCATCCACCAAGACCGCACTTCCATACCATACGACGTGGATACATTCATTTACAACGAAAAGGCCTTTACATACTAGGTAACTTTGAACCCTAATTTTCGTGACCAAATGTGGCAAGAAGTACTGTCAATGAGAGAAGACAATGCTACACCTGGTAGTTTTGAGACCGTCAAGAAATATGGAAATGAACGCCAACGGTGAACACTCAGGTAGAGGCACGTGTATCTTGCGCCTGTAATAAGCACGAATACACAATTTCACATGATTTCCAACATCAGTGACGAATTAAATAGAACGACTTTACATAACAAAAATCTTGGTATATTTACGACTTTGAAGGAGATTTAATTATGGGAATGATAGGATTTTAACATGAACCTATTTCAAGTAAAGCATTCAATGGCGAAAATGATGCTCAGTATTGTTGTTTCGGTGATGTATTTGGCTTGTTTTGACCTACAATATGGAGACAACATACTTCGGAATGCTTCACAGCCTATAACATTGTATGCTCGATCATGAGTTCCATCTTCATTTCCCGAGCCTCGCTTTCTATCCACTATCACAATCCGCGACGTGCATTATCGCATCAATGCCGAGCTTTTCGAAAATCAAACTTGCTAACCACTTTCAATTCTTGGTTGCATAATACTATCTGTATATTTAGCAGTTCATGTGGAGAACATTTGGATGAAGGTGCGTGAGACAACAGTACGACTGTATCGAGATTAGTGGCTTTTGTCAAATGCTCACTGATAAAACATTGCGGCCTGGGCAAGGTAGAATGACCTCATCTCTCTATCCTCGAAAAGCATGGAAGAACGCTAAATAGTGCTGGTACAGATCTGGTTCCTCTTGAAAGATGGGATTAATGAGTTGAATCACGTGCGCAACTCATTTGCAGGCCTGGCGGGAAAACAATGGATATATGAAAGTCCGGCGTGGCGACGGACTGTGCTAATGAGTACCGGTAGGTCTTGACTTTGATGGTTCAATGCCTGGTTGAATAGATGTCCAAATTGCAAGATCAAGATAAGGAGCCAGAGCACCCAGGGCTCTGGGGAAGAATATTGGCATCTTAGCTGCAGTGAGCACAACACGTGGCGGCGAGCTGACGGCTGGTGATGGCGTCGCGTTGAGTTTATTGGCACCTAGACTATGAGCCGGGGCACCAGAGCTTAAATTCAATTGCACACACCCCAAGCTACGCCATTATTCAGGCACATATATGAATCTCACTATTAACTCCTAATGTCTCCGAACAGCAAGCATAGATAATTCTGTCCAAAGCGGAGCAATTCGGTAAAAGCCTCGAGACGCGGTTCCTGTTTTGCAAAAACGATTTGTACAAAGGCTTGGAATATCAACATATATCGCATACTGTCATTACTGTCTGGTTTAATTCTAGAATGACCAATTCTAGTAGCTGGCTGGAGATATGCGTTTACTCCGGGCAACCGAAGCAATGTGCTCATGTTTTCAATGAGCTTCAACCCCTGACCTCTGAGAGTAGATACGGTCTAAAATCGAGCCCTCCAATAATATATACTTTGAATCCAGTGCATTCCAAGATCGACACAACTACAGGTGCATACTGAGTCGAGCACAATCGCATGTTGAATTGAGATCGAATTTTATACTGGAATGATCAACAGATGTAAGATTCCCCACCTTGACAATATCCAGATGTTGGTATATGTGAAGAGCAAGGCAATATTCCGCCGCCATCGCGGACCCCGATGGATCCAGACAACACGGGAATTGCTCGCGTTAAAGCCATTAGCCTGGATCGTAAGCACGAGCCCACCGCATCAAATCGTGTTTGTACGAGGGCCTTCTGGCATACACAAGGCCCAGAACTGCACTAGACTCAGATTATCTGCACCAAAATAGGATAATATCTTGCTGACTCTATGCATTGAGTAATGAACGAGATCATTTTCAAGTGATTTCAAGAATTGTTGATTACCTCCGAAAATCTACTTACGCTGGGAGCGAGACAACTTAGCATTGCCGGGGCCAGAGGTCTAGAGGGACATGGTATGCATGCATGGTCCTTTTGAGTCGAACCAAAGGAAGAACAGTTGAAACCTGTGATCATTCAAAGGAAGATCTACATGTCATAGCATCAAGTGCAACATCTAAAGAGCACCCCTTATTGACCCTATGAGGCACATTAAGGACTGCCCTGATTCTTGCTCAGATCCACTTCCCGCAATGGAGGTCAATGCCACCTTGAATATAGGGCACGAGTCAGGAACCATGATCTGATAGCCTACGCATCAACTGCCGGCTAACCTTGTCTTAGGCCGCGAAATGTGGCACATTGACAGGAAATTGTTAAGCAGATCAACTTCCCAGCGACCGAGAGAGATCAAGACATGATCGTCATTTGCTTCTCAAGCACAATGTACACACAATTACCGCCACGGACAGTTCGCCGTCTATCAATCAGAGTAGCACCCAGACACACAGGTTCGCGTGGGATTAGTGAACGTGTATTCGCATTGCCCAACGTCCTATAAGGTTTGCCTAGGTCCTTGGCTAGGGTCTTGGCTGAGATAGCTATTGGCAGCTAGCAGTGCGGACACTGCGAATGGTAGCTCCCGGATCACCGCGGCCTGGGCCACCGTGCTTAGCGGAAGTCTATACCCCATCGCGCCCAGATATTCGGTTTGCTCGAACGTCGCCGATCAACGGCTGCGGGTTGTCTCCCACCTCTTGCTTGACTTTTGTCCCAGTGTACAGTGGTGGTGGGGGAGCATTACTCTTTCTGGCTTTCGTACTGCTGCCAGCTTACTGCACGCCCTACCTGGCGCACAGGCGTAGTTCGCCCAAGCCGACTATGAACGCGGCCACTACCAGGATTTAGCTCGCGTCCAAGCGGAGGCGAGTCGTGATGTCGCAGCAATCTGCCGGAAGGGATGGGGTATTTCAGATTTACAACGGGCAGAGTTGCTCGTAGACGAATTTTCTTATATCATCCCTTAAAATCAATCCAGACCAGACCCTGAACTTTCATGGTATTTTGACGCCGACGAATTGGTTCTCGCATCGGGAAGGGGAGACATTATCTGTAACAAGCCCTCCACCGAAAGAGAATACCAACAACGACCCAAGCGAGTGTCTCGCTGTCTCATTACCCTGGTCTGTCAATTCTCAACAGGGTCATTTGGATCACGACGCTTGGATCTCAAATTCCGGCGATTATCTGTTCGCAACCCGCATCTGCACACAACCAGGAAGATACAGAGAGAGGATGCTAAGGACATAGCGGCCGGTAACACTTGTATCATCTGCCTACAGCAATCCACCACACCACTACCATCACCATATGAAGGGCAGCAGCTTATACCGTCCCGATGTCTCCTCGCGTCGTGCCTCGGATTCCAGCGGGGTCGGAGCCCCTTGGCGCTCTTATTATCGATGTTATGATATCGATGCTGTCGATTGCAGTGTTGTCCATTTTCTTGAGTATATCAGTCATTCCTTTTGTCATTATCGAAGACATGACTGACACACAACCCAGCCCGGCGAATATCGGCAATCAAGACTTGGAACAAGCTACCACTTGTTGTCTGGCTTGTGTTTGCCATATTTATCGACTCTTGGCTCTTTGTTTTTGTCACGGCAATCTTGAAGCAGGCAGTCGGCATTAATACTGACTACATGCTGTGCTCCTCGGCCATTCTATTATGCTTGATTTGTTATGTCACTACTAAGGTGAGTAAGATTTCCACTGGGGATTGTACCAACTACTGACAATAGTACTTAGATTGTGAGTGAGGAACGAATCGCTTGTCGTACGGCCCCCGAAACTAACTTTTCTACAGCTGATATACTTGTTTCTGGTTGAAAAAGCAGTAAGGCTTCACCTACTTATGACTTGATGGGCGATACTAAATTACTCTTGCAGTTCGTGGTACGGAACGGCACAAAGTCCCGACTCCAATCTAAACTGTACATCTTTAATTCTTTCGGGATGCTTTGTAAGTTTTTTGCAGTCGCTCCCAAGGGATAGATTCTAATGGCTTGCAGCTATCTATTTCATCATTTCGGTGTTGAACTTTATATAGTACGGCGATCCTACCTCTTATATTCACGACCAGTACACTGACTCCCGCATTAGTCGCATCAACCGAATCGATAATAATGTTTGCTACATTGGAATGAAGCGCCCGGTTCTTGTTCCATTAATCTCATTCGATCTGGTTGTCAACGTATGTTGCTTATTTCTGTAACCTCACAACAGGATGGTATTGCTAATGCTCGTCAATCAGATCTATCTCACCATGTTGTTCCTCTACCCGCTGTTCAGTAAGTTCACTTCCACGGGTACTTCCTACCCTCGAGCTCACGCGTCGCAGGTTTGTATTCGTACAAAGATATGCCCCGTACCAGTGCCAATGCTCGACTTCGAAGTATTGCCCTCCGCACCTTTATGTAAGTACTGGAAATTCGTTGTATTCTCACTTTTTGCATGTTCTCCTAGGATCCGACTGTCGTTTGCAAACTCTATCCCAACCCTACACTCTGCCTCCGTATATCGTCAGCCAGCTGGTTATTACCTGTTCTTGGATGATTTCTTGGTGATTTATACAACATGAGGAGAAAAGAGAAGCTGACATATTTCGATGACCCAGTGGCGCAGCTTCAACAACCGTATCAAGTGTGGTCAATCTCACAGTGTTGATGGCACTCGATGGAGAACCCGGATGGGTATGTCTCTTATGTTGTAACTGTGACAGTGAGTGGGAACCTATTCAACACGACAAGAATGTTGCACGCCATGTTGACCATTGAATAGTCCTCTTCTCTGCTGTTGTGATTCAATGGGTCACGACGCGCGACAACGCTGCCACGAGGACCAATGCCGAGTACGATAATTCCGACCATCGAAATCGTGAAGGATCTCGCGACACAGGAGTATCATCCCGCCGACGTGATACATTGAACATGGATGGTATCAAGAGGGTTGTGAGTGTGAGCACCACACAAAACTTTATCAAGATGGATGAAATCGATGTTACTTCGTACCCAATGCAACCAGCCGGTGCCTTCAAGTCAGTAGACACCTTGGATGGAGCCGAACGTGGAAAGGCACGAAATGGAAGCATGAGCGATACATCGACGTCTGGACTCGTTCAAACACCCGATATCGAACCAGCCAATCCTGTTCTGGGTGTACGAACCGTCATTGTTGCGGGCAGCAAAGACGGCCGGAGGACATGATCATATCCTGGTAATTAAAGGTAAAATATAGAGGTCTAAGTATATAGGAGATGATAAAAAGTATGGATTCTCTCAAACAACAACATCTTCACTACTCGTGTAATACCACGATAAGCCTAACATGCTGGAGCCAACGGTCAGGCTGAGAGAACAGCATAACTGCCGAGACGAGAATCGCCACATGTCAAATAAAGAAATGTGTTTGGTACAGCAGATTCGTTGGGTTCCTGGATAATGCGGACTTTTGTGAGTGTTCAATGTGGCGAAGAGGATAACACCTTCTCGGTGAGCTCTGCGTGCAAACGCTCCTGTACACACACACACAGGTTCAATCCCTCCACCTGAGCACTCCACTTCCTGCTTTCTGTGATTGAAAGCTCCAGACAGAGTTTAGACTACTTGGGCTAAGCTCCCGTAGATCAAAGTCCGGCATGCCTTCAAAAACAGGTGCTGCCACGCGGCACACGTGGGTACGTACTGTGCACACCAACTCGAGTGCTCCCACATCGGATCTCGCGTGGTCGCTCTAGGGCCGGGACGGCTCAAATGGTTAATGTGACATCCCTTGGGGACCCTGACACGGTCACCATGATAAATAAAAGTCCACTACGTCATACCAGGCTGTCGGTCAATCAAGATCAGGTGTAGTAGCAACTCATTATGCCAGTTGTAATCTGTTCAGGAATGTGATTGCGCCCGGAGTTCAGCTCCTGGGAGTTGGCCAACGTCGGAATTAGCATGACATCAAGCCGGAAGCCAGACCCCGACCACCTGGCATTCAACTCAAGGATAGAATATCTAATAACACAGAAAATGCTACATTGTTTCTCGGCTATCACTCCGAAAGGTACCTAGTTATGGCAGAACTGTGCTCTAGAGTGAGCTACGTTTATACAACTTCCAAGACTTCTCCAAACACTAGACGTTAATGTATTCTGCACAAATTACCTCGCCATTAAGGTCCATGATCTGGGGCACATGTTAGTAACTACCATCTTCGGTGAAAACACGAGCCTCAAGTAGATTGTCTTGGCATTTCTTTTCCGAGACTCCTGTGTTTAGGCATAATACTCGAAGGTATATACCTGAAAGAAACGAAGGAATGAGGGGGAAACGACACCGGAAATTACTCACATCATTGATGGTGATATTAGGTGCCAATTCAGCCAGGCCGTCCATGTAAAGTGTATGATTGAGAGTTGTCTGATTGCCACCATCATTGAAGTAATCGACAATGGCATGGTTCACCTTGAGTCCACGCATATTAGCTCGTTAATACCTTCATGTTTATTGGAATTCCTAATTAGTTTCCGAGTTACGTGCAGAGACACAGTTCCCTAAACCATCATATGGCTGTGGCAACCCTGTATTCGTGGCACACTCTTTCAGGTGATGTGGATCGTTCTAAAATGATGTGCAAAATGGAGAGAGTTGCGGGTTTATAGACTTACATTGCCCAGTCTAGCCGGAAGATTCGTCCCGGCCATGTCGTACATACGATTCTCAGGGTCCAGCTTCTGCCACTCCCACCATAACTTATTCAATATGTTAGCAACTGCTTACCACGGTTCATGAAGTGCCGAATGAGTAGCGAAAAGACACGCGATGGGAAACAGGCAAAGGCTGTCTCTGACTGGAACTCCCGTATACATGCCAACAAGAAGTGCAGAAATAGAAGGAAATCCTTACACGGTCCAGGTTACCATGGTGTAAGAAAAACACGGGGTCTCCGGGAGACAGAGTTGGGTCAACCATCTGGGCGTGGAGATGTTAGTGATGAGAGGAGCCATATAGCATTGGTAGCAACTCACGATGCCGCCCACACCACCGTGGCCGGCCGAGTGCGGACTGCCTTCCCAGCAGCTACGAGCCTCGGTAAATGAGTCAATCGCGTTGCAGCGATCAATATTGGATTGTGCTGCGGCATTGAAAGAATTCTGGTTGAAGTTGCGGGTCAAGCAGTGATCTCCCACTTGGCCATTCAGTTGCCAGCGCAAAACCAGACTTGCAAACGGACCATCTTGAACGCATCTCGATGTCCCGACTCCATTTCCTCCAAAGTACTCGTCCTTCCATAGGTCAGATCCGGCCAAATCGGAGACCTCGTTGACTTCATCCCAGTACGGTATGCGACCGGTGTAACCACACTCTTGGCGAATAGCGCGCTCGTGGACCGTCATGTAGTAGCGGTGGAAAGGAAGGAAGGCTCCAACAGAGTGTACGTAACTTCGGCTATTAGTTATCGAAATCTCTATGGTCATGCACGCGTAGAAACTTCCCTTGATGAAATACGGGACAGGGAAATAAGTTCTCAAAGAGACACATCTATGGGAAGAAAAACATGCAAAGAATCACAAACACCACAAATTTGGAGTACTTACATGTGGCCACTGGAGGTCATCCCAACGGGAAACAGCCCCTTCAAAGCCCGTCTTCGAAGGGGCATTGATCAGGCAGAGGTCCGCATTGATGTAACTGGTCTTCTCCTCAGAGGTCAGATTGGTCCAAGGAACCCTCTGGGAAATAGTCGTGCAAGCTGGCGTCTGCCTCTTTGAGAGAGGTGAAGCGTTCGCCAAGGCTGCAATGATGGCAGCGGTTTTCAAGGCAAATGAAAGCATCATGTCAAGGAGTGAATAATGTCGAGTTCTCTCGGCTTGATACCTCAAACATGCTCAGTCCCAGTGGAAACATGCTCAGTTCTAGGAACCATTAAGTAGAGAATTTCATAACTTCGCGAATACTATCCGCGGCGAAATGCCATTGTGACGCGTACTCGATCGAATTCATAACCATAATGAGAAGGTCAAGGCTGTTAAAATATTGTCCTCCGCCACAGTGTGATATGCCAAGATGCCGCTGAGCTGACAAAGATGCTTACCAACATTCCGGGTGTGAAGTCGCTGTATGCCAAGCTCACGACCAACATACAGACCGAGAACAGGAGACCTTCCTTATTCGGATCTCTTCCATTACCAGCCAATGCCTTTATTCGTTTTACAATCAAATATGCAGGAACTCGCAGAGTGCCTGGAGTCATTCCATTGGCGCCATAAAAGAGCCGCCTCTTTGTCTTGGCGTGTATTTCTCCACACGGACTGGCAGATTTATAATATAGCAATACAATGTAATAGGGGTCTTAATTAATACAGAAGATGTTATGCGGCAAGCTTCCGAATGGTACCCAGAATTTCATCAATGTAGTATTGATTCACGGAATTATCCCAGTTGGCGCAAATACATTGCCCCTATATTTGTGTGCAAAAACAGAGCTTGATCTTCCCCACTCCCAAGCAGGACTCTAGAAATGGGCAATACTTTCTGTACGCCACTACAGAGTACACATGTAGTTCTTCTTGCATGTTTGATAGCTCTGTTTTCCACCCTATTACCACTTGGTACGTTTCATTCTTCATAAATCTTTGTTACATCACTACAAAGACGTGTCCAAGACACTTGGTTCACGGTCCTTTCTCAATTGGATCGCCCGCATAGAGGAGTACTCGAAACCGAAAAAGAAAAATTCATTGTTTGGCGAACCGGTGGCATGTATTAGCCGCGGGAGAGAGGTATACCGGCACTGGGAAAACGGCGCGAGGGGCCGCTGAGATTTTAAGCTTATTTGTTCAGGTACAAATCGATCCACTCTATTTTCCTCACCCATGCAGCTCGCACGACAGCGCTGCAAGCCCTATTGAAAGCCAAAGACTTTCTCCATCTTATTCTCCAGATCAAAACGGTTTTGAGTCTGGGATGTAATTAAATAAATCAGCAAGGCCCAGAGAAAGAGTTTCCGAGAAGCCTGCCGTGCTTATTCGGTGTCTTCAATCGCCTACAATGTAAAAATGACGGTGCCATTTGGAGTTTTGAGGACATGGTCATCGCCGCCGTACATACCCCAAACGAAATCCCCACCCCCACTCACTTCATAGGAATGCTACGTTGGGCCTCTTGTCGTTTTTCTTCCCCCGTCGCAGTGCCAACCAAATCAGGCTTTGTGCACGTCGTGTGTACACTCGGGACGTTCAATCACTTTCTATTTAGGATACACGAGGTGTATCTCGACTGGCAAGAAAGGAACAAGTTTGTTACAAGACTCTTCGACAGAACGTGCAAAAGCAAATCCATAGCGGGGTACTGGGCCTTTGCTGCACATCCCTCCTCCACGTCTGCTATTGCTGGGAGTGCAATACTGGTTTTTGCCCTACACGAGGTCGTATCATGATCCCACAATATTCAGTCTGGACAAGTGTTGCTGTAAGCATCCGACCTGAACTGGACGGCTAGATAAACATGATGTGATGAATTTAGCCAATGAAGTAGATATTTTTCAGGGTTTGTCTGCAGGTTTCGTCAGGGCTGCTTACCGGGGTTACTGACTTGCGCTTGATTGGGGTCGCTTCTCTTTACCCGCAATTATTTCTCTAGGGGACCGGCATTTGCTACCTTGGCAAAACAGACGTGATGTGCAATGTGAGTAATAATGTATATATCGACTCCATTGCTCTTCTCCTCCAGACTGACTGTATTCAAGGACGCACTTCATTTGCGCAAATTCTTTCCTCAACTCTGCTGAAACCGTTGAATTCGAGCCACGATGGTTGACGGCGGAAGAACTGCAGTCTCGACTGCCGAACGACATCTAGTACACAGGTGAGCTGCCTCGATTGGATGCGGGGAATGTTGTACCTTGCTGATGGACAAGCAAAGCCATGCTCACGAAGGATCTATTCCGGGGACTGTGAATGTCCAAGTAGTCGGTCAGTAGCGAAACAAGAACAAACCTTGGTATTATGCTTACTGGACCATGTCATGCAGAGGGTGATGATACGGCATTGGGTCAAGCGTTGTTCCCAGTACCTCCGCAAGATCCCAACCACTGTCTTAATGTGAGGGGAAAACAAATTGTTGTAATCATGAGTCTAACTCTTAGCAGTGGCCTGCATGGAAAAAGCAAATCATTCTCTTCATTTGCTGCGCATACTCGTTCCTTGGGAATGCCTTCCTGGTGGGACCATCGCCATACATCACCCTGTACTCGGAGCTATTTGACGTAACTCCAGCTCAGGCGTCGGGATTGATCTCTTATCCAAATCTTGCATTCGGTTTTGGATCCCTCATTCTTGTGCCGTTGTATCTCAAGTTTGGTCGAAGACCGGTCATGCTAGGATCGATGCTGTTTGTAGGTCTCTGAAGCCAGCTTCCATTCCGTGTATCCTCTAATACCTCCCAGTTCGTTGTTGGGATCATTGGCGCTTCGCAAGCAAATGATTTCACGGGCCTCATGGTCGCCAGAGTCTTTGCATCCTTTGGCTCGGGTATTTGCGAGGCAATTCCTGTCCAGCTGGTGTAAGTGATAGACAAACATCCAGACTGAAGAGCTTGTTACAAAATTGAATGAGACTAACAATTCCGACTTGCCAGTAACGATATTTTCTTTCTGCACGAACGAGGCAGGCAAATTGCTTTATACTCATGTATGTATACCATGCCAGTTCAAGCTGTTGAAACCATGGCCATTGACTTATACGAAACTGTCATCAGTCGCCATCTGCCTCGGCGCTGTAGCCCCCGTCGCGAGTTCCCATCTCCTCATTGAGCCCTACTCTTGGAGGCTCTTCTTTTACGTCATCCTCGCTTTTGCGTCTGCACTGCTGGTATTGGCATTCCTCTTTGTCGAAGAGACTTCCTATGACCGCTCAGCGCACCAGGCGACAGTGCCAGCACCAAGTGGCGCGTATCACTCTGAAAGTGGAGAGAAAGCTTCGCAAGATAATCTGGAGCACACATTAGAGCCAATTCCGATGCGGACTCCATTCATGCAAACTCTTAGCTTGAAGGGGAGATATGATCCAGAAGTACGGTTTTTCATGACCATGGTGACATCTTTCACCTACTTCCTTGTGCCACAGGTGCTTTGGGTCATCACTTCTTTCGGAATTTATATCGGCCTAGGCGCATTTGTTTTCAATTATACCGCGCCAATCAAGCTGACAGGACCTCCGTACAACTGGTCAGAGGTGGGCTCTCGCACGATAAACTACGTCGGTTGAGCTCGTTGTTAACCCAAGAGTAGGAAAGCTCCGGTCTTATTGCACTGGCAACGTTGATTGGCTTTGTATTAGCAGTACCATTTGCGCCGTCTTCTGACCTCCTAGCTGCGAGACTGACCCGACGTAACAACGGTATACGCGAAGCCGAAATGAGACTCCCTGTCATGTTACCAGCAATGGTAATCGCTCCTTTAGGCCTTGTTCTCTATGGCCTAACGTGCCAATTCAATCTGCATTACATCGGGTACTTTTTCGGGGCGGCAATGACCCAATGGTCCGCATACTTTTTCTTCTCTTTCGCTCTTGCGTATGCTGTCGACTCGTACAACACGGATACAGCACAGATGCTTATCGCGATGAATATTGGGAAACAGGTACACCCCCCTACAAACGGTATTACTCTTTTCTTTACCTTCTGCTGACCATACACTCTTGTACCATAGGCTATCAGCTTTGGACTCTCGGTGAACGTGCTCGATTGGGTGTTGGAGACGGGCTACGCGGTCGTCATCTCGGGTATCTTTGCAGCTGTTCTGGTCGCGAACAATCTTGTCTTGGTTGTGTTCTTAATATGGGGCAAGAAGATCCGGCAAATTATGGCAGGCTCCTGGCTGGCGAAGCTGCACGGTCGGAATGTACAAAACGAACGTCAGGTGGTCTAGGAGGAAAGATGGTAGAGTATGTATCGTGGAGTAAGGGTGTTCTGGGTGTCCCGTCGCTGTGGCTCTAAGTTAACCAGCTGGCGGGGTTGGTGGCTTGGCCTACCCCAATCCCCGGACTTTGGCACTTGGATCGGGCTGCAGGGAACTCTGTTCAGCCTCCGCGGCACCAATATGACACTTTGCATCTGAAAAGTTCCTGATGTCAATCCAATCCATCGGACGCTGCCTCGGCTGATGCCAGTCGTCACAAAAGAAAACAATGATACGTACTCAATGTCCCCGGACCAGAGTCTCCGCCGAGACCCACTATAGCCGCTATCAATGCACCACTTGCTTTTCTCCTCTTCCCCTAGCTCTCCCCGCAAAGCAACCGTGGTGATGAGGTCAATTTAGAGTTGTCGCTTGAATATGGCCATCATCACTTCTGTGCCTGACATGGCTACACGAGCAATCATGCCATTGTCCCCCGGGTGATTGCAATGCCTACCTAGCCAGTGTCCACAACACGAACCAAATGCACCTGGATTCTGTTGCTAATTACGTGACAAGTCCATGACGCTTACGATTTTGAACTGATTTGTAGTCACCAGGTGCCGGAGACATGGTATTTCCTTTCCGTCTTCACGCTGCCGGCGGAAGAGGCCGCGGGACCTTGTGCATGCTCGGTACAGTTTGAATATTCGGAGCTAGCCTTAGCCATTGACGCCCTTGATATCATCTGGCAGTATGTGATATTGCATCTGCAACCTAGTTTGCTGAGCTCAAGACAAAGAAATTACTGGAAGGTAATGACGGTGATACTGACGTCGTTGACTTGACAGATCGCTCGATGCGTTTATTCGTACTCTCGTTGTTACAAGAAAGAGCGGGATGAGATGAGAGGTGCATTTTGGTCCGCAAGCATGTCTATATAATGCCGTGACACCCTCCCTTTGAAGCATTATTTTCCGTCATCAATCTTATTCTATATCTTCTATTACTTACTGCACAAGCAAAAGCAATCAGAATTGCAAGACCTGCTGTCTAAACCTTCTCACAATCATGTCTGACTACAAGCCCACTGGTTAGTCTGCTTCCAACACCATCCCTTGACTGTTGACTTAACATCTCTACAGAGCACGACGGCAAACGTCTCGACGGTGGAGTCGACAAGCGCGTTGGCACTGGCGAGTTTGCTCACGGCAAGGTTGATCCTCACCAGGCCGGCAAGAAGGGCGGACACACTTCCGGAGGTTCAAGTGGTGGTCTTGAAAGCAGTGGCGGCAGCGGCGGCAGTGGCGGCGGTGAATTTGCGCATGGCAAGGTTGATCCTCATGAGGCTGGCAAGAAGGGTGGACGTGCCAGTGGTGGTACAGGAGCATAAGGGAATGGTACAATTCCCAAAGATGACGCCGTTGTAGTCCGAATGAGTGGACTGAGATCACGCGGTGAACCAAATGGCCATGTAAGGGTATTCATTAGTAGAAGGTCTGCTCAGTAAACAGGATAAGTACAACGTGCGTCTTGATAAGCAGCATTGCATTGAGTCAAATCTTTTGAAACTCGTTCGGATGTTTTGATGCACCATTTATGGTATCTGCGGACTGGCGAGGTATGCTTGGGGGATGGTGTAGTATCTTGATTTGTTCTCCTAAGTCCTAGTAGGTCTTCCAATCTATCTATTGCCATATCTATGCTTTCAAAAGCATAGCTAACCCCTGACTTGAACACCAATATCCTTCGAACTGTTGACAGCCGACAGACTCGAGACGGCATATTACACATGGGGACTAGGCACCCTGAACCGATCAATCAAGAGCTTGACTTTGACACTATATTGTGTATACTCGTCAGCACGAAAATCTGGAAGTCTTTAGATAGGATTGGCACTCACCATCTGGAAATATACCCCCTTTTGCTTGATGAGTTCAATATGGCTTCCTTTCTCTAAAAGGTGGCCTCCTTCACCTAGCACGAAAATAACGTCCGCTTTCTGTGCGGTAACAAGCCGATGTGCGACCAAGACGATTGTTCTACCGTAGCTAGCGCGCTCAAAAGCTTGCTGGACAAGCCTTTCGCTCTCCGAGTCAAGTGAACTGGTCGCTTCATCTAGGAGAAGGAGTTGGGGTTCGCGTACCAACGCTCGGGCTATCGCTATTCGCTGTTTTTGGCCACCGGATAATGAGATACCGTCAATGATGGTGTCGTAGCCATGAGGGAGAGATGTGATGAAGTCGTGGATCAAGGCATCGCGGCAAACATTGTGCAATCGATCAGTTGAGACAGTGGCGGGATCTTCAACCCCAAGGAGAATGTTCTCCCTAATAGTGCCTAGGATACTTAATTTAGTGGTAATCCCCAATTGGAACAACATGATTGATGACTTGCCTTGCAAAAGCATGGACTCCTGGGCAACTAGTGAGAGTTGCTTGCGATAACGAAAGACGTCAAGGTCTGCAATGTTTTGTCCATCGCACAAGATCTTTCCATCTTCAGGCTGATAGAATCTCTCCAGCAAGGATATGAGTGTTGTCTTGCCGCACCCGGAGGCCCCAACAATGGCGGCGAATTGGCCTTTCTCAATAGTAAGGTTCAGCCCACTGAAAAGGGGCATCTCGCTATTGGGATACCGGAAGCGAACATGGCAAAATTCAATCTTCATCCCTCCTGCCGTCTGATCCAAGGACCTTCCATCATGAGATTCCACAATACGAGAATTCCTTGCATCGAGGATGCGATTTGAAGCTGCAGTGACTTGCGCAGCATTCGGACCCAAGCTCAAGCTCTGGCCAAAACCTTCAGCTGCACTCATGATTGCCATGAGACAGACGAAAAAGGCGACTAGGCCAATCTCTCCGCGATCAAACAGACTGCCTCCATAATAAAAGACAAGAGCTTGACAGCCCAGAGTTGCACTATCGCAAAACCCAAGCACTGGGCTTACCCAACACGCTTTCTTGTATGCCGACATGACATGGCCAGAGCAGAGTCTCTCGAACCTAGCGGTAATAGATTCTTCCAGTGTGAGCGACGAAACAGTTCGGATCCCGCTGATTGCTTCAGATGCGAATTGCGAACTCTCTGCAAACACCTCGTCGTTGAGTTTCTCAAATTGGAGCTCATAGCGAAAGCGGAAGTAGCCGGAGATCAGGCAGACGGGCGCAATGACACAGATTGAAACCAATGCTAGTTTCCATGAATATGTAAGGGCCATGATGACGCTGGCAATGATGTTGAATAGTGACACGAGCACCATGGCCATGTTCGTGCCCATTAGTTCCTCGAGTTTCGTTGGGTCATCTTTGGCTCGAGAGGCGAGAGTTCCGGCCGAGTGTCCTTCTTCAGAGAAGTATGGTGCAGGCTGATGGATAAGACTTTCAAAGTATTGTTTTTGATACTTTGATCGGATAAATGATGCCACACGAGCTGAAGATATGAAAGTCAGAAGGTACACGATACCAGCAGAGGCAGCGAAAACTGCCCACATGCCACACAAGAAGCTCATATCCTTCATAAGTCTCGCGTAGTCATCCTGATACTTGAAGACGTCGATGGATTTGGCAAAAAGCCACGCATGTAGGGGACGTGCGGAAGCCGCTCCTGCAGAGAGGACTATTGAGGAAATTATAATGTTCCAAAATTCACGAGACTCCAGAAAGAACACGCCAAAGCTGTTGAATAGGCCGCGCTGTAACCGCTTATCATTCCTCGAGTCCCCACATGGGCGTTCAGTAGACTGGGGTATGACAAGACTCTTTTCGTATTCGAGTGTTGATGATATGCCCTTTGCAAAGCTCTCCGCGTTCTCTTCTTCTTTACCATCAAGAGACAAAGCTTGAGACTTGACAAGCCCCGCGTAGGCTCCACCGTCGAGATGAACAAGGCTGTCGTGGGTGCCGGATTCAATCACCTTCCCGTTTCCAAGTGCAATAATCCGATCTGCGTTTCGGATGGTGGAGAGTCGGTGCGCAATCACAATGGTTGTTCGACCTCGGGCCGCCCGTTCGAGAGCTGCCTGCACAATCTTTTCGCCACGGACATCTATCGCACTCGTTGCCTCGTCGAGGATGAGTATGGCTGGCTTCTTGATAATTGATCGCGCAATGGCGAGTCTCTGGCGCTGACCGTATCGGCTGAATTTGCGTTAAGTCGCTTTTTATCACCTTATTTTCGGGGTGCTGCTATGCGAATTCTAAAGCCTAAATGCCGGTTTTTTATAGGTTTAATAATTAGAATTCTCGGATCTTTAGTGGATATAAGTAAAATTTTAGTATATAGATTCTAATTTCGACGTAAATTCTATTTTTCGGCAAATATTTAATTATAACTATAATTTATAATAATAATATTTAAGACTTTTTTAGGAAATTAAATAAGCGTTAGCGCTAATTCCTTATTAAAAAATATTATTATTTTAGTATTTTAAAAATTTAAGCGGTTTTGCTTTGCTTATTTATATATAAAATTAATTTTTAGTTTTAGTATTTTAAAGCGGAAATATATATACCGGATCGTTAGGAAAAAAATATTTGCCTTTATGGTAACCCTAATAAATCTTTTTATTCGAATCGGTTATAATTTTAAAGGCAAAAATAAAGCTCCCGGTAACTTAATACGTATTTAATTTAAAAATTACCATTAAAACCGGTAAAAAGTCCTTTATTATAAAAAATTAAATTATTATATTTTTAATATCGGAAGATTAAAAGTTATTTATATTATAAGCTATTATATAATTTTAATCGATTATTTTAAATAAAAAATAAAAAAGGATAAGCTATAATAAAAGGTAAGAATTATAAGCATAAATAAAAGGTGCTAATCGTGGCGGCGGGGTCGGTAAATACGAATAATAGGGGTGCTGTAAGACGTTCTCCGTATTATCGATTAGACGAAAGTTATGCTCGTGGGATGGGTCGATACCGAATTCATTATGATGATTTGACATTCCTTATAAGTGTGGTCGATCCGTTGATGGCTCATAAGAGAGATAGCTGTCAAAGTGGTTTTTGAATTAATTCGGAAGTAGTTTGCACGGTCGCTCCTCTGATTCCTGTTGCATACATATATGTATGTTACTGATTATATCAGACTTGTACCGAGGCTTCCCGATCAGAACCAATAATAGCAGCGCATAAGGTCACTTACTATCCCTGCCGCCCACTTTTCGTTCCTTGCTCATACTTCACGCAACTTTGCGACCATGCACGTGTTCCAAACGCCGCCATGCCTTTCGCGGCGTTTACACATTTACACATCTCCGCAACCTTCATATTATATACATTGCCAGCACCAACTGGCATGACAAATCCAGATACACAGCAATTGCGGTACTTGATCCGTCTTGGTGACCAGTACCTGCTCCACCTTTTGTATTCACTAAGCCTTGTTTGTTCCAGCTCCAGACTTTACCCAGTCCTCGACGCACCTAACATCGAATTGCATCACCATCATGGTTATTCGGGAAGCTTTCTTGGCTATTGATCAAGATGGCGCGCAGGTGGAACTGTGGCCTGCTCTACGCTGAAGAGCAAATTGTTATTAGTTTCCGAAAGTTCTTGCCTGACCATATCAAAATGACATTTGTAATTAGCCCTACAAATCTGTATCAGTCGCCATTATATCGGTATCTCCATGCATTTTTCTAAAGCCGATATTAACTTTGTTTTATTCCCCTCGAACGAAATAAATAGAGAGGTGACTAGCAATATCTGCACGTTAGAATCTGGCTTTTTGCCAATACATTCGAATCTAGTGCCACGGACCTCCCCGATGACCTGCATAGAACCCTGTTTGGAATTGAACCCGACCAGGATAAGAAGATGTTTGTGCTGCATCTCAATTTCAAAGACAACCGCAGATGCTGCGAGAAGCTAATCTATCACCAATTTGGTATGGCTTTCGAAGGCAATAGTACCTTTGTGGATGATAACGTCAACAACGGTATAAAGATTGACGGTGGCCGCAGTTTACACGAAATTTGCCTTCTGAAAGAGTTTTATGTTCTCTTGCGTCTTGTTATAGCGCCCGATGAGCTTGTGAGTCACCCTTCCTTCTTTCTCCTGGGCCTATATGATGTTACGCTTAATCGCGCCGCGGATCCAACCAACTTCGTAAGCATTTATTCCGAGCCACCGCCGGAAAACTGCAAGCACACTGGAGAATCCTGGGGAGGTGTCCTGCAATCTTTTGAAATCCTTGGTGGCAAGAAGCTTGGTGATTTCGTAATGCTTATTTGCCGTTCGTGCGGCGGCCTGAAGGTTGGGATTGTGTCGGCAACAACTGTACACGAGCCAATAGTCAACTTATAGTTAACAACTCCCCACGAAGAATCTGCAGTCGACTCCCAGCTAACAACTTCTAATGACGAGTCTGAAGTAGATTTGCAGTCAATTCTTACTCAAGAGGAGCTTTCAGCTAGCTCATAATCACAGAAATTGCAAGTAGTCTGTGGCAATACGACTGTCGGTATCGTGGTACTTGTTAGCCAAACACACACTACCACTGATGGAACCGCACCGATGGTAACCCTTACTGAAGAGTCTTCGTCCGACTCAGAGCTAGATGACGTTTCCGAGGTACATGCATCTGAACCAGACCAAGAAGATGATTATGAGAGGCCTCCAGTCAAGCCAAAAACTAATGATTGCTATTATGAACCTAACGTCTTGGGCAACTTTGAAGCTGGTGGCCATCACTGAGATACGATTTACTCGACACTTTCAGATTCGAGCAATGTTTCGAAACGCAGAGTGGCTTCCGCGAATAAGTTTGGGAAAATACTGAACTGACTCCAGCACCAGACGGCGATTCCCGAAAGAAAAAGTAGAAAAAGTCAGTGTGGAAATTTAATGCAAGCAGCGTGATCCCGATTCAGATGACGAGGAAATAGAGGAGGATGGGCTCTCCGATGCTGATGTGACCATATGCGACTCTCGTGCTGTTTGTCTGCTCTTTCAAACAAAGTCACGTCTTGCGGACGAATACCATCACCACTTCATCAACTCCTTAATGCTAGATGTCCTGAAGGGCCGCGGCTTTGCTACTGCGCTATTTCCACCTCCTCCGACCACACTGGGATAGGATGATCCTGGATTTGCACAGCACACTCTCGGCATGGCTCACTTCAAGCTTGGACGACCGAGAATGCATAACACTTTCCTTGTACGAGCTCATTGCGAAATCGAACGTTGATCGAATCAATGCCATCACCGGCAAGCGGGATAATGCGGCGAAGGAAAAGCGCTTGTTTTGCTTTCTTTTTTTTTTTTTTTTTGAATACCTTGATACAATGGAGATACCACTCAACACAAAATCAGGGAATAAATAGCAACGCACGGCACCCCACGTTGGGCATTTGTGATTTGCCATCTCGCCCTGCTAAACAGATAGCGGCCTCCAGTTTGGAAAATTTGGATATATAGCCATGGTCCTGGTCTTTTTAAGCATATAATAATAATGACTAAAGTCATTGTATGTCAGCCCGTTAGCGGTGCGACATCGATAGCTCTGTGAGCCAATAATTAGCCTAGCTGTTGTAATCTGGGCCCCGATAGTCGAGCTCCGGCTCTAGCTACCTAAGATAACCCCTTCTAGATGGAAAGCGCAGCAACCTTATTCGATGCGTTTTTAAAAGGGATTGCAATATATTTTTTGCTGATACGATAATACTGGCTTGGGTGGCGTCCTCCGTTGGCAAGCTGCAATCTGGCCTTGACCCTTTTATTAATAGCGGCTGTTAATAGCTTGCGTTTATTCTCCAGGTCGGTATAAAAACTATTGAGCTTCTCTTTGACGTCCTTTAATTCTCTTTCTAGCTCCTTAATACGATTCTCTATATTGTCTCGATAGAGCTAATTAGCCAACTTTTGCTTGTTTCTAGTTAATTCCTTATACTGCTGACGGAATTCTTTAAGCTTTTGGATAGCTATATTTTGACTTTCCTGGTTGGCCATTAGCTTGTCCCGTTTTCCGTTCACGGTCGCAATCTAGTTAGCAAGGCCTAATAAAGAACTTCCTATAATTTTAACAATTATTTGAATTTTATTAAAACTGGATAATGCGTTAACGCTAAATTATTATTAGTTTTATAAAATAAAAAAGAAAAGAGAAA